GATCCCATCAACGAAGCCTGGGAAGAGACTGCCTTTTTGTCGGTCGCTGAAAGTGTCGATGCCAAGTACAGCGACATTAACTCAGACTACATCTCTACTCGCAGCTTCAGCGATGAGTTTGGAGGGGCCATCACTGGCGATCTTCTCCTTGTTCAAATCTCTTACGTCATCGCCTTCTTGTACTTGGGTGCCAACATGGGAAGCATCAAGTGTGGAACTGGATCTCGATGGACCATGGCATTCTCAGCTTTGATGGTCGTCCTTTTGAGTACTGGTGCTGGATTCGGCATCTCTTCCATCTTTGGGTTCTTCTTTGGACCCGTTCACTCTCTTCTTCCATTCATCCTTTTGGGTATTGGCGTCGATGATGCCTTTGTCATTGTCAACGCTTTCAACCGCGAGCGTAAGGTTGCAAGATCCAAGGAAGACAACGAGGCCCTCGCTCAGCGATGTGCGCGTGCAATGGCCCGTGCTGGTGCCTCCATCACTGTCACTTCTTTGACAGATCTTGTCGCATTTGGAATTTCGGCTACCTCTTCTTTGCCCGCTTTGGCCAGTTTCTGTGCCTACGCATCCTTTGGTATTCTCTTTCTGTGGATTTTTGCTTCCACATTCTTCCCTGCCACCATGGTCCTTGACGAACGTCGCCAACGCGACAATCGCAGAGAATGCCTGTGTTGTCTTACCCGCAAGGCTCCCCTGGAAGAAGACGAGGATACTGGCTTTGAAGAAGGCGCAGTCTCCCGCTATTTCCGCAACTACCATGCTCCTGCAATTCTTTCCGTCCCAGGAAAGTTTGCGACTCTAATTGTCTTCATTGGGCTCTTGGCGTTTGGAATCTTTGGAATGTTGAACTTGTCGGTCGAAGATTCTGAGAGAAGCTTCATTCCAGATGACAGTTACGTCAATGGATACTTTGATGCTGCTGACAAGTACTACCCATCCACTGGTATTGAGCTGGCAATTGTGTTCGAAGGAAGCTCGGACATTTACGCTAGTCGTGAAGGTCTTGCCACTTTGGACGAACGTCTTGCCGGCAAGTCTTCCAGCCCACCATATATTGCCGAACCAGTTTCCGATGCAGCGTACACAAACATCATGGCTGGTTTCAGCAGCTACTTGAAGACTGCCGGATCCAATGTGAACGTCACTTTGGGTTCGGATGGCTGGCCAGCCACCGAAGCCGAATTCGTCACTGCCCTCACAAGCTATGCCGGATTTGGTGGAGCTGGTTCTCAATACACCAGGGACTTCGTCCTCTCTGCCGATGCTAAGAGCGTTGATGCTATTGTTGTAAAGACCGAATACATTCGTCTTACGAAGATGAGCGGAGACAAGGTCATTGACGATGCCGACAGACAAATCGAAGCCATGGATGCAACTCGAGAAATGGTCTCAAGCTGGACTGACTTGCCACAACATTTCACCTACTCGGAGAAGTTCATTGGTATTGAAGGTTTCAAGGTTATCAAGAAGGAGCTCTTCTTGAATGTCGGTCTTGCCATTCTTGCCGTTGCCATCATTGTCTTCTTCACTGTTGCCAGTCCAACGACATCGATTTTGATCACCTTGAATGTTGCGGCGTGTATCATTGAAATTCTGGGATTCATGTATGCCCTCGGAATTGTCATTGATTCCGTCAGTGTTATCAACATGGTGCTTGCTGTTGGTCTTTCCGTCGATTACAGTGCTCACGTTGGTCATTGCTTCATGGTCAAAGGAGGCGAAGACAAGAACAAGAGAGCACTGGAGGCCTTGGCCGATATGGGAGCATCCGTGTTGAACGGTGCTATTTCCACCTTTTTGGCTGTCGTTGTCCTTCTTTTCTCTTCTTCCTACGTGTTCCGAGTGTTGTCCACTCAATTCGCTCTGACCGTTGGATTGGGAGTGCTTCACGGTCTTGTTGCCCTTCCAGTCATGCTGTCCGTTCTTGGACCAAAGCCATTTGCTTCTGCCGAAGACCCGGACTCTTCTGGCAAACCAGCCAACACTGACAAGATTTCAGAAGACGACGATCTAGATGATGCCTAGTGTTGAAAGTCATCCGGGGATTATACTTTAATTTATTATTTAGTCTATGTGCCAATTAAATGTGCTTCATCTTTGATTTCAATCTGCTACCTTGCTGTCCTACGATATGCCGCAAAGACTGTACACGCTACAAAAAGGATAGAAAGGTAGAATGCATCGAGACATCAAAATTCATCTTTATTACTTTTGATTATGTGACATATACTTCAAATGACTTTTTCTGGTACTTCAAACTGCTCGCATCATCGTTCCCAGTATCATTCCATCTTGCTTAAGACTCGTAAGGGGTGTTGTAGTGAACAAGTTGTCTCTTGCTACTCTTGCTGCTGCTTCCCTTGCTGCTGCTGGTAGCAGCAACAGGTACAGCGACAGGTGCAACGACGGCGATTGGAACAGCGACGGGTGCAGCAGTTTGCAGTCTTCGAAGAGCCTTGGGCTTGTCTGCAGTGACAGAGGCGATGATGGCGATGAGGGCAACTAGGAGGAAGGAAAGCTTGAACATCTTGGTAAGTTTGATTATATTTCGTTTGAAATCCGGAGCAAGTTTGATTTGTGAGAAGAATTGCTTTTCAGGAACGGAAGGTTGGAGAAGAAATATGATCGAGTATTTCTCACTCAATCGTTTACGCGCGACAAAATCGTCGTCATCAACTCAGGTTTTTCTGCGTATTATATACACGTACGGTCTCGGCTTATAATGGTCGCGCGGGGTAGTGAGTCGTTTCAACGCGAGAAAAAGAACGAACAAGCATCACCCAAATTTTTAAAAAACCCTACGATTGAGGACGTGTAGGTATGTGTACGTTTACACCGGTACGGATCCAACCTTTAGACGAAAGCACTTCGTCAGTCGACGCAATCAAGAGACGGCTTGATGAATACCAGTCTCAGCTGGAGTCATTCGAACCGCCAAAGAAGATAATGATAATATACAGGACTCGAGTGGTAGAATACATGGCAACAACAACACCAACGATCCGATTTCATAGGATCCATCCAAGGACGTATCTATATACGCCTAGCACTAGAAACCAAGCTCATTCCATGCTATGAAAATTTCTGTTTTATAAACATCTTATCTACGTTTTGTGACATATATTCGGACCTTTGCTTTTCCGTCGCGATGATCCTTCAAAGTGCTCGCATCATCGTTCCCAGTATCATTCCATCTTGCTTAAGACTCGTAAGGGGTATTGTAGTGAACAAGTTGTCTCTTGCTACTCTTGCTGCTGCTTCCCTTGCTGCTGCTGGCAGCAGCAACAGGTACAGCGACAGGTGCAACGACGGCGATTGGAACAGCGACGGGTGCAGCAGTTTGCAGTCTTCGAAGAGACTTGGGCTTGTCTGCAGTGACAGAGGCGATGATGGCGATGAGGGCAAGGAGGAGGAAGGAAAGCTTGAACATGATTTTGATTTTTGGGATGCGTTGTAAAGCTGAATTCAGTGACAGTTTCAATTTGTGAGAGAAAAATGAGGAAGTTTTGTTTCTGGTATCCCAAATTTTGCACGTGTCCCGCGCGATCGTTTTACACGAGACAAAATTGTTTGGCTTCTTCATGATCGACTGAATCTAAACACCGGTAATACCTCGCCGGGATTAGACGAAGTATCGAAAAATGCATTGAATAGCCCCCAAGCTGGACCTTTCTTTCTACTGATCCACCGGACTAGAAGGTGCCAGACTTGAATGAATGAATAAATGACAGCAAGTCTCATATGAACTGCTAGCTAGTAGCATCCTATTGATATCATACGATATATAATTTTGAAAAGTTCTATGACGATGGTTACCAATGGCAGATTCATGATGCGCTACACAGTAGTATATGTAACAAAACTCAATCGATATGACTCAATAAAAGTTTTGGGGCAATAAACGATTGTGATTGTAATGTATTGATTGATTAAGATTAGTTGAGATTGATATCAAGTTTGTTTTAGATTGGATTGTGAGCTCTTATCTGGGACGGCCGGGAAAATCAACATTTACTCCCAAGAATTGAATGCTAAATTTCTATTTCCCGGCCGTTCCTGATGAAATCTCTCAGATCGGCTCTAGTCGTACAGTAGCATTCTGATCTTGCTTGATCATGCAATGGCCTTCATTCAAGATCAGTTACTTATATTCTGGCATACATCCAAGATCAATCATATGGCAATCCATAAGCCTCCTTGTTGACATCGGACTTCTCAATTTAGAATATGACCGTGGAGTCCACGGAGTCGATTCATGATTCAACCATTCATGCATGATTTGGTTCAAATTCGAAAATACCGTATACTCAGTACCAGGTACCAGTCGAACGAACCGCAAAAACAACCGTTGTTTATTTGAATCGAAGTTTTCGATTGTTCCCGCGAGTAGCCAATCAGAAACGAGCATCAACAAAGCCGTTACATTTGAAATCGGATTTTGTTCTAACCGCAAACATATCACTTCATCACAAAACAAAAGTCCATCTCGACTTCTATATTTCTTTTGCCTTTCTTCTTTCTCCTTTAGTTTCCAAGATGCAAAACACTCGAAAGTCCCTAGGTGGAGCCCCACTCCAGGTCGTGAACGCCAACGTTGCTCCTCCAACAACACCAGGCACCAAGGTCCGCAAGATGCAGGCTGAACTTGACAAGAAGGATTCTGAAAACGAATCTCTTCGTGCCAGCGTCAAGAACTTGACCAACGCTCTTGGAAAGTTGGATTTGGTCAAGGCCGCTGGCCCTATCGTCAATCCTACCGAGGTCAAGAACAACAAGAAGGACCCAAAGGCTCCAGTTCCTGCAAAGACTGCATACAAGTTCTTTTGTGATGTTTCTCCTGTCCAAGACAACATGCAAAAGCTCTGGAAAGAGACTGATGCAAAGAAGCGTGAGCCATTTATCCTCTTGGCCGCTGCTGATAAGGAACGATACCAAAACGAGTTTGCCGCCTACAACGAAGAAAAGAAGGCACTCGACATGTACTACGACAAGAAGAAGCAAGAGCAGGCCATGGCATTTTTCGAAGCTCATTTGGAAGCTCAAGCCGCATTGAAAGATGTCGAGGCTGGCAAGGATAACAGAAAAGCCAACAAGGACCCCGATGCTCCTAAGCGTCCCACCTCTTCTTACATGTACTTTGCCAAGGAGACTCGTTCTGAAGTTGTTTCCAAGTATCCTGATGCCAAGCCTACTGAAGTCACCACCATGATGGGGGCCATGTGGAAGCAGCTCGATGCGAAGGCCATGAAGAAGTTTGAGAAGATGGCTGAGGCTGATCGTGAGCGTTACGCCGCAGAGAAGGCAGTCTACGATGCCAAGGTTACTGTCAAGAAGGCAGAGGCAGAGCAAGAAGAGATCGCTCGTTTTGAACAGGAAAAGAAGGAAGCCATGGAGCTTTTGGAAAGCTCCAAGCAACTTTCTGGAGAGATGATAATCCAAAACGTTGGAGGGGAAGCTATGTCTGTCGTTTCCGATCTCTCCAACAAGAGCAAGAAAAAGAAGGACCCCAATGCTCCTAAGCGTGCTTTGACTGCCTACAACTTCTTCTTCACTCAGAATCGCGAAAGCATCAAGTCCAAATTGCCCGCTGAATCTACCAACACGGAACTCATGAGCGAGATCGGTCGCCAGTGGAAGGCCCTAGCCGAGAGCAAGAAGCAGAAGTACAACAAGATGGCCGAGAAGGACAAGGTACGATATGCCAACGAAATGGCCAAGTACACCCCCAACAAGCAAGGGTAAGTCACTTACTGGACACATACTACTAGCATAATACCCGCGCCGATTGGGTTCTGGCAGCAGGGGATGGATCTAGGAATTACAATATCAACACGATTCACCTTATTCTATCAATGTACGAATCGATCTCTGCAGCTGTATTGACCTAGCAACAAGCCAGGTGATTTGTTGATCAATAGTATCAAAACCATGCACGACCAACATTTTGCAGCACTACATACGACTAGGTTACTACTCTAGGTAGGGATAGCCTCTGTGAGATGCATACCGATATTCCCACCAATAGTGTACCGGTACTTTGGTAGCCAGGCAGATCAGAATATGATCATCACGATTGATTGATGTTCTGATTCGACGGTTGCCGACTTCTTTGACTGCTAGATGTCAACGATAAACCATATCGTTGCAAGTCAACGGGGGGACAGTTGATGTGAATCTTCGATCACTTCCCATATTTTTATGCGTATTACGCCATAATACTATAAAAAAAGAACACCTTCGCATCATGATGAAACAGCTGCTTTCCTTTGGATTGATTGCCCTCTTGACGTGCCCAAACGTACAAGCCCTCTTGCAAGGTAACGCCGGTACCACAAGCTCTTATCGTCTCGCAGGCACGGCTCTACAAGTCAGCAGAACTAGTCCGGACTACAAGAAAAAGGATGTCTCCTCCTCAGAAGGCGAGTCTGAAGCGGAAAAGTATCTTCGACTAGCTCGTAAGCTACGCCAACAGGCTGCAGAAGATGAGCAGCAGGTGCACGAACGGTTGTACCAAAAGAAACGAGAAGAAGATGAACAACTGGATGAATGGATTCAGAATCTTTCTCTTTCGGAAGCCGTTGATCAGAAAAAGAATGCACATATTGTCAATGCACTCAAAGAAAGAAAACCATGCATGGAGACTTTGGAACGCATTGTAGAGCGACTCCACGAACACCACATGATTGCGAGCGGCCTGGAGTGCGTGGAAGCTCCGTCCAGTAAAGATGCCAGCCAGGTAAATCGAGTTATCCACGAAAAGGATGATGTCAAAGTTCAGAAAATTGACAATGAGGCAGAAGCCTTGTTTCAAGCCATTGATGTTCTAGACTCAGATCAATCGGGTGCATCAAAATCAGAGTCTCGGCATTGGGGCGGAGATGGACGGGCCATTCAATTGAGGAACCAATGGAAGGGTCTTCAACGCGAGCATGAAGACCAATTTCTTAAGCGCCAAGCAAGTTTCATCGAAGCACAGCGTCTCAAGAAGGAAAACCCTCCGCCTCCAAAAGTGAAGGATGATCATCGTTTTCTTCCTTAAGATCGGAAGTGGATAATCGTGCATATTCGATACACGACTGGCGGCAGGAAGTGACTCACTTAGGCAACGAAGCAAGAAGAAGAATATCCGTAGATGTGCGCACTAAAACTTGCTCGATTTTTACAAGGGAGAACGGCAACAAAAGCCAGTGGATTGAAATACTAGACACTAATATTTAGAAGAAAAACACTCTTTTTCCGATCTGTCTCCACGTTGTTGGTTTATCATCATCTCATGGCTGTTGTGGCGGCAAGTCTAGAGTCAAGGATCCTTGCTAGAGTCACCTTTTTATACTTTAAAAATGTAGATGACACACCAGACAACTTCAATTCTTTGAATGCAAAGAAAAAGGTTGAACCGCAGCGCTCTACACAAAGCCGCAAAATTGTAAAAAACGGTCAACCCCTTTTGCTCTACAAGCATTCTGACACCCGTGACTGAAAAATCATGATTCGATTGATTCTCTCGCATTCACGCGCAAAATGAAACACGTTTTCTGTGCTGTTCCGCGGGAAACAACACACGACACACGAGAACTACTCTTGGTCTTGCAGAATCTGGTATCCGACACCTCCCTCCACATCTCATTCGCTCACAAAATTTTACCAAAATAAAATCAATATCAAATACAAATAACAATCACAAAATGGTATCCAGCAACAAAACAGAAACGCCCACAGGCGCAGCTTCGCTTGCTGAGTCATCTTACGTCAGCGTCGATGAGACTGATATTCGAGTGGTCATGGACCAGAATCCTAGTGGCGGCAAGCCAGCTTCAGAACAGAACACCTACAACCTAGAGATGGACCCGTGCTTGGCAGGACGTCGAAAACCTACCAACCTTCCATTCTGTCCTCACTGTTCCAAGAAGAACGTTCGAACCATGACCAAGACCTATCCAACTGCAGTGACTTGGGGTGCTGTGGCAGTGGGCGCTGTAGTGTTCTTTCCCATTTGTTGGATTCCATTGGTCGTCGACAAGATGAAGAAGACTGACCATTACTGCCAAAACTGTGGCCAGAAGCTTGCTACACTCAAACCACTTGAGGGAGTGGGCGTCAAGGAGCGATCTTAAAAATGTGATGATTGTAGAGCTTAGTCAGAGGTCCAAGTCGTGTTGGGCATTAGAGCGAAGATAGTGGCCTTGTTCAGTTTGTTGCGATATAAATACTGTAGAGTTCGGTAAATGATTAAGGATTATGACTCCCAACTCATCTATGACTTTCCAAACTCTTACAGCAACCATATTCAAATTAGGCAAGAAGTGGGAATTGGAATCAAGGCCATTGCTCGACTGATTGCATCAACTTATTCCGGGAAATAGTCTACCACCACTTCGGGCTCTTCCGTCGGAACGGAAGTAGGCGATCGAAAAAGTTGTTGAGAAGGAAGCGCTGGTATCGAGGTTGGATCAGATGTTGGCTCCTCCGATGGTGTTACTGTTGGTTTTCGTGTTGGAGTATCAGATGGATTCGGAGTCACCGTCGGTACTTGCGATGCCGTTGGATTTGTCGTGGGTATGACTGTACTTGTTGGATCTACACTTGGACTGTCAGTCGACGGTGACTGTGTTGGTATTCGGGATGGGGGTGCTGAAGGATCACTGGAAGGCATCGCAGTTGATGGTGTAATCGATGGCAGGTCGCTCGGAATCTGGGATGGTTGTATGGTTGGGCCAAGACTTGGAAGCTGTGTTGGTGCCGCAGTTGGACTCTTCGTGGGTGTTCTCGATGGAGTCGAACTGGGCAAATCTGACGGCTGCTCTGATGTCAAGATGGTAGGCATGTTGGTTGGGAGCTCACTTGGAGTATCTGTTTCAGAATTGATTTTCACGTCGATAAGCTTGATCGACGCCAGAACGGCACCAAGACTAAGTGAAGTGGCCAGGTCATCTGGCCCAAAGATCTCAATTATGAGCGACTGGAAGACGAATTGTTTTTCGTCAGCATTCTTGGCAGCCAAAAAAAGTATCACATCGATACCTATACATGGTCCACCGCTTCCGCTCTCACAACTCCTGCCGACAGCAAGTCGAATTGTCGAATTTCCCGTGGCAATAGCATAACGGTTGGGATTGTACCTTGGGCTAGGATCCATCATACTCCGACGCAGTTGATAATGGCTCAAAAGATTACGCTGTGCACCAAAACAGCCCGCAAGATCTGGAATCAATACTTGTTGTGTCACGTTGGCCATGGTATCTAAAGCATCCTCCACTGTTGCAGTCGGAGTCAATTCCACATCCAATTCGACATTGTATCGACTCACTCGCAATCCTTCTTCACCCTCAAGACGTCCCCCACTACTGATAGTCTCACATTCCTCAGATGATGGTGGATCATAAACTAGCTCTTGCGTAGGAGGATCTGTCTTAGGTGCGGAAGCTTCAGGTGATGGCGCAAATGTTGGAGCTATCGAGATCCGTTTGGCTGGCATGGGGAAGCTGGATGGCGCAGTGGCTCGGATAGCAAAGAAGGCTCCAGCACCGCCAAATAATGCAACGAAAAGAGCAGCCGTAATGAGTTTGCACTTTCTGGGAAACCTCTGGCGATTCTTGGCTTCTAATGACGACCTTACTTGTCTTTCATGTGACTGGCGGCGTTCTTGCTGCAGCTGCTCTTCCCTATCTTGATTCCCACGTTCTGCACTGTCTCCTTGATCATGTTGGGGATCGTCATGAATGGGGGTGGCTTCAGCCCGGAGACTTAGGACGCTTGCGTCCTCAGTTCCATCCTCGCTGCTGTCGCTGCTACTAGAATCATGTCGCCTTCTTTCACCTGTCACAACTTCAGCAGATGATGCTGCGACAGTTCCATTCGGAGTTGCGGTGACATCTGAACCAATCTGGCTGTCCTCTGACAAATTCTTTGCATGCGGGAGTGGTTCTGCAGCTGCAAATGGGACAATCTCGGCATCGTCCTTATTCTCGTGATTCTGAGAATCTGACGTATGCCAGTCTTCTGACGCTCCACTGTCTTCAATCTCGTCGTCAGAATGGTTTCGGCGACTGCTGCTTCGCTGAGAATCTGACGTATTCCAATCTTCTGTCGTTCCACTTTCTTCAATCTCATCTTCATCAGAATGATTTCGACGACTACTGTTTCGACGTTTCCTTGCTTCAACTGCTGCCCTAGCGTCTCGTAGCTTCTGTTCTCTCTGCACCCTGGCCTTCATTCGAGATTTCCGAAGGTTGAAGGAATTTTCCTCAGGTGCGAGTTTACATTGTCTTGAATCTCTTCTTCGTCTAGGACTACTGGTATGGTGTTGATCTGATGAAGAAGGCTCATCGATTCTTTCGTTTTCCATGTTGAAAATGAAACAGAGTCTTATCTCTTGGCCAAGCAATGATCAAGAATGAGGAAAAGCTTAGGGTTTATGTGTCTTATCTTATTTCCAGCCTCGACAAAAATACCATGCAATTGAAAATCGTTGTCGTATTTTTGTTCGGAAGTATAACGGCCGCGCTTGCGTGTTAGTCCAGGAAGTCGAATCCCGCGTTTCTTGGCGAGGCGAAGATTGGAGGTTGTTGTATGGTAACCACCATCAACAACTTAGGAAAAGTGGCTTGACACATGAATGACCACAGCCAGATACAGGGCGAAGACCTGTGGACCCATGTACCTTGCAGCTTTACAGCACTTTTGATATGTCAATGCTCCTTCGTTACCGTTCGGAACAGTCACGTTTCGCTCGCTCTTGTGCAATCAAGTTGATTTTAGATTGACCTGAGGCTCCTGGCTGCCATTTGTAGCACTCTTGTTAGCTCTTGCAATAGTCCAGAGCCACTTCCAGGGTTACATCTGGGGTTAGGTCGCTTTCGGAGGATCTTGCTGGCTAAATGCATGTTTGATTTGGTGTCTGCTGTTTGGGTGTAAAAGAAGACCTGTAGATTGGCTGGTATGAGTACTCGTTTCCGGACGGTGTGGGAGGTGGGAGGTGGGAGTTTCTTGAGCAAAATTCTCTTCTACCGTATTACTCTTATAACGGCGCGAAAGTCTTTTTCTATGCCGAGAGGAATATATATATATTATATGAAAGTGATTGTTCGGCCATTTTTTAGGCAGTCTCTACCGGTATGTTCTCTCGGTGATCTTTGCAATGTGCGAAATGAAGAGGTACTGGCTGGTACCTGGCTGGTACCGAAAACTCACTGAACGGTACCAGGTACCGCCGGTAGTGGTGGAGCTTGTTCCCATATTCAATGTGCTAAAGTAATTTCTAGAAGAGGCACTTGGTGGCTTGCATATCGGCCTCCGAATCCATCCGAAACTGGATACCGATACAATATGTACTTCGTTCACTTCGTTAGTTTGCGACCAAACTTCGAAAGTAAAAGTTGCGCGGGAACGCAGAGAACAAATGCGTTCGGTAGAACGAGGTCGCTCATACTTAACAACTTTCTTATTGGAAAACTTGTTTCCTCGGCGATTGACCCCCAACAAGACAGTGATTTTGAGCTTGATTTCCTCACAAAAAATTGGAGAAGAACAACAACAGTGATTCCCGTACAACCTGAACAAACGAACCAAAATCAACATGGCAACCCGATTCAAGAAGCGCCGCATTGTACTCCCACAGCACATGGAAGTGATCGCTGAACCCGTTGCATCATCAATCACTGTTGATGTTGTCAAGCCCAAGAGAACAGCGGCTGTTTCCTCCGCAAGCAAGCGACCCCTCCCATCCTCCTCGCATTCTACCGAGGCAGCACTTGTTGATAACCAGCTTGTCATCGTCGAGGCCATGATTAAATCCCAAGAGGTTATGATAGCCCACACTATCATGCAAGTCTTTGAGACTTGTGAATCCAATTCACAAGCCATGAAAGCCATCCGCTCGATCCAAGAACTCTTTGCAAACGAAGAACACGACGATCGCCAAATGCAAACCTTGACACAAACCTTCCTACACCTCAATGCAATTCCTACCATCTTAAAGGCCATGACTCAATGGAACGAGTCCCTCGAATTCGTCTCGCTCGCCACAGACATTTTGAAAGTCTTGCTTTTCCATATGCCAACCACCGGCCACAAGTCCTTTTTGCAACATTGTGGGACCCGCATTATCATGGAAGCCTGTCAAGAACATTGGTTTCTTCCAATGATCAAGGCCGCCTTTGCAGCTTTGACCAATGCGGCATCATCGTTGACTGGCAATACCGTGGTCATTCAGGAGTGTCTTGCCTTTGCAATGAAAGCCATGCAACTTTTTAGTGGCGATGCTGAAATTCAACGCTTCGGATCGTACTTTTACTTGAAATTGGCAGCTTGTGCGGCTAGGAGTCAAAATAATCTAGGAAGGATAGCGCACACTCGTGGTGCTGTTGCCAGCAGCTGCCATGCGTTGAAGCGCAAATTGGAACCAAGCAACAACTAATTGATGGATTGGTGCAAATAATACGATTTTCAATGTAACTTTGACGTGAATTGATTGTATAATACAACTATAAAGCTTTGCAAGATACCAATAACTACCGAGATTGGCTTTTTAAGACTCCGATAAAAGACTGGAACCTGGCTGCCATGAAGATGACATCAAGTGTTCAGACTTTGTATGCAATACCGATATGGCTTACAAATACTGTAGGTAGCAGTGTGGTGGGATTAAAACATGAGGATGTGCCAGTCCAACACTTTATGCGCCCCACTGAGAAGATATGACGGGGGGCACTTTTGTATTGACTCGCGACTACCTGACTATTTTACCATGTTGGTGCACGAGTCTGCTCAAGAAAGTGCGGGTTCGTTTGCGAAGACTGCGTACCAGGTATGATACCAGTCAGAGTGCGTAAGTGCCAGAGGCTCTACCGGCACAGGATGTGCTGTAAAATTGGCATGATAATCCTTCACAAGTGGTAATTTGGCACTTTGGTCTTCGGTGGACATGCATGCCCGATATAAAGAATCCAGAATTACATTACGGTGGTCCAAGTTCACTTATTGGATGTGCCAGTCTTACCCTTTTTATACACTTTGGTGCAGTATTTTCGCCCTTGAGAAGAAATGCGGCGGGTCAAAACAACCAATACAAATCGTGCTTTTTTCGGCTTCTTTCATGGTTGGACCTAATTTCGGACATATAAAAATGGCATTTGAGAACGCAGAGAATACAGGGATTTGTCAACTTCAAGTGCTTTGATCTTGGGGGCCTTTTGACAAGAAATGCTACCGATGATTGATTGCAAGGATGATTGTTGATTGCGAGACCAATACTGTAAAAAGGAACGTATTCACAAATCAGAAAAAGCTAGGCAGATTAGGAACAAACGAACCAAAATCAAAATGACAGCCCCATTCAAGAAGCGCCGCATTGTCCTTCCACAGCACATGGAACAAGTGACCTCAAGGCCTGCTGAATCATCCACTAATGCTGATGCTGTTATCAAGCCCACTATGTCTGCTGCTTCATCCTCCAGTAAGCGCCCCCTTCTGTCCTCTAAACATTCCACCGAGGCGGCACTTGTTCACACCAAATATGACATTATCAAGGTCGTTATCGGAAGCCAAAAAGTTATGGCTCCCTATACTATCATGCAAGTCTTTGCGACTTGTCAATCCCAAACAGAAGCCATTCAAGCCATCCGTTCGATCCGAGAAGTCTTTGCAAAAGAGGCCCAAAACGAGCGCCGGGTGCAAACCTTGGTAGATGCCTTTGTACGCCTCGATGCAATTTCTACCATATTGAAGGCCATGACTCAATGGAAGAAGTCGACTACACTTGTGTCCCTCGCCACAGACGTGCTGAAAGTATTGCTATTCCACATGCCAACCACCGGCCACAAGTCCTTTTTGCAGCATGGTGGGACCCGCATTCTCATGGAAGCCTGCGAAGAACATTGGTTTCTTCCAATGATCAAGGCTGCCTTTGCAGCTTTGAGCAACGTTGCGTCCTCCTTGACTCACAATACTGAGGTCATTGAAGAGTGTCTTGCCTTTGTCATGAAATCCATGCAAATCTTTGATGCGAATGCTGACATCCAGCGCCTGGGCTCGTACTTCTACTTGAAATTGGCAGCTTGTGCGGCAAGGAGTCAAAACGATCAGGGAAGGGTAAATCACATTCCTGAAGCTGTTTCCAGCCGCAGCAGTACTAGTCATGTGTTGAAGCGCAAATTGGAACCAAGCCGTAACCAATAGTGTAAATGCGATTCCATTAGCAAGTTACGTATTATGAACCGATTTGATAAAATTGTAATATTTAAGAAGATGTGTATCCTAAGATAAGTATAGGCTCGATTTTCTTTTTATTCAAATTGATAAAGGACGGAAACACCATCAACAACACTCTCAGCCGTGCTGAAGATGTCGACAAGTCTTCAGAGATTACATTCCATATGTACTGAAACAGATTACAAATACGTTGGGTGGTAGTTTGCTAACTTTTAACTGAATGCGTTAGCGCGCTTCGTTGTCTTTGGGTCGTTGAGTGAATTGGTCACAAAATGTAGTAGCGAGGCCGCAGAGCCATAACCTGGTAAAGTGTCGTAGCGGTTCCAACTTGAGGAAACCGATGGGACGGCAGAGGAACAAATGCCATTTGTTCGCCTAACGTGTGAGAGTTCACAAGGCCAGTACCATCGTGCCTACCATCACCACCAGAGTTTGCAAATCGTGCATTCACTTGTGCTCCCTTGTATGTCAAGGAAGCTCTAGTGAAAAAATCTCGCTCCTCTTTATACAACCCCTCTAGAGGATATCGGTTGCTGAGGTGGGGCAGAGACGCTCTTGACAATGTTCAGTATCTCCAAAGGCACAGGTCCAGCCACAGAATTCTGATTGATACGCCTCTGATAAAAGTTCCGAGCAATATCAATCTGACTCAGTTTTAGTTTGATTTCAGAATTTTCCTGTTTGCCCTTTTTCTTCTTCCCTTTTTTGGAGGACAACGACGACCTTCCATCATTATTGTCCGTGTAGCAAACTTTCATTTTGAGTTGCATCTCGGCCTGATTCAGACGTTCAATAGTTCGTTTCGCTCGATCAATATCCGCCTTCTTCTTTGCCTTGGTCCCTGGTGATTGCATGCCAAAAGGCATGGACGATTTTTTATTGTTGGATGATGCCAAGCCTGCCAGAGTTGAGAAGGAGTTTTGAAACGGCGTCAGAGGTTTTCGGGTAGGGCTATCTATGCCCGAGTCACCCACCGAGTCGTCTCGAAAGGATCCAGTCATGGAGGAACGAATAGACGTAGTCGAGTAGGAGTAATCCGTTGACTGTGAGTAATCATCTTCGTCAAAGCTTGGGCTGGCACTGAATAGCGCAGGGTGTGTTCCTAATGTTGCCATTTTGTCTCTGTATATATAATATGATGAATATCTGATGTGAGGTGAATATGTGATATAAAGTGAAGATTCAACAATGTTTCTTCAGTAAGGGCTCTCTTCGGTCTCGGTCAGTGTTTCTGCAGAGCCCAATGTCAATATGCGGTTGGTGGGTTTGATGCACACAAAGAAGTCAACTGAAACTGGGATTCCAGGGAGAGTACAAGGTAGGCGGTATGTATGTATATTACGTTATCATTTTGAAAAAATCGTCATGCCGGATTCTTCTAATGATTCGCCACACGTCATTGCTCACTTAAGAGCAAATGACCGCCTTTGTCACAGGCGACGCACAAACGGGGGCATCCCGCGCGTGCAGCTCACGGATTTATGAGTGCGTGCAGATTGCAATCGATTCGTGTCTTGGATCGGGCATAGCGTATCTTGAATCTAGTAGTTCCTTTTGGATCTATTTTGTTCTCACATTTTATGACAGTCCGTGGAAGCAAGAGTAAAGTTGTGCATGCGAATTGGAGGTTGTGCACACAAAATCAAAAAGAGCTACAATCATGTCTAGCGAAGTAACTTATACCCCGAAGAATATTCTTCTGACAGGAGGAGCAGGTATGCTGTTGGAGTGCTATCGTCCAGCATGAACACTTTCATGAATTTATTGTTATCTCAACATTCGTTTCCGTGATATGATGTTCCCTCTTTCCCATTCTCGATCATGAACAGGTTTCATTGCTTCCCATGTTGCCATTCTTCTCTGCAAGAAGTATCCCGACTACAACATTGTCGTTTATGATAAATTGGATTACTGTTCCTGTTTGGAGAACCTATCCGAGCTCAAGGACTTGCCAAATTTCAAGTTCATCAAGGGTGACATTGTCACAGCCGACTTGGTTTCCTTTGTCCTCAGAGAAGAGAAAATCGATACCATCCTTCACTTCGCAGCCCAAACCCATGTCGACAACTCCTTTGGAAATTCCTTTGCCTTTACCCATTCCAACATTTACGGAACTCACGTCCTTCTGGAAAGTGCCAAGGCTTGCAAAACCGTCAAACGATTTGTTCATGTTTCGACCGATGAGGTTTACGGGGAGGGAGAGAGTTTCGAAACTGACCCCATGTCTGAAAATCATGTCTTGGAACCCACCAACCCATACGCCGCCACCAAGGCTGGAGCCGAGTTCTTGGTCAAGTCGTATTACCGAAGTTTCAAGCTCCCATGCCTCATTACTAGAGGAAACAATGTTTACGGTCCTCATCAGTTCCCTGAAAAGCTTATCCCCAAATTCACCAATCAGCTCATGAAAGGTATGAAGCTAACCTTGCATGGCGACGGAAGCAACACCCGAAACTTTATGTACGTCACTGATGTCGCGAACGCATTCGATGCTATTATGCACAAGGGAGAACCTGGTCACGTTTACAACATTGGTGGACGCCACGAACTTGCCAATCTTCAAGTCGCAAAGGATCTTTTGAAGATCTTTGGTCTCGAACAGGAACAAGACAAAAGGATCACATTTGTATCAGACCGAAAGTTCAACGATTTGCGTTACACCATTGACTCTAGTAAACTCCACGCCCTTGGATGGAAAGAAGAAATGACTTGGGAAGAAGGTTTGAAGACCACTGTCGAGTGGTACAAGAAGTTCACAAACCGTTACGGAAACATTGATGATGCATTGGTTGCTCACCCAAGAATGCTCAATAATACCTCTGCTTCCATTAATGACGATGTCATGATGGGAGAATAAAAATTCCAGTAAAACTCGTCATCATATTTTTCAGCTCCAATAATGAAATATTGCGGTACATCGCATGCAGTACTGCACATTTTTGTTGTTGTTGTGTTATTGAATAGCATGCATGGTTGATAAGACCTTGATGTTACAGTCGGTGCGGGACGGAATGCTGCTTCAAATCAAGCGATACACATGATTTGACAGAATGCCAGTTAACGTTTCTCGCGCGCGACGAGCATTCGCCAAAATCCACGAATGAACGAATGAACACAAAAACTGGCTGGTCACTCACCCAAACCAGAAAATTGCAGGAATGAATGGTTAGTTCCTTTCTGTTTCGCTTCATTCACACAAACGACAACATTACAAGATGCGCCACCGAAGACCTCCACGAGTCGATCTATCAGCTGATATGACGGAATTGGACAGCACTAGCATTCAAGAGTCCTTCCTACTGGTGGAAGAAGAGACGAAACGAAAAATTGAAATGGTGTCACGTTCCGAGTACCGACGAGGCCACAAAATCACGAACAACAACAACAACAACAACAACAACAACAACAACAACAACAACAACAACAACAACAACAACAACAGTGGTTACGAAAGCAGTGACGAAATTTTCATGCTACATTGTTCTTCACCATTATCCCACGCATCGACCATCACGATGGATCTCCTGTCACCGTCTTCTTCCATGATGACTGACTCCAGCATCATGATTGAAGACGATGCAAGCCTTCCCCTGTTGCCAGATTTGCAAGCTGTCCACACAGACGAAGCCATGATCGGAACTGTTGGTGGCATTGACATCGGTACATCTTTTCTTCCTGACACAAGTCCAATCACCAGCAGTGACAAAGGACCAACTGTCTTTATGGACGACGGCAGCTTTACGTATGTCACTTTGGAGGATTCCAAATCATCTAATTCCAGCGGGGATGTTTTCAATGGCATTTCGAACGCTACAAATCCGACACCAGCGACTTTAAATTTTGCTTTGCACACTCCCCACAGAGCGGCCATGCGTACACCCCACAGCTATAGCCAAACGCCGTACACCTACGAGACTATTGAAGGTTCCGATGCCATGAATCGAACGGGGTTTGCATCGCAATTCACATTTGAGACTATTCATACTTCTGGTAAGGAGAATACCCCCAATAGAACAAACACCACTCGGAAAAACAAGAGGGAACGAATTGATCTTTCAGCACAAGAGTCCCCATTAGAGAGTAGGAGGATGATATATTCCCCATTACCGAGAAGTGGTCCAGCCAGCACTCCAAAAGACAAAAAGAAACAAATGCAAACAGTGGATCTTGACTATTTCTCGATCGACGAATACACATCTTCCCCAGACAAGTCTGTAAACTGCTTTTCGATCGACTCCTATTCATCCAAGTCGGCGGATGTTGATGGCCTCGGCTTTGGTGGCACGGGTATGACTACACTCGACATGGCACGAACAAAGAGAGACCAATCGCTCTTTCGGTTACGATCCATGGGAGGAGGAAAGTTACATTCTATGCGTCCCCTTCCAGTGCCATCACAACACAATAATAGTACTGGTGGTATCAGCCAAAGAAAGGATCATGTGGCAAAACAACGTCGACGATTAAGCGAAGTTTTCCAGAGCTACTGTCTATCCATGGAAGCATAAACTGGTTTATGAGCTGAATCATGCGCTTGGGAGATGCAACAATTGTATCACCGTTTATTTTGCTGGGAATGGCAATGAAAAAAAGTACTAAAACATGTATCATACTACTATCCTTTTACAATTGTATCACATTAGTGATGATGCAGTCCCCCAAGAATCATAAACAAACTCAATCCAGTGTAATTTCTATCTCCCGTTCGTCCCAGCATTGCGACTGCTCATGCAGGTTACGATTAGCTTCAACGCTCCTTTTCGTTTCCCTCTTTTCTTTTGTGAATCGCCTCACTGTCAGCCCAAAAACAGCGACTCCTGCCACAACTAGGAACATGAGGAACGTGAAGAATCCAACTCCGTCGTTGGACTCTCCAGGCTCTGCGCCGGTTGTCGCCGCATTTTCGGATGGAGGCGCATCCTTGCCTGTTGTTGTGGCAAATCCGTCGCATGGCTCAGCCCCATCCATGTATTGGTTGTTCGATGTATAATTCCAAATACCTCCCACGTCAGAGCACTTTATTTTCAAACAGGAATAGTTCCTTTCCAAAATTTGTTTGACCGTCGAAAACGAAAGAGGCTTGGTATGGGGATTATTATTGGCACCGGCCCAAAACGACGCAGGCGTGTGCAAGTCTCCCAATGAGTCGAACAAGGCAGTGGCATCATCTTCATTACACGCGTTGATCAAAGGAATAATGGTCATTCCATAGGCAATGGCACTGGCATCGGGCCCCATGATGTAGTTGTCATCCCCATTGCGATCCACTTTGTACGCTTCCAGCAGAGTAGCTTGAATCAACGGTATGGTCATAGACCGAACAATCTTGGACTTTCGTGCCTTGACCGTGTCGCAATCGCCATTCAATAACCCTTGTCGTCCCGTTTGAAAATCATCGGCAATTTCCTCATTAATGTGTACTTGTCCTTCTTGGTATTCAAAGTCGCTGGCACTAACTTCGTACTTGTCGGGTGGGCAGGTATGAAATACCTGGCATTGCTTGGCAGCGAGTTCGTGATGAAGTATGCCACGCTTGCTACCACGTGATCCAACGTACATGGAAGCTGCTTGATCCCATTGTTGGATCGCCTCTTGTCGTTCGGAAGGAGCATCGCATATCTCAATAGCCACATCGAGATGGACTACTGTTTCCATCCACAATGTCAAGTGTGCCATGAAGGTGTACAAAAACGAGGCAAGGGCCTCATCATGAAAGTGATAAAAATGAAGGTTGCTTCGATCCATTTCGGTGCTAACCGTTGGATCATTCACCGCATCAAAGGCCGTTTGAATCAAGTGATCGGCATAGTCCGTACGTCCAAAGTAGGATGTGAATAGCAAGAACTCCTTGCTGAGCATGTGGAATCCCAAGGATCCATCATTGACCACTCCTCGGCTCAGCTTGGAAATAGATCTTGCATTGTGGTTTCCATTCAAGACGTCGTATTGATAATCATAATCTCTGCCCAAGGCATGATTGGTGAGAGTTCCCGATGCCTTGAAGCCTGAAATGAGCAGATAGAAAGAGAAGAAGAAAGTGATCAACATGATCATGAGAGAATTAGCATCCGTATATCATTGACCAACTAGCCAAAATAAGAAGTAAATAGAATATGACTTACATCCACCCGTCACTGGCTCTGGGTTGCCTCCCACATGACAATAGTGATCCGTGTTGATAGCCGCAGTTGCAACCGTCGTCGTATCCTCTGCTGCAGTATCACCATTTCGGTCATCCCGATGGCGTTTGCTCTTTTCCGAAAAGTGAGGAATGACCTTGCTCCGTATGAGAGATTGCTTGCTTGTTCTTTTTGTGGTGGTTGCAGTAGTGGTGGTAGCGGTATTAGTAGTAGTAGCAGGACTTCCCGTCCTACTCGTTTGGACGGGGGTATCCTCCTCCGTATCCAGAAGAGCCACGTATCGAATCTTGACTTGGTGTTCTCCCGGCCGGACGGTTTCCTGGACAATTCCAGATGCGATTCCACCCCCATTGGCGGGTCCCGTCACCACTTCTCCAGCCTCTATTTCCTGTTGGACTGGTTCGTTCAAAAACACTTGGGCGTAGGATGCTGAATACGACCCCTCCTCGTACAAAGAGCGTGCCGCATCAAAGTCACCGATCCGCAAGAGTTGTCCAATCTCCTTTAAATCTTGATCAATGGATGCCACGTCGTCAATGTTGTTGTTGTTGTTGTTGTTGTTTTGTTCCATACTATTACTACTACTAACTGTGGCTGTTGTTGTTGCTGTTGTTGGTGGTGACACATAATCGTCCACAATTCTAGCTTCCGTCAGCAAATTCTTATTGTTCGACTGCTGAAACAACAAGATCCAACAGGAAAGCCAAAACTTCCATGACGAGGGCACAGTAGCATTATGGCGTTGTCGCTTCATTCTTTTGATACTCGCTATTTGTTGTTATTGTTGTTGTTGTTGTTTTTGGTTTGAAATACTGCAGCGACGATGAGGATGGTGGTGGAATGATGAGATCATACTATAATATACGCAGTTTTTCGATTCCGGAGTGGCAATTTTTCGTCGATTGTCACGCAAAATACGACACCATATTCGGTGACCGCGACCAAATACTTAGGAGGGGCGGGCGTGACGATTTTGGTCCATAAAAGGCCTAAGAAAGTACCTGTCTTGCCTTCCTTCCGAACCAAAAAATCTGCGAGTCCGTTGAGTGTACCTACGTAGAACTCCCTACTGAATTCGCTGGTGGAGTCGTGAAATACAGGAGCACCCTTTGATTGGCGAGGAAGGATTGGGGATGACGAGAGAGAGGGAGGGAGCAGTAGAGCCAGTATTGCAATCGATCAATCAATTTACCGAGTGCGTGTGTGCAGTCTCTTTTCTTTTTGTTGCACCTCTTTCAATACAATAGTTTCAATTGGAATCCTGGTTGCTAATCATTCCAAGCAAGAGCATGACGACAAATCCAATAAGCGGTTCTCTCATCTCATCGGCAGTAGAATCATCAGAAACTCCTCCTTCTGCCTCACCTTTATCCATTCTCTCCAATGCCACTGCTTCGGTAGCCGCAAATGGGACACTGCAGCAACGACGACGACAGCATCAACAACAACCACCAGAACCACCACAGAAATCAGCCTCCAGGACTCGTCAGTTTTGGGCCATACGAAGATGCGAGGGTTTGCATTCGCCAGCCATCTTTTCCAATTGGGAAGATTGCTCTGTGTACGTGGATCCCATGGAGAATGATGGTTCGGTAGTCGAATTCAAGTCGTTCCCAACCATCCAAGAGGCTGGTGCGTATGCCTTTGGAAAAGATGAGAAAAGCGGCGGTGTGGAAGGGCGAACGAAGTATGCATCACAGCAGGAGCAATCACAGCAGCAATCATCATCCTCCTCCTCTTCCTCTCGTCCATTGCCAAATACAGCAGTATCGCCTGCTGCTCCCATCAGCCGCCATTCAGTAGCAGCAACAATGCCGAACACAATGTCCGGTACTGCTGCTTCTAGTACCACCAACAAAAAGACTACTACAATTACACCCATTGCACAGTCCAAGGCTAACAACAACAGCAGCAACAACAACAACAGCAACGAAGATGCTGCCGAATGGAATGGGAGTCTGGCTCTTACGTCATCAGATGATGATGACAATGAGAATGAGAATGAGAATAATAATAATAATCACAATGAGCAGGCCCAAACTACTCCCCCAGCCGTGACACCCACGGAAATGGATACTATGGATGGTGGCGATGCTACTACTACTATGGATGGCACTTCTGCTGATGGGATGCGTGGCGGAAGGAACTATCGGAGAAGTGTCAATACTACCTACAGCAGCGGTGAAGATGAACCAGTCGAAGAAAGTGCTGGAAAGGATCCTGTAGAGCCATCAAGTGACGATGTACTATGTGGAAGAGGGGTACGTCTTTACTGCTTTCTTTATATATGCTTGTACAAGGTCATTTCTGAATCACAATTCAACTCACACTGTTTTCTTTCATTTCAATTTGTTTCTCTTTCTTTCAGGGTCTCACCAATCATCATCCTGGTAACAAACGATTCCGTTCCATTGTCAAGCAATATCAACAAGAATACTTGCGAGCGGATCGGGGCAAAAAGGCATCCTTTGGACACAAGATCTATTCCGAAATCCAATCGCACCAAGGGCGCTTCTTGCAACGGATACCAAAAGGTCGTTCTAATAATAATAATAATAAGAACAGTGCTGCTTCAAAGTTGAAGCAATGGTACGACATTGGCAAGGTTCGAGCCATTGCCAAGATTTGTCAGGCCTTGAGGGAGGATGCACCCACCATTCGTGGGGGCAAGAGACAACAGAATCGATCACAACAACAGCAAAACGAACAGCATCAACCACAAGATCCACAGCAACAACAACAGCAGCAGCAACAACAGCAACCTGATGGTTCCAACAGTCTCAAGCGTCCGCTACCCCAAGACACTACCGAAACGCCACAGCTTGCACCTGTTGCCCCCATGACGTCCACTCCAGTCATGTCGACACCAACAAATCACCACCATCGGCATCATCATCATCATATGACACCACCACCACCGCCACCAGAAATGGCAATGTATTATCAATCTCAGCCACCCCAACCACCACATATACCGCATCATCATCCTTACATGCAGCAGCAACAACAACACCATCATCAACAACAACAACATCATTGTCACTATCCTTCTCCCGCCGCGGTCCATCATCCTCCTCCTCCTCCTGGTAGGCCCTCGGAGGCTTCGCCTCCAGCAGCACCTCCACAGAAAATGCAAAAGCGGCTATCGCACCTCGACCAGCTGTTGGCCGCGGCCAACATGGCCCAAGCTCCGACAGTGGCGTCTCCTTCCGCGGGACCATCTTCCCAATCGTCGCAAGCCGCCTCTTCACCATCACCATCCACATCCACAACCACAACGTTTGGACCCATGTTGGGAACCCCCACCACCACGGCGTCCAAATCTCAAAAAACGAATGAATTTCCGTCGGCCTCCCATACATCTCCACATGTGGTAATGTTCATGAAGAGCTGCGTCCCACTCCAAGGTGCCCCGCCTCCATACTTTCAAGGCAATATGGATGTAGCTGCTCAATTGAATCTACCCGAATTTATGATGTTGGCCAACTACCCCAACATTGCGCAAAATCAATGCAAAATGTGCGGATTGGAACGCGCTCTCAAATCCAAAGCCTCCAAGCCATCCGCCAAGAAGGATCTCCAAAAGGAACCCACCATTCCTTCTCAAAACAAGGGAGTTTGCACTGCCTGTGACAGTCAGATTTGGGTGATTGTGGACGAACGACCCGAAGCCGCTCCTTTGAAGGGCAATCAAATCAAATGGTGCAAGGGTTGCAAGAACTTTCGGCCGTGGGCTAGTTTTGGATTCAAGGGGAGTGCCACCAAGTGTGCTCCCTGTCGGGAATCCCAAGCGGAACGATACAAGGGACGAAAACAGCAGCAGCAGCAGCAGCAGAAACAACAAACCGTGACGACACCACCAGGAACAACAACCACAACAACGCCACCACCGAAAAGTAGTAATAGTAGCGTGTAGGCAGATACTACAAGAAGCAGAAGAAGAAGGGTAGTCAATCCATACATCCATCCATCCATCCATTCCATCATTCCACATAGAATAAACTCAATATTACACACAGACAGACTGACTCGATTAGATGCTTTGATGTAGGACAATACAGTAGGCTTGATTACAGTGATGAATTCTATACAAATGCTATATTAGGACTATAGATTGCCAAATGTCCAAAATAAATTATTCAAAGCCTGGTGGTGTTCCAGTCAAGCTGATCTCACGTGGGAGGGGACCCACATCCGCCAGTCTACGGTTAGGGTTTTGGAACACTGTCGGCAGTGTCGGCATTTCCATACAGACACTCATGGCCTCCAAAATGTCCATGTGGGTGGTGCCTGACGCACAGTATGGCTCAGGAGCAAGACAGATGGGGACATCTTTGAATAGAGGTGTAATGCCACCGGTATCAATTTGGAGCAATCCTAGATAAGCTTGACAGATTTCGACATCTTCGTACACTTTGTTGCCACCGTGCATGGTGCAGAGAGCGTCGGCTGCGTCATCATATTCTTGTCCCAAATTGCACTCCCAAGTGTTGGTGTTGCAGAGGGTGTCTCGGTCCACTTGGAAGGCCAAGAAAGGTGCCATGACTCCACCCTTTTGGGTGGTGGCGATAATGTTTGCTTGTGTGTAGATCATGCATTCAGTGGCGTTTTGTGCACTGGCAGAAATAGACAGCAAAACCAATAGGAGAAGACTGGAAAGAATTGTCGTCATGGAAAACATCATTGTTGTGTGCACTGTATTCTTCTTGTATTTGAATATCTATCTATGACGGCGTTGGATGCAAGGTCACTGTTCAGGAACGAAGTAGAGTTTTGAAAGGGTGCTGTTCGTTGTGGAGACGTTGGTTGCTGAAGTGTAGTGTTGTGGAAAATCTGATGCTCGCATGCAAACTTTTGCAATCGGGATGCAGTTTTTCAGAATTTCCAAAAAAAGTGGGGTTCACGTAGAGTTTTCCCTCATGCCGTCAAAATTCACTTGGTATTTAGTGAATGACTGAAGCATTTATCCGAAAAGACAGGTCTGCGACCAAAACGCTGCTTAGAATTCAAGGACTTCACTTACCGCCGGTCAAAGCAAGGACCGCTTTCATGTTGGAACTAAAGAAGAACCTTTCACAAAAGCGCGCAATCAATAATCATCATCAACATCACGTATCACGTCTGCGTGCAACACGGATTATATCACTTGAGACCTACCGGTAATATTGTACTCTGCACTCTCGAATGATCCTGAAACGTGCAGTAACCTCAACTTTTCTCAAGAACAAGAAGAACATAATTCGTGAATCATCACCATCATCAGCAACCAAGAGAGCCAAGAGCAAAATGGGTAACGGAGGCATACCCAAGCTCATCAGTGAAATTGACAGTCTGCTCAATCCGCTCGAGGGACTCACATTGGAAGACGCTGATTTGGATTTTGGCAGCGATTTGGACATTCGTAACTTGGTGGACTGGATCCAATCGGGCAATAAGGCAAAGAAAATCATGGTATTGTCGGGAGCAGGAGTGTCCGTGGCGGCGGGGATTCCAGATTTTCGGTACGTTCCCAACTATTTATATATTTTGCTGTCAAAAGAGAGACGACGACGGTGTCACGCAAAAATATATAGCATATTGTCATGGTGATCTCACAACTCTGGTTAGTACTCCCGGCACAGGCTTGTATGATAATTTGCAAAAGTACAATTTACCCTATCCTCAGGCAGTATTTGACGTCAGCTTTTATCGATCCCAACCTCAACCCTTTGTGACATTGGCCAAGGAGCTCTGGCCGGGATTGACCCATTCTCCCACGTTGACTCATTCCTTTTTGAAGATGCTGAGTGACAAGGGATTGCTATTACGATTGTACTCACAAAATATAGATGGATTGGAATATCTTGCGGGCATTCCGGATGAAAAGCTAGTGGTACGTTGGAATGACCATTGGAAACTGCAACAGTATAAAGGCCAAGGTTTTGTCTCAAACAATAATGGCTTCTCTGCTTATTATATAGGAATGTCACGGACATTTTAGAAGTGGTAAGGATGAGATGCTGTTTTAGCATTGACAATGTTCTGATCGAATCCATGTCTTACACCAGTTCCATTTCTTTTCATTTAATTTCATTTCATTTCATTTCATTTCATTTCATTGCTTCATCATACGATAGCATCCTGTATCGAATGTGGAACCACTGCGGACCCCGAAAGCGTCAAGAACACCATTATCAAGGATGTAACTGTACCAAAATGCGACAAGTGTGGAGGTAATGTCAAGCCGGACATTGTATTCTTTGGTGAAAGCTTGGTGCGTACAAATCTTTTGTGTCATGAACAAGAAATAGAAGAAGGAGAAGATGCTATACTTTTTGTCACGCATGCAAAGCTTATTGAACCATGCTACCGTGTGTATATGTATATATGTATATATATATATTAACCAAACCAATTTGCTTTTTCCATTGTTTCTTTTTTCTTTTCAGCCCGATCGGTTTCACCAAATGTTGCGCACGGATGTGGAGGAAGCAGACTTGTTGCTCGTCATGGGAACCTCGTTGCAAGTCGCACCCGTGTCCATGATTCCCGACATGGTCCGATGCGAACATCGTGTCTTGTTCAATCGGGAACCCGTCATGAAGATTCGGACGGGTAAGGACCTGTTCCTTCCCGGCAATTGCGACGATCAAGTTATGGAACTGTGTTCCATACTGGGTTGGAAACAGGATTTGTTAGAGGAAAACGCCAAAGTGCAAATCAACAACTCATCCAATTTTAAGAACGACGAAGGAACCGAGAGAAAAAACTTAAGAAAGGAACCGAGAGAAAAAACTTAAGAATGAACTTCTCAGATACTACAATCGAAAATACCAAGGGGTAGGAGGAGTACACTACACTACACTTTACAGACAGAAGAAAGCAAGAATGTAACAAAGTGTATCGGAAACTTGCTAGCTAATTATCTTAAATATATGGAAAGGCCAAGGGGGGCCCACGAAACTTTGACCACATCCGGCAAAAGAACCAACAGAAATAGATTCAATGATTCCAGCTGGACATCATGTGCCCTCATATTGTACCACCATGATGAATTCAGTTTGCTTTCAAATACACCCCTGAAGAAACGAACGTCCTTTTTCTTGTCATGACATGGACTGATGACTCACTCACCCTCTCCTCCAGTAAAAGATATACCTAGAGGGGTCACATTTCACATTTGAATCAATCAATCAATCAATCAATCAATCCAGCTCTTATTGCAGACATAGCAAAAAAACAGAAACAATGATGCTTGGAACCATCAACAAGAAGCTGCTTGCCTTCTTATTGGCATCACTTCCCAGCAGTAGATCTTCTGGCTCATTGAAACTACTCAAGCATTCGTCCAGGCAATTTCTGAAGGCAAATAGAAAATAGATATCATGTCGTGTCAGAATAATAGATACAGAATAATAGAGACATGATATATGATTCACAGACACCCTAGATCATCATCACTCATCATCACTCAACATTTCTCAATAACAATGAAGCATTTCATCTTCTTACCTTCCAATACAGGTTCCTTCCGCTACATTCCGACAATCGTATGCCAAGGAGCCATCCCTACAGAATCCACACTTCCAACAGGTATTCGTATTGGGGGCATCTTGCGAGTCTCCAATTCCAATCGTGCATTGACATTGGGCCATGGAATAATCGTCTCGGGTGGTGGGACAGGAGAGACTCAAAAAGGCACCCGATCGTGGGGTATCCTCAAACATGCAATAGCGATTGGGTTTTCGGTCATCTCGTGTGGACCAACATTTGCCTTGGGTCAATTGCAATTCTCGTAAACTTCGTTCTTGAGCATTTTCATTCCAAGTGGGAAGAATCATGGAGACTTCGAGTTCCGATGATGACAATGATGATGATGATGATGAGGCATCAGTAGCAGCAGCAGCAGCAGCAGCAGCATTGTCCAGTAAAAGAATAATACCGAAGAACAATGCGGCGATGGAAGAAAGGAGACTGACTCTTGATTGGCAGGCCATCATGTTTGTTAGGTTTGTCTGTGATAGGATATGACGACGACGGGAGACTGAACTGGGTCTGAAGCCTAGAAACAGCTTGGATGGAGATGGATGGGAAGTGCGAAGAAGGTTTCTGGGTTCGGAGTTGAGAGGTGCATGCACATGCATTATTTGTCATGCGTTTTATTTTCAGAGCATCGCTGAAGTCGACTAAGCCGATTGTTTGACTCGAAGGAGTCAAAGCTCTGTGATCTTCATATTATTTATTTTATGTACCAGTATTTTTTCATTCTCATTATTGCTACTGTGCCGCAAGCAGACAGTCATTGAGCGTGCGGCTTGATTCTCACTCACGTTTCATACAGTAGTGTCAATACTTGCAGGACTTGATCTTCCATGGTCCCCTCCTTCAGTCTCTATTTGACCACTTCCCTTCTTATGCTAATTGCTAGAGCAGCAAGTTTCTCAACTTCAACGACATTGAAAAACTCCCCAAGAATCATCAGCATGACAACTGCTGCTACTGCTGCTACTGCTGCTACTGCTGCTACTGCTGCTACTCTAAAGGCATCCTCTGCAGACTTGGCGGAAGGCGCCTCCGACTTGTACTTTCGGACACCGTTGATTTATAGTCAGCCAATCTCAGCGTTGGTGGGCAAACCGGTGTATTGCAAAATGGATGCCCTCCAAGCATCCGGATCCTTCAAAGACCGAGGCATGGCCCATCTGTGTGCCACGTTTGCCAAAGAAGGCGTCACCAAAGTGATCTCCAGTAGTGGTGGAAATGCCGGTTTGGCCGTCACTACGGTCGGTGCCAAATTGGGCATGGAGGTCTCGGTCATTGTTCCCCAAACCACCAAGGCAGTGGTCATTGCCAAGTTGGAATCCTTAGGAGCCGATGTCACGGTTCATGGTAAGAATTGGAACGAAGCGGATACCTTGGCACGGGAACTAGTCGCAAAAACTCCTGGTACCAAGTATGTCTCGCCCTATGACGATCCATTGTTGTGGACCGGGCATTCCACCTTGGTGGATGAAATTGTACAAGATTTGCCAGCACAAGGAGGAGTGCCTGGAGCTGTGGTGGTCAGCGTCGGTGGTGGTGGATTATTGTGCGGAGTATTGGAGGGTTGCCAACGGCATTCCATATCTCCAAAGGTCATTGCGGCAGAAACCAAGGGTGCCTCTAGTTTTGGACAAGCCTGGGAAGCGGGCAAACCTGTTACTTTGCCAGGAATTGATACGATTGCTACGAGTTTGGGTGCCACCAGTGTGACTCCAGTGGTCATTGAACGTGCCAAGGCCCACAGTGGCGCCTTTTGTTCCAGCATTTGCTCGGACGAGGAAGCCGTGGATGCCTGTCTCAAGTTTAGTCAAGATCATCGGATTCTAGTCGAACCGGCCAATGGTGCGGCGTTGGCAGTGGCGTATTCGGAACGATTGCGAGAACAATATCTAACAGATGTCGAGGGACCAATTGTCTTGGAGGTTTGCGGTGGATCTGGTGTCAATCTAGATCTATTGATGGGGTGGAAGAAGGATTATTCTCTATGAATACCGCGTGCCTGTAGGCAATTTACCTACAGTAGTCTATTCTGACAATAAGAATGACATCCACTTGATGAAGTGTAATATGTCTAATACTATCATTTTTTTAAACATATCATATTGAAATTAGTAAATTTAAAATACTGTCTTGGAATGCGCCAACTAAGATGCATGCCACTCTTTTGGAGAGTATATATATTGGAATCATACTACTAGCTCACTACTATTATATTGATATCTATTGGATCAATATCAAAACGACACAGTTGACAGTTTCTACATTTACTAAACAGCACATTGTATTATCCCATAATGGTATTCCAAAGCAGCGTACCGGTAGTCATCATGATCCCAATCGATGAAAGCGTATTACAACCATTATATGCCGCACCCCCTCCCGATGTGTCCGCGTTTGGCGAAGCGGTTGGGACGGGAACCGCCGTTTCAGGATCCAAACATAGACCCTTCGAACTTGCTTCGAGATTGGCATACGGATTCTCTGTACCAGGTGCCTTTTCCCGTTCTGCTTTGAAGTATAATGCTCGGTGCAATTGGACCATGGGAATGCTCTCGTCACAGGATTGCGCAAAGCAAAAGTCCACATTGACAAAGTCCAAGTCCGCAAAGGCTGGAGCATTGGAAACCTTGGATACATCATCGACGCAGACTCGGACATCCCTCTGTAGAATCTTACCGCCAACCGCATTACAATCTGACAGTGATTGCTCCGTGTAGTCGGTATCATTGTAATCGCAAATGGCAGTGGTAAGGTTGCAGACACCAAAATTCAGGGCCAAGTAGTTTGGAAAGAACCAAAGACCGCTCACATTGTTCAACGGATCAATGAGATCTGTTATTGTTGCATTTGGTGTTGAAACAAAAATGCCATAGGGTAGGGAGCAACAAAGGACAAAATGTCAGATATTGCGATTGTCTATATGAACAATATGAGAACAATAACACAGATTCAGTCTATAACAGACACTGAACGAAGCGAATTGCCGCCTTTATCGAGGACCTTTCAAAACAAAAAGCTTCTCTATATCACTCCTCACTCCTCTGACTTACCGATGGTAGCAGTGACACAATCCTCAGCGGCATCCAACGACCGGTGGTGCTGATCATTATTATTATTATTATTCTCATTATTATTTTTGATGCGGGCAAAATCCATCAGACTTCCACCAACTTTTGTGGTGAGAGAAATGGCAAGAACAAGAATCGACAAGAGTGACTTTGGCAGCATCATGAAATTCTGTTTCACTATCAATTATAGTTAGTTGTTGAAGGACCCGATTATGCTGCTATTATTGCATACAATGGAATACGATTATGATTTTGAGATGCTTTCAGATGACCCGAGCGACAAAAGCCTACTTCTGTACTCGAATGTCTGACTATATCTGCCATCGTCTGCCATGAAAGTTCTCTGGTACAGTACAGTAGCTATGGGGAAGGATTTTCAATTTAACTAGACTCTATTAGTATATGTGTTTATTTTTGTTGTAGACTCAATGATATTCGTCTCGACTTCTTTTTTATGTCTATCGAAGTCGTTGCAGAAAATACTGTTTGTGGCAACAAGGACTCCATCACCACAAAAGTATATTCTCTACGGAAGCCAAACCACTGGACCAAGATCGTATGAATAACGGCGTCTTTTGTATCCATGTTCCCAAATGGGATCCAGATTTCCCTTCCAATCCCAATTGTTGCATGTTGCATCACCTGGGTCGCAACATATTGTGCAGCAAGAGCAGTCAATTTGGCCAGCCACCATTCGCCGGCGACCGCCATCATCACCACCATTGCCCGGTAAATCGTCAGCTGGGCCCAAATCATCAAATTGACCGAGCCCTCCGTCTCCTTCACCTCCTACATCGTTGCCAACAGGAGGGTTGTTGACAACTGGATCATCATCAAAGACCGGCGGACTGGTGGTGGGCAATGGAGTAAAGACCTTATCATCGTCAAATGGTGTGGGAACTGAAGAAGCAATTGTGGGTATGAGATCTGCTGCTGTTGGACCGTCATTCGGACTTGTGGCTGGTGTCGGCGCAGTTGTGATGAACGTGCCACCGGTAGGTTGATCGTCAATAACTCCAGTATCCGGTGCAGCGCTGGGAGATATAGTGGGATTGTCGTCTCCAACATTACCAGGATTCTCTGTTGGGATTTGTACGAATTGGTCTCCACAATCGGCCACAAACGTTTCCACCTTGAACGATGTGGCAGAACAAAGTGCATCAGCGGTACCTTCAAAACTATTTTGCTCCATCAGCAGTACTTGCAAGTTGGTCATTTGTCCCATTTCTGCGGGGAGCTGCCCAGTGAGTGCGTTCTGCTTTAGAATCAAGTGCCGAAGAACGGTAAGTTTCCCAAATCCAGGTGGGACCTGTTGACTCAGATTGTTGTCATCTGCAGTATAGCAAGAGAATAATGTCAGAAGTTGTTTTTGGAGCGGTGGCAAAGGATACGACAAGACTTACGGAAATCCAAAAATACCAGATTCGACAAGTAGAGGAAGAACTCGGGTATGCTCCCTTGAAGCTGATTCTTTTTCATGCTCAATTCCTTCAAATTCGTCAATTCGATCAAGAACTTGGGAACTTCGGCAGGAACAAAGTTATTGTCACCGGTAAACAAATACTCCAGTGCCGTCATTTCCCCCAATTCTTCGGGAAGAGTTGATTCGAATAAATTTTCACTCAGATCCAAGTGATGAAGAGCTTCCAGATTTTTAAAACTGTTGGGTACAAAGCCCTCTAAACGGTTTCGATGCAGGGCAAGGAAGTCCAACTCGGTGTTGGTATCAATCATGTTGGGTAATGGCCCAGCAAATTCATTTCCATGTAAATCGAGAACCTTGAGCTGGGGATTGTTGTTGAATAGTGTCGTCGGGAGGAAACCAGTAAAGCCACATTCGCTAAGATCCAGTTCTTCCATCTTTGGCCATCCTTGCATCAATGTCTCCGATATGGTACCGTTGAAAAAGTTGTTCTCCAAATAAAGACTCTTTAAATTCGAAAGTGGTGCAAAGATATCAATACTTCCAAACAAGTCATTGTCATCTAGACCCAACAATTCCAATCGACTCAAACTATTGATTTCCGCAGGTACTGTTCCATCGAGCAAGTTGTTTCCAAGTCCTAGATACTGTAAGGTTGTCATGGTACCAATCCAGGTGGGGATCGTCCCGTCCAAGTTGCACCATTGCAAGGCCAAGTGAGTGAGTGAATCCATAGTAGCAAAGGCTTCTGGTATGGTCCCGACAATGTTTGGATTGAACATGACATTGAAGACTTCCAAACCTTCCAGACTTTGAATTTCATCCGGGATGAATCCAGCAAGACCATTGTTTGCTGCGATGAAACAAAAAAGGAAAGAAGAAGAAGAAGAAAAGCATTAGCACCGTCATCATGAACTTGACCGATTCGACAATGCTTCCTTATTCTTACGCATAAAGACAGAATGAGGATAGAGTTCCCCATTGTCAGCTTCCCTACATCGGTGTATGCCATATAGAACGGATGAACCATCTTGTAAAGTAAACTCTTCAAACCATGTGCAAATGTGATCCCCGCTCAAAAAGTTGTACTCATGGGTCCATTCCGTGCCGCCAAGCGCAAAGAATAGGACCGCCATGATGTACCGTTCCGAAAATTGGAGATTCCTTTCTTGTGGGACAGGCATATTGAGAGGATCCCCATGGGCCATCCATTGTGCTGCCAGATATTGAGGTGTCGTCGTTTGGTCAAATGCTGTTTGAGGAGACACGGAGCCAACGTTTACGAGGTAATCTCGAAGGGCAAGGTAGGCTTCAGTGTCTCCTTGGACAAAATGGAAAAAGTCTCGTGGCTTTTCAGATGGTTGGATACCAAAGACGACAAATTGAACCACAACAGCAGCTAAAAGGCATATCGATACAAATCCGCAACTCTTCCAGAAACAGTTGTTTGGACCCTCTTCGTACTTTTCCTGATCACTGCCCTCTTCTTCAATTTCTAAAGACACAATTTGATTTTCGTCATCATTTTCTTCGTCAGCATCAATTCGGAACAGACCTTCATTTTCAACGGCATGATTCCTCTCGTCATCATAAGCCATCATCTCATATTTCTGATTTCTCAATTCAGGAGGATCTTGTTTCCGTTCCACTGGATCGCGAGCAAGAATGGATTCTCTTTCTTCCACCCCGTCAGCTGATGATGGCCCAATGTTTCCAATCACTTTTTTGAGCTTATCCTTCAATCCCACACCACCAGTGCGATGACCTATGGCAGCCTTGTATTCTTCGACATTTGGCAACTGATCGTGATCCTCATGATTTCCCTTCTGAAGTTCCAATTGCTGCTGCTGTTTCCCTTCACTTTCTAGCGGTAACGTCATGTCCCCATATTCCTCTGCTGCTTCCATCATGGCTTTTGAGTACACAACCAGTCTGCACGGTAGGTACAATACTGCTGTAGGTTGGGATTTATTCCAAAGGAAAAGTTGGTGATACGATTGATATTCAGGCAGAGGAGGCAGGAATCGCTATATTTATATATTCAGGTTCCGACCGTTGACAATATGTACCGCGCACATGCGTGTCGTCTTTCTTTCAGCGGATGTCCATCCGTCATCCGTAGAGAAGGCATGACTGACCACATCCAAGAGTATACGACCCCGTCGACTGGTTTCTTAACAGTCTCGAGCACTCGAGCGTGCACAATTTGAACGGTTTGAAAATTCGCGGGGTTCCCAAGTCGGATCGATGGCAGGCGCGTATCATGAAATTTTGCAACACTCGGATGTACCATATTTTAAAAAATACGGGCAACTTACCTGGTCCGGTACCTGCGCAGAGTGACAGGATGATAGTAGGGAGAGTAATACAGCAGTATGGTACAATGTAAAAAACCTAACTCAAATATGTATATTATAGGTATTCATGAAGTTATACTGGCCTGCAGCATATCGACAAAAGTGGATTTGGTCATGTCTGGCATCGCATCTCAGACGGCTGCTGCGGTGGATCGAGGTTTGCTGTTTCGATTCTGATTATTCGTCTTGTTTCTTGCGACAATTTCCAAGGCTCTCAGGTGTGTGTCAGTGCTAGTGTAGCTACCGGCATCGCCGCGACTGTCGCGGGGTCTACTAGCATGGACATAACCATATGCATCGTGTCTGTTGCGAGTCTTTTTCAATATAGCCGCAACCTGTGGGTCTTGGATAATGTCAAATGGATCCAAAGGTTGCTCAATGGTATTTGCATCGTTAGGATGTTGTTGTTGTCGTCGTTGTTCTTGGTTTGAAGGATGGTTCCTGTTGCTGCTAGTCTCATCCACGATAATAGATGAATCTTCATCACAGCCATTGGCACGCCCACACCATCCATCTGACATGCTTTCCATGATGGATGTTGAAAAGTTCTGAATGGCGGCCTCAAGTCGACTGTAGTAGACCTGTACAGAGTCATCTTCTGCATTTGATTTGCTCTCCTCATACTGACGCTCTCGGATTTGGCCTTTGCTGTGCAGCATATTACCTGACATCATGCTATATTCCATGGTAGCATGGCTGCCTGAATCATCATGATAGCGCATAGTCGAAGCATTGTTGTTATCATCGTCCAATCCTCCTCGATTATCATAGCCTTCAGATCCCATCGAAAGAATGTACGATCCAGCTGGAAACGCATAATCATATGTCACCTCTTCTTTGGATTCTCCTCGATTGTCACGAGCGAGGCGTTGTCTCCTGAGAGATCGTAACCGCCGTGCTGATAAGCTCATGTCCTCCTTGCTGCTGCTCAGAGGTGGAGGAACGGCATGTGGGGCAGTCATGGCAATATCATCGCTTCGCACTGATGCCAAATCCGAAGCCGAAGGAAAGATGTATTCTTCGTTTGCGCCTACTGCAGCAGCATTCGAAGCAATGGTTCGATGGGTCAACATGCTGTTGATAGGAGCCCGTTGCTTGTATCCTTTCTCCCCCGGTGAGGGGATGTTGATCATGAAACTCAGACTGGTCATGCTAAAGAATGCAACAAATGAATTGAACAAATGCTGAAGAAAGTGTGGTGAATAAGTCTTCGTTATAAATATTGATTCCAAGATTTTCCATCTTGGGCGGGAGGAAAGCGCGACGCTTTCGAACGGAATCCAAAAAAGTATCATATGGGACCGCCCGGTGGTCGATGGAGTCGGTTAAACGACGATGGAAGTCGTATCGTTTGAGTCGATCTATCTCCCTGGCACAGGAAGAGTGCGTGGGCACAATTGGATGCACGTTGCAGGTGTACCGGTATATATGTATCGCGAACGGTCGCGACTGCGACTGAAACAGTACCAGGTACCACGTACACGTACATACAAAGTAAAAATGAGCGCGAGCGGATATCACACCACCAGGAGCGCACGTGGAAGACGACGAAGTGATCAAAAAAATCTCCCCGCCACCGGTCGCAGGTATTATTATCCAGAAATCATAGAATGAAGGTCTTGGTTGTGGAATTGAAATGCGTTTGCGAAAACAAAATGATTATGTATGAATGACATCACGGGAAAACAGAATAGGCCGGAGAAAAACATTCTCTTTACTAATGTGGTACTCAGCGTTATTTGAACGCCATTTCGCAGTGTATCGGAGAAAAGTACAAGAACGGTACTTAAGGGAAAGGCAGCTTTACACGGGGTTATGGCGCTGTAGAAACTTCTTTCACCCACAATTTCGGCAGTTTCGGCACTTCAATACCAGTGTACCATTCGGACCGGTATTCAGGTAGGCATCATAATCGCAAGAAAGCAAACATTACAAAGCCATGAATCCTCTAGTTGAGACTCTTCTCCTGAACAATGAAGCTGCAACTCTATTCCACTCTAATCAGTGTCTTTCACGAGCTGCCGACGCATACCAGAAATCTCTGTGCAATGTCCAGAGCCTATTGCGGGGACACCATCATACTGCCTTGATGGATCCGCCATTGCATTCCACTCTGGTTTCACCTGAGAGATGCTCGCATTACTCCTTTCCCAATGCGAGCTCAATGACACCCTCTCCAGCTCGTGATAACTTTTATCTATTTCAACGGGCCTTGTATCTCAACGCACCATCAGCAGCAGATGTATCATCACCATCCAGCCCACAAGCCATATGCCAGGCACTTCCCATCCTGGGCTCGGTCGTCTTGTTCAACTCTGCAATCTTGTACCACAAGAATGCAGTATTGACAGGCGAGTCCTTCAGCTTGGACAAAGCCCAGCAACTATACAAGGCAAGTCTTCAATTTGCAACCTCGCAAGGGGCAACCAACCCCACCGACTGGTTGATTACTATTGCGGCAAGCAATAACTTGGCACAAATCGCTTATGAGAAGGGCCTAATTGACGAAGTCAACGAACGGCTCGATGATTTGTCCTTTCTCATGTCGAGAGGCGGATCTCTCGAGCGACTTCAGGGTATTTTTACGGTGGCAGAGATTGAAGGATTCCTTTCCAATGCGGCTATGACCGGTGGATTCAAATCCTCTCCGGCTGCCTAAAGGTCAATCTCTTTTAAAAATAAAGATTGCGAAGGAAACTTTTTTGGAAGGAATTATTAATATTAATACAATATAAAATAGAATAAAAAATCAATAAATATTTATGGATTACTCCGATCCAGTTCCACTATTGATGTGCGCCCTTGGACAAGCATGTTCAAGCACCTTCAGTTTCTTGTTCGGTTGCAGCATTTTGAATGTGTTTGAATGTGAGAGAATGCTCTGTCCAGTGTGGGTCTCTCTCTTGTCCTACATGACTTCAATAAAAGGGTGTATCTCTTGAACTGGCAGTGCGTCTGTGGACATTCGGCAGCTCGTCTGTAGTACCTGCTAGCTGCCTGGTACTGATGTAGTACTATTCATGTCGAACTGCTTTCCGTTCAAGAGACGGTGCAGCAGTGTCCAATATTTCATAAGTTCTGCCGATGCTACCTAGCTACAGTACTACCATCCTCAACAACGGACTGCACCACGACCAAGCACAGTTCTGGCCGGAACAGCAACACTGGACACTAGTAGTAGACCATGATTCGAAAGATGATCATGCCATAGTACCTGGTACAGCAGTGGGAATCAATCGATTTTATGTCTACCAAGACTGAATTCTGACCTGTGCACTTTTCTATTGGATCGAACAAGGTACCAGGTACTAGGCCACTAGATGAGAAGAACTGGTGATTCATTCCTTCTATCTGGTGTAACCAAATCTGGTATGCATGCAGTATCGCTGGGATTCCAAGACCATCTGGGATCTGTCACACATGGCACAGCAGGGAATCACCACGTAGTATTGATCTGAAACATTTGTGTGCTAGTTGCGGTGACATTTTTTTCATGGTGAGCTTTTAAATTCCCTTCTCATCAGGATTCTGAAATTATTGTGAGTGCGGGGATAAGAAGCGTGGGACCAACAGAAAAGGTTCCCCACAAGGGGTAAATGGATCCCGCGAATTTGTCTTCATTTATGAGACGAGCTCGCTTTCAAGATTAAGATTTATCACAGTCGATCGCCTGAACGCCCGCTTCTGACTAGAAAATGAAACATCGTAATTGTGTTGGCTGGAATGATTTCTTGGCATTAAGTACAGCGAAAAAAAGTTTGAACGTGCGCTTCTGCTTGAAAAACGAATTTTCTCTATAAAATGGAACTGTCTCGCAATTACTTATACGCTCACGTTTTCCCGCCTTCTTATCTGTAAAGTTCTGGTGAACGAACGGAATAAAAACAGAAAGAAAAATTTCCGTCTTCTCCCCGAGAATCACAAATTTCAAAACTCATTCATCACTCATCATCAACTCCACTAGAATGAATCAACACAGAAGAACTATGTCCTGTATCAACAAATTCAACAACGAAGCAGTGGCCCTTGTCATGAACAACCGTCATCCAAGAGCGATTCAAAAGTTCCATGAGGCTCTCGTTCAAATGAGAGGGGTCATGAGGGCTTTCCCTAAAGATCTCTCTGCCCCTAGCTACGTAGCGTCACGTCCTAAAACCGCACCACGCCATCATGTCGTGATATTGCCCTCTCAAGCCGATCATCAAAGCAAAAGAGAAGACATGTTCCTGTATCTCAATCCCATACTCTTGGATGAACCAACTAACCTGCATCCATCAACTTTGGCACTCTACTGCGCTGTTACTCTTTTCAACGTTGCCATTCTCTACCACATCGAAGGTGTGGCGAAGGGAAGGATGCGCTTCTTGGACAAAGCACAGCAGATGTACCAAGCAAGCCTTCACTTCTTGAACGGCCAAGGTCTCTGGAACGACACTGTTTTTCTGCTGAGCCTCGCTGCTCACAACAACCTGGCTCATATTGAGTTGGAGAAAGGAACAGTAGAAGCCTCAAACGGCCACCTTGGTCATGCATTCGAACTACTCCAAAGCATCAAGGAGAGAGCACTTGACATCTTATCAGATAGTGAGCTTCATGGCTTCTTGCTGAATTCCTCGCTTCAAGGGAGGATTTCTTCGGCTGCTGCAGCCTAGGCAATCCATATATATATTCCAGTTTTGATACCTTTCGAGTTCTCAGATGTACATACTAAATTAGAAAATACTTTTGCATTGTTCTTAGGGCTATCTGGACATAAGTTACAGAATCCAACAATCTTTCAGCTTCGCTCCTAGGTTAGCCTCATGCTATCGGTTACTTCTACATTACTGGTGAACGAAGCTCTTGGAACCGAATGAATCATGCATACGGTAATGTAACTGTTTACCTGTTTCCTGATCAGGTACTTTTTTAGGGCGCCACATCATACCGGTACCGGTATGCAGTACTGTACTGTATCTCACCAGAAACCAGAAACAGGATCATATTTTCAAAAGCCTAATTTAGTTTCAAATGTATGAATAACCACCTACAGTGCTAACTAAGCAAACAAATATCCTGTCACGGCATGGTCGGTCGCTCCCAAGAATTGATCTTCTTCTTTTGGTATCGTGTCATAGATCAGTTGCGCAGTTGTATTGCTCTTGGCACCAGCAGCTGCCACCATGAACAGTGGCAGCAAGTGTTCCTCCCTAGGATGGCATATACGACCTCCAGGTGCTTCCTTCCATTGTGTGAGCTTTTCCAAGATTTCAGAAGAGTCCTTTGTATTCAAAAGGACATCCTTGATCCACTCGTTGAACTGTATTGACGAGGCGACTGTCTCTTGTGTCGGACCAAAGAATGCTTGCATATTGTGGAACGTATATCCACTACCCAAGAGCAAAATGTCATCATCTAGCAACGGTGCCAGAGCCGAGCCAATATTTAGATGGGTCTGTATGTCAAGTGATTGGTGCAATGAGACACAGACCACAGGAATGTTGGCTTGCGGATACATGAGCATTAATGGAATAAATACGCCATGATCGAATCCTCTTGTTGGATTCAATTTCGACGTGATGTCATTCGATTGAAGCATTGCTTGAATTCTCTTAGCGAGTTCTGGTGAACCAGGTGCAGGGTAATCATACTCGTAAGTCTCGGGCGGAAAACCGTAATAATCAAAGAGCATGGATGGATTTGAGGCACTGGTGACTTCCACCTCATCGTTCTTGGATTCATAGTGAGCAGAAAGTACCACGATTGCCTTCGGTTCTCTGTCCGGAAGATACATTTTGGCAACTTCCTTCATGTGCCTGGTCAATTCAGGCTGTCGCCCCAACAGTGGCAAAGGGCCACCACCATGGTTGATGAAAAGAGCAGGGAATCTCATACTGTTGTAAAGAGTGCTTCGATGTTATCAAAGTCGAATTTTTGTCCTCTGATGTCTTCTGGATGAAGCTTATGACCAAGACGAGGCCATCCCGGCACTTCAGGATACCACTTTCTTCTCTGTTCCACCTTGTTGGTTTGGATGGTAGCTATTTTGAACATGGATCGTTGACCTTCCATATCACGAGGACGTGTACTGTACGTGTACAGACTTAGTGTCAAATGTTGTGCGTATCAGCCTCACGCGCATTGACGCAGGGCACGTGTGCCGATACTGGTACACGTACGCGCGCGCGTCGGAATGATCCAGTCAGAATCTCGAGCTCGAACACGTAGAGAGCGCGTGCATCGCCCGAGTCAGTCCAGTCGTGAAGATATTTCTTCGTATTCGCCACCTGATTCATTCAATTCCGCAATCTACGATACACGATAGAGGTGGAAACAAAGCCAAAAGGAGAAGTTTCTTTATTTTCTGGATTATATTCTAGTAAGTGTGTAGGTGTGATGCTGCTGCGATTTCTTCGACCTTTATATTCCATGATCAAGTCCTAGGGAAAATTGCTTCTTGATCATTGGCCAACCAGTGGTACAGCGTAGTAGTAGACCACAGTTGTTGTTGAAGCTCGGAAAATTGGGTGTAGTGTTTGTTCTTGATGTCCATGATCAGGCTGCAGCTGCGACCTTTGGCTTCTTGAACAATAGCACACTCATCAACAATCCTTGGACTTCAGCTCCTTCCAAGAGGACCTCATCGGTAGTCTTTAACAGGGCAGAGAGTTCTCCTAGGCCATCTTGCACCCGATCGAATTCACCACTCTCGAAGCGAATATGAGCCATGTTGTTGATGCATGCAAGCTTGAGCAACAAGGCCGATTGCATGTGACCAACGCGCTCGTCCAGTAGCTTCATGATGGTAGCGTACAGCTTGTGCGCCTTGTTTCGGGAATTCTTGGATCCTTGGATGTGGTGAGCGAGAGCCAAATTGAAAATGACAGCGGCAGAGTAAACGTGAAGATCCAATTTTGTGGTGTCGTCGCCATCGGATGGAATCATGATGGCCTGGCGGAAGAAGATGTGTTCATCACATTCAGCATGAGTAACCTCCACAGTCGAAAAGCTTCGAAAGCAGGACGAAGCTTGCTGTGAGGAAGAGGAGGCCAATGCGGCTGCTTGATCTGGAGAAGCAATGTATTGCTTCATCATCCTGACTGTACTCATGAGGAGTTTGATGCTGGTATCTTCATCACCCTCAACAAGGGCAGTGACACCTTCATTGTTTAGCCGTGCGGCTTCGTGGAAGAAGGATTGATTCATGTTGTTGTTCTATGGTATCAAAAATCAAAAGTGTCAAGAAAAAAATTTGTGAGCAAAGTGTTTGTGCCACGCAAGATAAACATCTTCCACAGAACCTTATCCTGCGTTCGCCAGAACACAGTTACGGACATGCATGACCGCAGCCTCCTGTCATTCACAGGTGGTACATATGTTTCTGCCATAATCCAGATAATACGATTCGTTTTCACTTATAAATGCATCTGAGAAACAGTCATTTTTATTAAAGATACGTTTCGAGCACATGAAGAATGTGAGTACCAGAGACAGTATGAAGAATATGAGTGGTGTCAAGACATGGCGTATCACGCCCTTCGAAATATCACAGTATAGCCTTAAATGCTTATCGTAGTTTGTCAACGTGTTTAACAAAGATAGCGAAAGAGTTGCGCTCAAGACCTGATAAAACATTCAGGATTTATGGAGGACAATGACGTTCGCTATGCAAGAAGTGAAGTTGTAAACCTTGATTGTATTTGATTGTATTTTTTAAAATATTTTTCTGGATTCTATTCTGGGTTTGAAACTAAGTTGATAAAGGCAAGTATCATAGTCACTGCATCACCTTCGGTGGCGTTTTGATGTCTTCAATCTCTGGTTTTTGAAGCGATGGGGAAAATGGCTCATATAGTCCATAGGTTAGCAGAGCCGTAGCAAGGAAAATTGGATGTAGCGTTTGTTCTTGATGTCCATGATCAGGCTGCAGCTGCGACCTTTGGCTTCTTGAACAATAGAACACTCATCAACAATCCTTGGACTTCAGCTCCTTCCAAGAGGACCTCATCGGTAGTCTTTAACAGGGCAGAGAGTTCTCCAAGGCCATCTTGCACCCGATCGAATTCACCACTCTCGAAGCGAATATGAGCCATGTTGTTGATGCATGCAAGCTTGAGCAACAAGGCCGATTGCATGTGACCAACGCGCTCATCCAGTAGCTTCATGATGGTAGCGTACAGCTTGTGCGCCTTGTTTCGGGAATTCTTGGATCCTTGGATGTGGTGAGCGAGAGCCAAATTGAAAATGACAGCGGCAGAGTAAACGTGAAGATCCAATTTTGTGGTGTCGTCGCCATCGGATGGAATCATGATGGCCTGGCGGAAGAAGATGTGTTCATCACATTCAGCATGAGTAACCTCCACAGTCGAAAAGCTTCGAAAGCAGGACGAAGCTTGCTGTGAGGAAGAGGAAGCCAATGCGGCTGCTTGATCTGGAGAAGCAATGTATTGCTTCATCATCTTGACTGTACTCATGAGGAGTTTGATGCTGGTATCTTCATCACCCTCAACAAGGGCAGTGACACCTTCATTGTTTAGCCGTGCGGCTTCGTGGAAGAAGGATTGATTCATTTTGGTGTCAGGGTATCAAAAAGTGTCAAGAAAAAAATTTGTGAGCAAAGTGTTTGTGCCACGCAAGATAAACATCTTCCACAGAACTATACTTCTTTCACTTCGCCGGATCACACTTATCTTGCTGGTCATCCAAAACGTTCTTGCCAGAAACTGAAATGATACTTCTTCGCCATTCATTGATATAAGTAGCGAAGAAGATGAGTACCGTCAAGACACTCCTTGTTACGCCCTTCGAAATATCACTTGAATTGATTATTGAAAAGTCGCCGGAACGGACTCAAGAAAGAGAATCTCGACACCGATTTATAAAAGGGTGGGAAACCAAATCGTCCTTTTTGCTTTTGCTCATTATTGTGAAATGTCCCAAACATTTATTGTTTCATTGTCACTTTGTTGACGCATTCTTTTCGGGTCACAATCTCCATTCGACGCGGGAGGACTGATACCATCTGCCAAGATTTTCAAGGAAGCGGGGAAATCAACTGCCGGAAACAGGGGAAATCAACTGGCGAAAACAATTTGAAGCAAGCATATTCATACAATAGTATTATCTGGTGTAGTGCTCACACATCCTGTCCTCCTCTAGCGGAGAAATCATGATGGTTGAAACAGGGGAAATCAACTGGCGAAAACAATATGAAACCGATACCTACGTACTAGCGGATAATATTATGTACCATGTTCGAATGTACCGCGTCTTCGTCCAATTGGTTCGAGGGAGCGTATAGTGCGATATTATGAAAATAGGAGCAAACAAACTGGTGAACATTACTTTTAAAAAATTATCCGGCAATAACTAGAAATGGTGGTCCTATGCAAACTGCACCTTTGGACCCGGTTATGCAGCACAAGCTTTTACAGGAGACGAGGACGCAGCAGACGAGCGGGTTCAAGAGCAAATGGCAGCCATGATGCATGGAAATCAATAAGCCCCTCTTTCCAATGTGACATTTGGCTGAAGTTTATTGCCCTTCCGACAAAGAGGGTACAGTAGAAGAGAATACAAAACAATTTTTCACACAGAAAAACATCGTGGCTTGATCTTTACTGTGACTGCAATAGCAATTGCAAGAGGAGTCGCGGGATCTCTTCTTGCCCAACGATCCGATTCAAGCGCTTCATCATCGGCAACCGAAGGCGCATCCACTTCTGTACCTACCAATCCCCCGACTGAAAATCTCTAGTATGATCCACCAAGTGAAGCAGCATGTACTAGGCTACTCACCGAAACGGTTATTGAAACAGAATTTGTGCAGGATGCCGAACTGATGCTTGAAATCAGCTTGGCACAATAATTTAAAGAGACAGAGGTTGAAACAAGTCTCGCCACCTTGGATGAAGCTCTACAAGATCGCCTCGTCCCACCTTTCGTTGCTTGTCCACTGGATCCACCATCCTCCACCAGCCGACACTTGTCCTCGAATCCTCTTCGCTACATGATTGCAGATGCGCGATTAGGTTTGACGCGAGTCAGCCCGTTGGAGGGCGAAGATGCCAAACCTTGCTTTCTTGCCCTAACTCCAATGGATTTTTCCTCAAGGGTAATGCAACATCATTCTCTCTTCTTGAGCTGATCTAGGACGTTTTGGCCGAGAGTGGAGAAGCACCACTTGCCTATCCTTCCAATGAAAAAAAATCGACTTGAAAATGTGAGGTCAGTCGATATTACGGACAATCCCAAGCTCGAATATTTGGAATCACTTTTGTGGGAGCATGGTGCTGAATGAATGCCTGTAGAGTAAATACAAAGTCGAGATTTCTTTATGACATTGCCTTAGAGTACGAACAACAAGGTCTGTTTCTTCTCCAGTTACTCTATACTTTCTCATTTTCAAAATTCAAGTCTGCATGTCAAACCTTCTGTATCGGTTTCCTTCAGTGGATTCCTTCAGTCTACCATTCCATTTTATGTCTTACTGTTCCTACTTTTTGTCCTTTTGTCAGACCGTGCCCGTCCCGTAGGGTCCCCTTGGCGATTTTTCCTTATCGTTCTAAAAAGCTGGCTCACTTTTTTCGCGGCATCTTCATGGGTACTGTCAATCCATTCGCCACTTGACGCTTGTTTCAGAAAGCGCATACCTTTCCCTTGAATTGAACGGACCAAGTTTCCGACCAGCTGTCGTTTCTTGAGTCTCGGGGAGGCATCGTACGCATCGCAGTGTCTCTCGAGAAGAGCACGGAAGCGGACATTACCCTCGTGATGCTGGACTCGCCATCCACGACCAAGCAAGATATCATTTGCATCGGCGCCGACTGGCAACTTCTGTTTCGTGGATACATTGGTGTGTGCTGCTAGTTTTGTCGTCGAAGCCATTTTGTCTCGACCCATACCTCCATTGTCGTCATCAAAAAGATGTAAGAAGTCTGAAGCATCGGATTCGTTTTCAGATGAAGTCTTCATACTGCACATTTTCGCATTAGAGCGCGAATCATCTGACAAAGTGTCACCAATTAGTTGAATCGAACCGAGTGCGCTGGATTGGTGCTCATAGAACCAATGGTTCAATATTTCGTCCCGAACATTGCCGTACGAATCGACTGGAAGAGTTTCTGACAAGACACCATGACTTCGAAGGTTGTCTTGCAGTGATGCATCAGTGCCAAAGTGAAGGCGTGTCCTGACTCGTATGTAACGCGGGAGGATATTCATTGCTTGATCGGAAGTAGCACCGTTCAAAGATGTTAGGTGTTGGGTTCGAGGCTTCAGGCAAATGTGCATTGCAGAGTATCGAAGGGGAAACGAAATCAAAGCTTGCATCAATAAAATGATGAGGTTGGAATCGGGTATCAGAACCTGTTTTTTCGAGTCCGCCGAGCCGTGATAGAGAATTGCCACAACTCCACGTAATTGGGCGGTGGGGTGAGGTAGTATGACAGAGTTCCACATATAATGGGCCGCGCGGATCTGTCGAATGCAAAGGCAAAGCAGAGATTCAGTGAGATACCAAGTTTACAGTTTGGGAGGTGGCCATTCACCACAATCGCCGGCCAACTTACCAGCGTTTCAACTCTCCAACTTTCAAGCATGTGTGTCATGATATGTACTACCAATCGTCCCGACCGGTCTCCGTCCTTCTGAATATGAAATACTCCAGATAACAGAAGATCGTTTTCCTCTGTAGTCAAGTCATTCAGAGTAATGTCCCGAGTAGCCTTGTCCTCTCCAAAGTATACTACCTTGTGCTCAAGAAAAGCCATCATTTGACGAACCGATGGCTGAACATTATAGCTGTTGCACCTCAGAAAGCGCAACCGAAACGAAGGATCTTCAACATAGAATTGGTTCTGTCTTGCAATTTGTGCATAGATTGGAGTTTGTTCTTGTTGGACTAGTCGATCAAACTGAGCGAGCAATTGGTCCATCATCTCTTCCGTTTCTTGAATCTCTCCCCCGACGCAGTGAATGTCTTCGAGTGCTTCAGATCGTTCCTGAGCTGTTAGCGCGTTGAGATCAGATGACACCAACTCTTGCCAAGCATCTAATTCATCGCGGTGTTTGAGCCTCCCATCGTCGCCACCATTCGAAGACAACGGCAACATACTACTACAGCTGCTGCTCGCACTGCCCTCCCCATCGGTATCTGATGTAGATGACTGCATAAGCTTTACTAGCAGCTAGCAAAGGTGCTTTTTTTATCGCAATCAAGAATTAAAGTTGGAACTTGGGGTGATGAGACTTTCTACTAATTCTCATGAGACCAAACTGCAAATGTTGTTTTGTGAACTTGAAATGGAGTGGGACTTGAACTCGTGAAAATGGTCGGAAGGTCCGGTTTTGAAAGTTTCTCTTAAGTAGCTACTCGGGGAATTGGGAAAAGGCCAATTTTCCAACAAAAAACCTTTTTGTGCCCTAGGTCGCATTAAATGGAACTTGTCAAATTAGCTCTCACGATTCCATTTGAGTGACACGCAGAGTATTAATAAAAATTCAGAAGAAAAAGTACAAATGGACATGCTACAGTACCTTGTCGACCAACCACCACGTGACAAAACTAATATAAAAGTCGCTTCATGGGATCAGAATGGGGTCTGTGCTTTTTTGCAATTTCAGAAGAGTTTTTTGGGGACCACGCTGGTGTGACAGATCTATTATATAATGTATATATGTAGAGTTGCCACACGCAGTTCAATATTCTCTTATCACCAAAGCGCTCTTTTGTTCTTCGATTCCGCCACGAGACACTTAACCCAAATGCTGTATCTACTGGAGATACCATAGAGAAGTTGAACATGGGTATGTAGGTGCGAGTATGTAATAATCTGGTTCATTGACATCTTACCGTTGCACCACCTCTATTTACTACGCAGTCGGATTTTTTGAATCGAACGCTTCTCTGGCTTTTGCGCTCTTGTTCTTTAGACTACAGGATCGTATCTGCCATGCGGCATTCGTACACGTTTAATCCTTTTATTTACAGTAGGAGTCATTTTGCACTTAACACTGTGACATAATTTGGGATTTTACATTTTGTTTGCAGACGAGAATTCAAACGTAGCTAAAGTACTAAGCTCTACGAGTGGTATTTTGAAAGACATCGGATTCTCACCCATTAAATGACCAATGGAAGCAATTTGTTGACATCATCATGCAGCCCGGCATATAATCGATGTTGTGCGTTGTCATCGTTTTCCGTTTGCAATCTCCATGTTATGCTTGCTTGATATCTCCATTTCGTCTCCTCGGATCATAAGGAGTAAGCAGTCCACTCCTCCAGCCAACTAGCTAGGCTCAGGAGGAGTTTAAACTGTGTGTCCAACACACCTCGGACGACCAAGGCTTGAGCAAGCCTAAGACCCGCTAGTGATAGTTTGGCGCCTAGCCCAGACCAGCTATGTTAGAACTACCCTTGCATGCACTCTCGAAAGATGGGGGTGTGGGTCGAGGTCGATAATTCCGTGGATGTACACTTCTGCTTTGATGGTTCTTCGGTCAAAGAATCCATGCATGTCGTGTCCATCACTACAGTAGGTCGGAATACAATGGAAGCACACAACAATATGCTCACTAATATTTATTATAGATCACTTGTTTACAGTGTTTCAAGTTATTTGTAGTTTCATAGTCGTACAGCGTGCAACATCGATACCCAACATCTTTCAATCATACAGATGTTATTAATACAACAATCACACAATACCGCATTTCATCACACCCCGCAGTATTTCAGGTATTCGGACACAACAATCACACCATGCCGTATATGCGAGTGAGTGAGAAGTGGAAATGCGACTCGACGATGAAATATCGGAGTGACAAAACGACATCTTATCTCATTATCATCAAAGATCACGAATCTGGAGATGATTCGAGATGACGTCTCCCCTCGCTTTGTTGAGACTGACTCTACAACAAGATTACAATGGATGGGAATATAACTGTGATTTCATCGTTTATGTTAGTAGCAAGAAAATATACCTTCTACTTTTTGTTCATCCTCGCGAAGATTTGCCACCTACGTTGGTGTTGCCAGCTACATGTTTATCTCTGCGGAAGCAGGAGTAAACAGGCTACTCCTTACAAGCTAATGGGAGCAAGGGGCACTTCGCAAAACCCTTGTTAGCAGCTATGAACCCACTCGGCTTGATTCGACTTGAGATCGGCTAGTTTCGATTTGAGATCGTCGACACTCCATACCAAGGGTTCAGCCTTCACTTCCATCCAGCGACGCTTGAGGGCTTCCTCTCGTCTTCTGTTGCCCACTTTTTTACCTCTTGAATTGATTAATAGATTATACAGAGCAATCTTTGTTTGAGCGTCCTTTGATACTTCAATCTCGGTAATCGTATCTTCGATGACAGTATCGATTTCATTCTCGATAGACTCGTCAACGGCTCTCCCATTGTGAGTCGTAGATATTTGAAGCTCGCTTCCACCTGCATTTGTAGGCGACACCGTTGGTTCTCTTGACGGCTCTCGGCCAATCCTGTCCATGGACTTATCTTCATCATCAGACGCCGCATCATCCTGCATCTCAAAGGAACCTGCGGATGCACAGCTGGAATCGTCTGAGGACTCTGCTGCCACTGATCGGTACCCATCGTCTGGCGTCGCATTAATCTCGATATCCTTGAGTATGCCGTGATTATCATCGGCAATCGAATCGTCAGAATCAAAGTCTTCATCGGTGCCTACTTCTTCCCCGGTGTTTTGATTCTCTTGACACTCTTCTTCAAGGATCGCTGCACATTCCATCTCCGCCTCCGTCATCTCATTCTCAACAAGGGTATCATCATCGTTCCATTGAGACGCAAACTCAAGATCCGCCTCGCAAAAGTGAATAGAAGAGGAATTGTCGAGATCTTCGTCGTCGTCACTGCTTGGCGCCCTGTTGAGACAATCGTGAAGCAAAGTTCTCTTGTCGTCAGGAAGGCTGTTCACCACCGAATCAACAACTTCTTCATCAAGATTCTTGAAAATTTCTGACAGCACCTTAATTTGCCGCTCTCTGGATATTGATTCGAACTTCTTTTGTACCCAGAAGTTTTGAGTCTCAAGGGCATCGCCGTATATGCGAGTCTCGGTATAATGCGAGACTTTGCCAGTTTTCAGTCGCTCCAGCTCTTTTTCGTTTTTGATTGTCCAAATCTCTTGCCGACGCCATGCACTCGGCTTGTCTTTGTAGGTTTCTTCATAATACTTCTTCAGCTCAGGTACTTGAAGCTTCTTTATGCTGGAGATAGTTCGATCCCCCTTCTCGCACTTATAAAAGGGCCCTCGCTTGTAGCTGATGGCGGTGGCGAAATCGGTCCTCGTCCAATTCATGTAGTGCTTCTCTTGCATGAGCTTTGTCGCTCGCCGCCGACAACTATAGAAGCTCTGAAGTACTTTCTTTCTTTTCAATTCCTTTTCGACTTCCTTCTTCATCCCTTTTATTTCGAGTCCAATGAGCACATCAGCAGTATTAATGACACCACCACCACCAGTGATACGAAAGTAATCACCTGCACGCGTCATTTTAGCAAACAGCTCTTGTCTCTCTCTTGAACCTGGGGCAGTTACGATTCCCTTTCCAAAACTTCTTCTTGTCACTCTCCTCACAGTACGCCTGAGCTTACTGGCAAGTGTATAGCCGCACGAAATTAACTCATCAACAGCCCTGTGATTCATCTTCTCGACTTTGAGCAATACTTTTGTCATTGATGTCAATTCCTCAGCCTCATCATCGTCGACTTTGCTGATCTCGTCCACAATTTTGGGGTCTCCCAAGGCATCTTCATCAAGGTTGACTTCGTTGATCTCGTCTACAATGTTGGGGTCTTCCAAGGTATCTTCATCATCGTCAACAACGTCGATCTCTTCTATCAGTTTGGGATCTTCCAAGGCATCTTCATCATCGTTGACCTCATTGATCTCGTCCCTCCTTTTAGGGGCTTCCAAGGCATCTTCATCGTCGTTGACTTCGTTGGTCTCGTCCCTCATTTTGGGGTCTTCCAAAGCTCTTCGAGTAGCTGGACAGTAGCCGCATTTCTCTCTGGCAGAACGAATCTTCGCCGGAGTAAAGTGCAACTTGAAAGACTCCTCAAGGTCGAGTATTTTGCCGTTATCAAGTGTGACCTGACCTCCGAAAAGACAATAGCCGACGTCAAGGAGAGTAAGCTTTCCTTTGGCGTTGATTAGCTTATTGCGATTACTGTAAACGGAGTCCTTGTATGGACCAAAAAGCTGATCCATTTCTTGGTTGCACTCGCTTGCATTGGGTAGGCCTGGAAATATGTCGACCCCTTCAACTCTTGTTTCACCAAGAACTTTCGCAGCCTGTCGTCCTGGCCCGGAGTCAACCTTTAGCAAGACACGTTTTCCTTTGATGTCTTGGCAATCTGGATACAGAAGACGACCTCTCTCATCCAGTTCTGTAGAATCGTCGAATTCATACTCGCATTGGCGCCAGTTGCGATGAAGCAATCAACAGCTAATCGTCTTTCGAACCCCCATGTCCCTTTGATTTGAGGAAATGAACGCAAGTTCCTGGCACTAATTGTTCCGTTTCCATCCTTCGCTGTGGTTTTGAAAATCACACACGGTGGCAACGGTTCGTCATCATTCACCGCCATGACAATAGTGCAGGAAGTATCAGGTGTCTTGTCAGCCTTTCCGCCCTCCGAAATGGAGCTTGTAGTGTGACTGTGTGAAGGGCGACCTCCTCGCGACTCAGTGGATGCATCCAACGTGAATTTCATTTCATCCATATTGGTATTGCGCTTTTCTTGTCCTGGTAGAAAAGTAATGTAGCCGTGTGCTCTCTCTTTCTCGTTCGTCGGTAAGCGAGCGTATCCTCTTTCAATCATTTTCTCCTCCCACTTCTGGTAATGTTTCATTTGATTAGCTTTTGTGCACCACTCGGTCCGAAGCTGTCGCCGCTCATCGACCATCACGATATTCTGTCTTGGAGCATTGTCTACATCAATTCTCTCCATCAACTTGACTGCGTCAATAGCAACATTGCCATCCTTCAATCTCTTATCGTTGACCACTTCATCAAGAACAGTTTTCTCTTCAGCTCTAGTCAGTCTGCTTGCATCAACATTGTTTTGATCGATAGCGCTACTACTCCAAAAGGCATCACGTAGATTCGTGAAGTCTCGGTCTGATAGCAGAGTGGGCCTTCCAACCCGGGGTGGTGATTTCCCCACGTTGTTGTGCTTGACAGCTTCTCGAAGTTGGCGCCCTGTAATCAATTCAATACCAAACATTCTGTTGACTTGGTCAGCACAATTGCTCGCGCCCTTCAATGCTTCACAGGGATTCTGTTCCTTCAAACTGTAGGCAACCGATCCTATTTTGTAAGCACACTTTCGGAGCATCTCCAAATGTGCTCTGTCCCTCCGTTCTTGTTGTTTCTGAGCAGGTGTCTTTCTCTTCGGCGCCGATTGCGTAGTAATTGAAGATATTGCCGAAGTAGTTGACTTCACTGAGGCGTCATCACTTTTAGTAGGGAGCTTTTGGGCTTCCGGTAGAGGTTCTAAACCATGTGAGCCGGTGTCTCTGTTAGAAGAGAAGGAGAAATATGTATCATCCGACGTAGCCGCTGAAATAGGAGACACTTCTTCTTCCTCGTCGACTCTTTCTTCAACAATAGTTTTCGGTATACATGCATCATGTATGGAAATTTGAATCATTTTCTTCTCGTCAAGCTCTTTTCTGATTCTATTTGCGAGTCTACTGCATTGGACGTAAAACCGACTTGGATTCTTCTTCTTGGTTTCTTGGATTTCATATAGTTCTGCTTCTGTGTATCCTGCCTTTCTCATTGTACCAGCAATGTCAGGATTCTTTGATTGCCCCCTTAGTTTTGCGACTTCATAGAGTAGACGATACAACTTCCGAAACCTTTCCTTTTTGCCTTTCTCACTCATGTCAATCTGTGGATTCCCAGACGTTTTACTATTGATAACTTTCAATTTGACATGGTGTTGATAAATGGAGAGCGAGGCAAATGCTTCTTGAATACCAGCGTCAATCATAGCTTCTTTGTAGCTATAGATAGTCGAAGATAGCACATTATTAATGTAAAGGTCCCTCGCCCTGATGAAGCTCTCTTCGGTGGGATCTTCAGCCATTGCCATCCAAGCTCGGGCCAACAGCCAATCGATCTTCCTGTGAAACTATCCGATATTTTTCGTAATGACCAGTCTCAAGAAGACTACAGATGCTGTTATCACACGTCGGATGGGAGTTTCCATCGTCGATTTAGGCAGTGGAACGTTCTCATTCATGAAAATCTGAAATCTTGTCATCTTTTGTCGGTTTCAAGTATCAAAGTTTTGGATCACGCCAAAACTCAGTGAGAAGAGTCATGTGTTTCGCTACCGAGCGGGAATGCTAGACCGGCATACTCGGTCAGGGACGAGGCAGAAATGCCACTCGTAGAGCTTAGTACTTTAGATACGTATGAATACTCGTCTGCAAACAAAATGTAAAATCCCAAATTATGTCACAGTGTTAAGTGCAAAATGACTCCTACTGTAAATAAGGATTAAACGTGTACCTGGTACCGGTTATGCACCAGAGATCATAGCAGCATATGTACCTAGTTTTTAATATTATTTTCTCTCACATTTGGAAAAACCTTCCGGACCATGGAGCATTGACGACGCTTGTTGTTCTAACATTTGGAAAAGTGTTTGGGACAATCATCATCATGTTGTTTTTGGCCGCGAGGAGTACTAGTACCAGCCAGCAGCCCCCGGCGGGTACTAGTACTAGCCCCGAGTAGTACCATGACAATACTCTTAGAGCGAGCTGCCAAGTCAGTCAGTCTTATCCGGTAGTCTCAGGCCTTTTTGGAACCATGCTTGCTTTTTTATGAATTGTTTCATATTCTTCGGATGATTGCAGATGCGGTACTGGATACAAAACATAGCTTTGCAATCACTCTACCATTTGCCCCGCAGAGCATCCAGTGGCGCAAGTGTGACTGACTGACTGCTGACTACTGACTACTGACTGCACTGACTGATGACTGCGCTGACTGACTGACTCACTCGACTCACCCCAGACCTCCATTGTCCGTTTCGTCCTTGCACGTGTCGTAGACGACATTCATTTTTCCAGATCTTGCATACATCCCAGACAATTTTGGAAGTTGCGCACATACGGTAGAAGTAAGATCCAAATTTCTTGTCACGTATCTGGTACGGTACCTGGTTTCGCTGTACAAACGAATACAGAATACAGAATTGCAACAGCCCACTTTAGGAAGTTACAGTATCATGGGAGAGAAAGACAGAGAACGGAGACACCGTTCCGGTAACAGTAATCCAGGAGCGCAATCCTCCACTAGTGACAGTCGAGGAGACCGAAAGAACGCCAGAAGAGAGAACCACAGCGGGAAGAGTACTGGCAGCGGTAGTACGAGCCGTACGGATGAAGACAAGGACGCAAAGAGGAGGGGAAGAAGAACGGATTCGAAGAATTCCCCTTCTGTAGGAGCTCACTCTTCTTCTGCTTCCTCAGACAGAGCCAATCGTAAAGAGAATAGACACGGGTCGAAATCTTCCGCTTCTGCCGGAGCTCACTCAGCTTCCAGTGCCTCTGATAGAGCGACTCGCAAGGAGGCTAGACACCGCAACTCTGATAACAGCGAAAACAATGCCAGTGCATCCCGCCCCAGTGATGGTGGCGCACCGATTCAAACGGCACCGTTGGATGATGGTTATGCTGTGGAAGCAATGGCAGTTAATGAATCTGAAGCGGACGAACGTGTTCGCAAGTTGGAAGAACAAATGGCTGCCATGGCGCAGGGAAATCAGCCTGCTGTCGTTGCTGCAGTTAATAATAACGGTGTAATGACTGCCAATGTTGCCGTCCCTGACGGTGACAGCGATGCCTCCACCGAATTCGAAAGGGAGAGAACCTTCTTGCAGAAGTATGGTTGTGGAATCGGGATTGCTTTGATCGTAGCCATTGGAGCAGGGGTTGCAGGATATCTTTTGAGCCAAGGATCCGATGAATCAGCAGCAGTCACTTCCAGTCCTCCTACCGATGTAGCTTTCAAGTATCCTGCGCCCACTGAATCTACCTGTGCCAGGATCTTCACTGGAACAGTTGTGGAAACCGAGTTTATGCGCTATGTCGATATCGCATTTGAAATCAGCTTGGCTGCACCAGTTGCGACTGCGGAAGAGTCTGACAAAGGTCTTGCTGCTCTGAACGAGGCTCTACAACTCCGTTTCATCCCTCTGCTCATTGGCTGTCCTCCCAAGCCCGCCCGTCGGCATTTGCAAACAGATGATGCAACGAATCCTCTTCGTTACATGATTGCCGATGCAATCCAGGCCGATGCGACTGTATTGCTGGGCGACGATGGCACATGTTCCGACGAAGCACCAGAACCTTGTTTCAAGGCCGATTATCAGTTTGAGATTTGGCTCAAGGGTGATGAAACATCTTTTAATCTTTTTCAGCTCATTTCCGATCAATTTGCTGCCAATGCAGAAGAAACGCTTGCTCTTCCTTCCGATGTTGTCACCAGTGTTAGACTTGGGAATGTGAGGCCGGGTGATCCACCTACAGGTGATGATACCACCGATGATGATACCCCTGCGGACTCTCCATCTCCTACCGCTGCTCCGGTCGCTGGACCAACACCAGCAGCCCCAGTGGTGAATCCAACTCCAGCTCCTGTCTTGACACCAACTCCAGCTCCAGTGGTGACACCAACTCCAGCTCCTGTCTTGACACCAACCGAACCACCAGTGGTGACTCCAAACCCCCCCGATGCTCCAGTCGTTTTGAACCCGACGGAACGGAATGATCTCTTGCGGACGATCTTGTCTGGCAACACACTCAATAACGAGGCCTTGAATTGGCTTAGCAACGTTGATACCTGGCAGCCGGATAGGAGTTCGACCAATGCAAACGCAAATCAGCAGTGGATCGAACGATATGTCATGGTAGTCGTCTACAATGCCATGGGTGGAAACAATTGGTCATTCAACAATGGTTGGCTTGATACTAACAACCCCAGTTCGATTTGCGCGGGTTGGAGGGGAATCACAGGATGCTTCAATGGTCTTGTGACTTCAATTGAATTGCGTAAGTTGTCCACCTGATTGCTATCGTACTAACTATACATTTCGAATTCCTCACCTTTCGCAACCAATCAATCGATCAATCAATCAATCAATCGATGGAACATCTATATTCTTCAGAAAACACGAATCTCGGGGGAGTCTTGCCAACCGAGATTGGTCTTCTCACTGAACTTGAATTCCTATTGTTGTTTGACAATGCCATACGTGGGACCATACCTTCCGAAATCGGTCAACTCACCAATCTGATTGAATTGAAGGTCGAAAACAACCAGGTACGATACCAACTGCCTTGATTTGGTGCACGATTGCGAATTCATTCTTCCGTTTAACTGACTGACTGACCCAATGACTCACATTTGTACAATACTTTCAACTTGTGTACAGATTACCGGCAGCATTCCAACGAATTTGGAGCTGCTCACGCGGGTGCTAAAGTTCAATTTGTTCAACAACCGAATGGGCGGAAGCATTCCAAGCTCGATTGGATTCATGACCAACCTTTTGGAATTCGAAGTAGACCGAATGTCACTTATTGGGACGATCCCTACGGAAATTGGTGTAAGTTGTTCACTCAGCATCTAATTACACCATGTTAGAGGGGTGCGCGACCGCCATTACCACCAGACCTCCACGTCTCCGTGTGATTATATGCTATATCACTTTTTCCTCATACATCACTCTTTTTTTTGTGTTTCACGAATACTGCAGCTGTTGACGAGACTGTCCAATTTCCATGCATATGATAACAACCTACGTGGTCCGTTACCAAGCGAGGTTGGAAATTGCTTGAACATGTTGGAACTGAAGCTTTGTAGGTCCATTGTCTCTATATATACGAAATCAAAATCTCTTTTCCGAACTAATATTATTTCTGCTACCTACTGTCTCGAAGATAATAATGGCCTGACAGGAACTATCCCGGTACAAATTGGGATGCTAACCAGTATCACGGATCTCGGCTTGGATCGCAATGCTTTCGCCGGGTAAGAATCAAGGAATGCTGGATTGAACATGCGCACTCCGATAACGATGGCTTCTGACCTGACAATATTTCGCTCATCTTAGCACCATTCCTTCCGAAATTGGCAATCTTCGCCTTGTCGAAAAACTTGAGCTAGGTACGAAAGTTTTGCGCATTTTGCTTCCTAATCTCCGTTTTGATCTGTGCTCATTCTAAACCTTCTGTAATCTCAGAAGTGAATCCACTTCTTACCGGAAGCATCCCTACGGAAATCGGGTAAGTAAATTTATGCCGGTGTAGCAGTTTAAATGCAGGATTTGCTTCTTACTAGTGCACTTTATCAGACTTTTGACCATGATGACCGATTTTGGGGTGTACGAGACGAACGTTGGTGGTAGAATCCCAAGGGAAATTGGCAGGGCAATATCACTGGAATATCTTATTTTGCGTAGGTTCTGCTGGCTGTCTCTTGTCTCCCTTTTAGCAACCGTGCCTCACTTCGTTGCTTTATGAGCAGACAATTCCGGGATCGATGGACCTATCCCAAGCCAAATTGGGGACTTGCGAAATCTATTGGATTTCCACGCCTATGACACGAACCTATCCGGGCAGATCCCGACCGAAATTGGCAGAGCAACAGCACTCACTTCTCTGGAGCTAGGTACGCCAAATCCTGTGCTCTTTACTTATTTGAAATAATGTTAACACTTGTGGCTCCTTCAGATAACACCAATTTGGAAGGTTCAATTCCCCAGGAAATTAACAATTTGGGAAACCTCGCAACGTTGCACCTGTGTAAGTCTTGCCTTGGCGATTCGTGTTGACGTGACTCTTGCAACTAATACATCCCATCCATCGCTTTCCGAATTCTCCCCATCTAGATGAAAACAACCATGATGGTCCCATTCCTCGGCTACCACCTCTTCTTTCTGGTTCTGAGAATTGTCGATTTGGTGAGTTGTTGATCTTTCCATCGTACATCGGTGGCGATATTTTGCTAACCTTTTGATCTGTTTAGACGGAAACTGTTTCAGCAATTTGGACAACGCAGTTGCTCGAGGTTGTAATGTTGGCGGTAATTGCTTTTGAGGTTTCAAATCGTCTCGAAGGTTCATTCATTCATTATTGTTCCACGGACGAAACAATTTCGTCTTGTTTGTTTGTTAAAAAAGGAAACTATTCCTAGAGAATCTGTTGTAGTGCAGTTTGCAGTCTACGAGTAAAGTGTAGGGCGTATGTATTCTATGTATATTTATTTATTGAAATATGGAAAGATCTTCTGTCATCCTTCATTGACACGAACTGCCAAAGGTGACACATGCTTGTTCGTGGTTTTTGGTACTAAGGCTTGGAAAGGCTACAGCACTCTTGTGATGATGGGCACTGCGCCTCTTCTTTGTCGAAAAGCCATCGTAGGTACCAGTGCTGATAATTGTTCTGGGGCTTAACGAAGTCATGCCCATCGACGATGAAGTTTGGCTTGTGGTAGCCTGATCACTTGTGATTTCGTAATCATGTTCTAATCTCTCCTTGGTCAGAAGCAGAGAGTCTTGGGAGCGGAATTGACGGAAACCCACCGATGATGACGATGAAGACGAAGCTCGGTTTCTTGTAGTCTGATCGATGAAAGAATCGTCCTCTGCTTCACTTGCTACTTCGTGTTCGTTTTCGATTCTCTCTTTGGTCAGAAGCAGGGAATCTTGGGAACGGAGTACTCGGAAACTTAGTCCTAGTTCTTCTTTCTCTTCAGTTTTTTCCTTGGTGACTGCTCGCATGATTGATGGCCGAAGAGCTGCGTTTCTACGGAGAACACATGATACACGTGCTCCTCGCCTCCTTGGAGCTTGGACGCTCTTTCGTCCCTTAATGGATGAAGGATCAAAGCGTTGTGGGTGATTGAGCAAGTGAGGCAGTCGTTCCGCTGCCAAGACTAGACTGTCAGTTTCAATAGAATAACCATCATGGTCGTTGTCCCCATCGTATCCCGTCTCTATCTCATCGGCTTCGCTGCTGCAAATAGATTCCAGAAGGGGTAACGAGCTTCGTTTTTCAATGGCAAGATCGCCTTCTGATCCTACTTCGTAGCCAGACGCATCATCATCTTCATCGTCTAGTGTGCTTTCAAGGGACTCGTACATGCGATCTCTTTCAGTCGCTTGTATCTGTGAATGAGAAATGTTATCTTCATCATCACCACGAAGCCACATCACTACATCTCTGAGGGGAAATGAGAAGCGTTGGTGCTCACAAGTTACCTGATGCTGTGCGAATTCTGTTGCTTCGGTTGTCATGATCATCGTCATGCTTCTCGATGTTTTTGTTTTGTTATTTCTGGTGGTTGCGGAGCAATATTATGGGGGTGTCAACAATCAACAACTGAGGTGCGAAATGCAAGATGGAGTGAAGATCAAAAGTTCGGTCGAAAAACCTCGAACCGAACTCGTGTCAGAAAGTGTGGGAATTGTGAGCTAAACTTTTTGAAGCGCTTCTGATTTCACTAATTTTTAAATTAGAATAAGAGCTGCAAAACTGTAGGCAAACGCAAACCTGCGCTTTTTCCACGCTCGACTTCTCAACGTGTGGAACAAAAACACGAATTTCGCATCAAAAGAGCTGGTTATGCTGTATTTGCCAATCAACCTGTTCCAATATCCCTGCAGATGCTATGCCAATTTTATTAATAAGATCTTCACGCGGTTTGCTCCTGACGATGCGAACACTGATTCCGTTGCTACTTTTACTTCCTTGTTTGGTATTTTCAGATACCGTCGAACTCTGCGCCTGCCCAAAATCCCCCTGTGCAGGAATCTGTCAAACCTTCAACACAGGCGATTGTCAACCATTCTATCAATGCTTTGCTCAAGTGAACGGTCTGTTTGGCTACATCAAGCCCAATTTTTTCGAGGGTGGAAAGAGCGTAGTGGTGAATGTGTACGGGGATAGTTCTTGTAACAATACAACTGCTTTTGATGCTGCATCGAATGGTTGGGCTGGATCTTGTAATACGGATTGCTGGAGTTCCGTATCGAACATTGGTGGTGGCACCTGTGTCACTTCCTCGTCAATATGTCGAACACCAAACTTTCCTTCTGCTATGTTACTTGCGGCTGGCACTGCAGCCTTATTGTTAAAATAAAAGAACAAGGTGCTAGAACATTGTAAATCATCATAAGTAGCTGCTATTCTGGGAACCACGATCGACGACAAATATATATTTTTCAAGGAAAACATCTTGCTCCTATGGGACTAATTCGAGTTCTAGTGCAGGAAGCCATATGACTTCGAACTTGGGTATACTTTGATGTACTTCTCGTCTAGAGGCTATAGCTACTTCAAAAGTGCTCTTTCTTCTCGTTTTCGAAAGAGGAAAACTAATATTTTATGATACGTTCGTTGACTGAGTCGTGAGTGACGTCAGCGATATGAATCAGAAAAAGTGTGATGCGTGAGATGACCGCATTATTATCTCATCATCATATAACATACTTTACGCGGTAGTGTAGTGCCCATCGATCGGTCTTTTGCTTGACCAAACCCATTAGCATTATGAAACTTTCCACTACCTCTCTTCTTAGTTTCGCGCTTCTCGTTGGAACCAATGAAGCCTTTGCTCCGTCTTGTTCTGCCTTTGCCGGCGGTCCTTTCGCAACGACAGCCCAAAGCAAGACATCAATATTCGAATCTGACTCGGAAGGCGATGCTCTTCTACCTACCAAAGAGGAAGCTCCACCATTTTATGAAAAGTACGTAGAAGCCGCCAAATTTCGATACGGTCTCTTCCAAAAGGCTCAAGGAGAAGGCTATGATTTCAAACAGGCGACCGCTTGTGCCTTGGCCGGAGACTACGACCAAGCTGCGGTCAAAGCCAAAGTCGAGGAGCTGATTCAGTCAGCACCCTGTGTCATGTTCACTTGGGAATCCTCTCCATCCTGCAAAAAAGCCATCGAGGCATTTGACAAGGTCGGAGGTGTCAATGTCAAGATTGTGCGCATGGACGACCCATGGGATGAAGGCAACCCCATGCGTGCTGAGATTGGAAAAATGGTCGGTAAGAGCAGTGTTCCAATGATCTTTGTTGGAGGTGAGTATGTTGGTGGATATGACGCTGGAGTCTCAGATGATGCACCTGGAATTCTTGACATGGCGTTCAAGGGAACCTTGCGACCGAAGCTCGAGGCAGCTGGTGCCATGGAAGCTGTCAAGGAACCTGTGGCAGTAGAAGCATAATCATAAAATAGATTGGTAAAAACACATGCTCATGACGGATGGATATCATATTCGTACACGCTATCCAGGTCGACTCTCTCGGATGGTGATCATGATCATTCAACGTATACCAGGTTGGCAACGTCGAACGAAAACTCCAGTGCCGATAGACCTTTCAACGTATTCGAGAACTGCATAAATAATAACTGTAGAGTATCTCAAAACAACGAATCAACCGTCTGACAAGAAATAATAGCTTTAGTAGCAGTATTGCGATTGTGGATTGGTGGTTGGTGGTTGCTGTCTGGAATGGCTTGACCAAGGTTGCCCTTCATGGGAAACTACCCAATAAACAATCTCTACAAATATGTAGCGTTCAGTTTTGAATGCCGTATTGATAATTTCTATCAGCATGGGTAGGAATCCTTGGATACCTTGATTGCATCAGACAACGTAGCAATATCGTGATCTTTTTGGAACCAAGGTGACTTTAATAGAAGCTTGGCAGGTATACGTTTTCCTGTTTCGAGTAAGGATGTATGTGAAGTAAGCATTCAACAAAGGGGAAAACCATTGCTCATCGTCATCATCGCTGCGAGCAACCTACCTGGGTCTTGATTTAGACAAGAGTGGAGCATTTCCTTCAGTTTCGTTGATGATATCGAATCAGGAACCATGGTCTCGGGCGATGCTTCCTCGACCGTCATCAACAAGGACACGATACTTGTGCAGTCACCCCATCGACATTTTCCGGTTATACATTCCAAGATGACTAGTCCAGCACTCCACATATCACTCGACCGACCATATGGTTGAGCACGAAGTCGTTCTGGTGCCATGTATCTTCGCAATCGCAATCGTAATAGTCGAATCGGATTAGACTTTGAATTATAATGCACGTAGACCAAAAGTTGCCAGCCATACCTATACAAGTTCTTACCTGGAAGTTCCAACCACAGTCGAAGAAAGAGTTTGTTCGCTCAATGACACAATTCCAAAATCACATAGCTTGATTTGACCAGTGGAATGGATCAAGACATTCCCGGGTTTGATATCTCTATGAATGATCTTTTCATGATGCAAGTAGGATAGTCCCCACAACATTTGAAAGGTGAGAGATGCCACAAAGTTTTCACCCAAGCCATTGGATTTCCTTTTCAATAGTTGCTCCACCGAGCCACGATCCATGAATTCTAACACTAGAGTCACCACGTCTTTTTCCAGGAAGGCTCCAAAGAATTGCACGAGACATTTGCATTCAACCTTACACAAAGCTCGAATCTCTTTGAGGAGCATATCATGCCGTTGCTCTGAAGAATCCAACACGGAAAATTGCTTGACTGCAACAGGAACTTGTTTTTCGTGTGTTCCCTTCTTCTTATGGGTCGTCCAAAGTCCCTTGTGGACCTGGCTAAAGGCACCTTCACCAATCAGATCATCAATGACCAGTGCTTTGGGAAGTAAGTCCCCTCGACTTATCGTCTTTCCTTCCAATCGCAGGTAGTCTTGTCCAATGGAAAAACCATCGTGTCGGTAGGTGGTATCATTCATATCAAAGGCAATCCTTTTGGCCTTGCTGTGCTCATCATTCACCAGGTCAACGTTGATGTTGAGTCCTCCCAGTACTTTGCGCTTCATCTTGTGTGTGTATTTAATGTGTGTGCAGTGTGCTATTGGTTCATGTGGATCTGTACAGTATTGTAGGATGAAGGAAATTAATAATGCGAAGACGTATTAGGACTATACTGTACTACAGTACAGAATATTTTGAGGATGTGATGATTTGTGACAAGCCTGCGCAACGAATTTATTTGAATTGGTAACGGCAGGAATGACTCACTCGTGCGACTGTTTTGGTCCCGAGTGTGAAAAGGATCGTGATTGACTAGGTAGTTTAGGAGTCACCCGAACCGTCTGGCCTTTCCCAGTCAATCTCCATTTCCCGCCGAGATTCAAAACGTCACGCCGGCATACCCGCTCGCCGGCCTTCTATCCGTTAGATTTGAATTCATCAATCATTCATTCACTCACGGTTTCATCAAAATTGCAATGAAAATGAAGGTAAGTTTCGGATGGGCGTTGCATCTCCTCCATACAAGTTTCTTACACAACTCTATTATCGCTCTATGCGCAGTGATGAGACGGATCGAATGAATGTGGTTGCGCTTCTGCAATCGATGGACTTTCATTTCCCTATCACTATCATGATTCAAGACCTTTCCAAAATTGCTTTCAATGATGCCGACGGGAAAGAGACCTTGACGAACCAACGAGACCCCACCAACTCAAGTAAACAATCTATTATACTACGAAAGATCTACGCTTGCGTCTATTCGGCCTGTATATCCGCGAAGTTTTGAACGAGATTTTGTCATTCTGTTGTTGCCAAAACAATGTTCAGATGTCAACAAGTCAAATGCTCTACGTTGCAAAGTCACCGACCTATTATTCTACGAATGAGCTACGTTTGCGTCTTTCTTTTTGCGAAGTATTGACAGGTTCTGCCATTCTACGTCGGCAAGATAATTTTTGGAATGAAACATCAATCAACAAAATTCGCTACGTTACGGGTATTCCTTTTCTGCAAGCACAACCTCTTCTTCTTTTGAGCTGTCTCGATGTGTCATTGCCACCAACGAAAGCACTCTTATAATAGAAAGAGGCGCAATAAATGTCTCTTTTAACAGTCTTGGACGAATGCAACGTGGCTCCGTCGCATCAAAGATCATAAGCAGACACCATGCTCGCGAATCCTACATTTGAATAGATTGGCATTTCAATAAGACTATAGACATACAATTATTCTGATTATTCTTATGACAGATTGATTTGACAGGGGAAGAGAAGTACCTGGTTACCAGGTACTGCTGGTCTCAACCGTTCGTCGTCACAAGTCGTAGCCAAGAAGAAGCAATTCTTCCAAGCGCCAAGTTGGGCAAAATTGGTGCATTTGGATCCCGTCTTTGGGAACTCTAATAAAAGGACCTCTTGGGAAAAGGTGCCAATGAAACGGACCTCTTGGGAGAAGGTGTCAAAGCCAATGCAAATAAAAAGGATCTCATTGGCTAGGTGTAATAGAATTCTGCTTACGTATGCGCTGGTTTTCTTCCGACTTGCAACATATCGATTCCCTACGACAATCATTATTTCGGAGATCCACAATTTTTCACTCCTTTGCGGAGTCTTTGTGACTCCTTTCCTCACGGGACTGCATTTCTGGCGGCAAAATGAGCCAGCAAGCCTCGAATTCAATCCGGTAGGTCCATGTGTAACACTTTGCGCGCGTTCTTTTTGCCCGACTTGTGTCTCACTTCTTTTTGAATTTTCCGTTAATTGTCCGCGTGGCGGAAGAAGGCCAGACGGTTCGGGTGACTCCTAAAAGACCTTGTGTCTGAGTTTGACACTCGTGTCAAACTCATCGTGTGTGTGACCATTGACCCATCATTTGATCCTGCCTTTCATGTAGAGAACGAGAGAAAGAAAGTGGGTTGTCCCACAAGACCAACAAAGTTCGAGATCGACATCAACAACTGTGATTGGAAGCCGCCACCAGCCAGCCATGAACATGGTACTACTACATTCTTTACTCGCATGGATCCTTACTAGTCCTAGTTGATTTATGGATTCTTCAATTATATTTTTATCTTTTCACTATCTTACATCATGGTACCTGTACATGTATTCGTAACACAATAATCGGAAGGGGCACGAATTCCTTCACCACAAGAACTTGCAGGTTAACACCCACTGCTCGTCAACAGTCTTCTTTGGATGCTGTTTTCGCACTCGCTCTTGTTTCATTTTGTGTCTTCTTCTGTCGCGATCGTCTTCCAAAAGAGGGAAGCGAGTCGTCTTGACTCGATCATACCTGTTGAAAGTTGTCTCTCCGTGACCTCGTCTCCTTTGCCTTCGTGAAGTAGTTGAGGGTAGGGAACCGGGAATGGGCTGTTGCACCCAAACGTGAATGTGTGTCTCGATGGCGCTTGGGGGGATGCAGCTCGTTGCCTTCAGGATGCCCTTCTTTGGCATCGCTTCCAGGGTATCCATGCTTTCAAACGATGGTAGAGTCTCAAGAACGGTGGTGACACTGCTAGAACTATCTTTGTGCTCAACAATGCTTGTTCCGAATTCTTCTTGGAGCCCCTCTTGAATGCACAGGCTATTGAAGCTTATTTCGGAGATCATGTTGCTGTCGATTGTCACGGTACTGGCTGTTGGTGGAGTGTCTGATGACTACGGTATCAGATTGAGCAAGCTTCAAAAATTGTGTCACGCAGACACTGACAAAGCGCTCCCCCGGTTCCATATTTGAAGATGCTATTGGAAACATCTGATAACTTTCCAGTGGCTTGTTAGAAGCCTGTATTCGGGATGTGGTTGCATCGGTACGTGTACATATATATCCGACCCAGCCAATAAATCACAAAAGGCGTCTTTTATGAAGAAAAAGAATCGTTCCCTCTGTACGACCAGGCTTAAAGGAGGTGCTGACTACATCCAGTGAAAGCGCTCGGAGGATTGAACAGTCTCTCTACGTTCAAGTGCAACCAACTCCAAGATTGTTTGATCATGTCACACATATGACAGCCGGAACAATGCCAGATCAGGCTATTCTTTGTTCATACTGGAACATCATATCCCGATGCGTACGTGTGTCCGGCTTCTAAAATTGGAACAACCCGCTGGTATTTCTGTTTTTATTTGAAGTTACTGTACCGGTATTTCGGAAGGGCTTGGAGTGTCAGCAAAAAAAGGTTAAGTAAACAGGACCTATTCAGTTGTTACTGGAGGATAAATTTTATCATTATAAAAAATAATGTTTTGTCCGAGCCTTCGAAAATTGTGTCAACAATCACCGGTACTGGTACGAGCGAAAACAGAACCAACAGTATCTTCAACAACAGTATTAATTCATACACGTACGACTGTCGAGGAGCGCAGAATGTTTCTTTCTCAGTTTCGCCGAGAGGGACAAAACTAAGAGCCAAACTATCTCACAAAAAGCAATTTTACAACGCAGCAAGCAACATCACAATGCCCAACAACAGCACAAGAAGAGGGGTGACTATCAACTCCAATGTCCAGGTTCACGAAATCTTAACCCTCCACGAGTATACTGCCATTGAAATCAATGCTGCCTGGTATAATGTAGATGAAATGGACAGAATCGCAAGAAAATGCTCCAAGATTCTGAGAAAAATCGATAGAGCTGGGAGCGCGAAAGAAGAAAGCAAGTACTGTATTCGTGGCTTGGAAACCCACACCAGCTTGGGCTCCATTAGCAAGAGAAGCAACAGAGCGGCTGCGAAATTAGCCGTGTTCGAGGAGCAAGCAAGGCAATCATGGAACAAGGAAGAGGAAAGTGACGTCCAAGCCATCTCCGATGCTTACCGATGCACAACCTCAAGCTGCCAGATGTGGGCTCAAGTTGTTGGTAGGCGTGACCAACAAGAAGCAGAAGCCTATCTATATGACGAGGAGAACAAAGAAGAGCAAGAGGAGCGAGAAGAGCCAGTAGGGAGAAAGTTTGCATCTTCGTCTACAATCGTCTACTCGCAAAGCCTAGAATCCAGAATAGTACTGCGGGGAGCTAATACAGCAAGTCCCATCGCAAAAGTGGCTTAGCAGCTTAACTCGGCTCGTCGATACTGCAGTACTCGTACCTTTTTTTAAAAGCTTCTGTCGTGGATTCGTGCCATTGCTGACAAGAATCAAGAAAATACTGGTTCCAGTTGAAGGGATACAAATAAATACATGTACCATATAAAATAGATTTACTATAGAATAGTACTAAGCGAGCAGCGCTGAAGTAGCCCTTCTGTATTGTGGTATAGTAGTAGTCGTTGTCGTCGTGTTGCTGGTGGCGTGTAAGCTTTCCAATGGTCTAGTGCGTAGCACTACTAGCAGAACTATTTGCGGCATCCGTCACTCATGGCCATTGTCCAAATCTTGGTTTGCGGATAAAGTTATCTGTACCAACACACTCGAGGGCGTAATAGCTGGCTACCATTTTTGTAGCAAACTGCTGGCACGTCCAACATCACTACCAGGTACCGGTATCAAGTTATCACTGAACGTTACGTTGAAATGCGCGTTATCGGCGCACTGCCCGTCAGCCCACAGACGCGGTCGAAAAAACAGTATCAAATAAGGTCGACAACCAAGAATAGTGTCGAATTCTTCCGAATTATCGTCAGAAAGGCGTCATCGCCCACAACGACATTATCATCATCATCGTCGTCAACTCATAAAAAGGACAAAGTTGCACAACCTTTCAAAGCATAATATATCAAAGAACAACCCAATAACATGGTAGCTAAAGTGGAAGTACAATACTGTGGCGGATGAGGTGAGTTTTATGGTGCTGCTTAAGTGATTTCATCATTTTTCCGTGGTTCTTTCTTGCAACAAGAACAGAGTATGTTATCGTTGACTTCTTTGCATGCATCCAATTCTGTTGCAGCCCGTGTTACCATCATTACAATGACTTCGCATCATGCTCCCCTACTGACTTTCTCTATATACCATGACACTAACCATGACCATTCATCACTCATCATTCATCCTCACAGGCTACAAGAGGCAATTTCTCTCGCTGGAAAAGTTCCTTTCGGAACAATCCTTTGCCAATGACATTGAAGTGATGGGCATCAAAGACCCTGGTGCTACAGGCAACTTTGAAATTCGTATCGGTGACAACAAGCAATTGATCCATTCCAAGCGCACTGCTGGCCAAGGCAAAGCAGAGTCGGCACAGGAGCGACAAATGATTGTGGAGTTCATTCAAGAGTACCTTGATTCCAACTAGTTTGGAACGAGGGTACTTTGTACGGCTTTTATGGGTATCTCTGTGTCTTTTGCTCCTTTCTTTGGAACTCTTGATATGCCGATATCATAGGAGCTATACTGTACCATCATTTTATGCCAAAGATGTTCAGATGATAAGATGTGATGAAACAAGAAATAAGGAAACGGAATGACGACACTAGGTACATTCGTGACGAAAGCCTGCAACTGATGTTTGCTGGCCGGATGAATGAATGAATACCACTGTCTGAGAATATAAGTGCTACGGCTACAATCCAAAAATCGAGTTGGTTTTGGCGAGAGAACAACCTTGATTTGGATTGTATCCTGCATTTGATTTCCTCTTTTTGTTGTAAACACGCTTTTCAGTTTCTACTTTTGCGTAACGGATACAATTAGTTTAACAAGGTTAACCTTATTCTATTTCTACTAATGAATAGTCCATCATCTTGAGCCGCATCACGGTAGTATGAGCGGTGACAACAGGAATGAAGAGAGTGCTTTCCGGCGGAAGCAAATTGGAACTACTGTATGACGTCACACGTCACTATCTGACACTTTTAGTCGATCGGTTCGGGTCCTCTCAGTACATTTCGTAGGTGCATGGTACGGCAGGCGGAAGGAGAAGGTGAAACGCCGCCTCGGCTGAAACACACACACATCAAACCTCTGATGTTTTCTCAGATCATCTTATTCCAATAAAACTGTTCCATCATCCCAGCCACACAAATAAAAAATTAAGAGTTCTGTTTTTTCATGGAAGCTGCTGCAATTCCATCACAACTAGCACGGACAAGGATAAGATCTGACATATCGCAAACAGACAAGAATTCCATGATCAGACACTCTGATGATGCCACCACGACCAACACTAATGGCAGAGTCGTCAAACACAGACATCATCAGCAATTGCAACAACTATTTTTGACGGTAATCTTGTTGGCTTTCCTCCCGTCTCTAGCTTCAGCGTTCACAAGCAGGCCATTTTCACACGAATTGAATCATGCTGAAGTGTTGCCACTACGCATGTTCGCCACCGATCCATCCTCCTCCTCCAAACGTCGTCGTGGTGGTCACGATTTTTTCCCCAGAGCCTCCAAGACACGACAAAAGGCGTCGCTATTGGACGACTTGGGATTTCCTTCCAGTCCTGGCTGGAGAAGCGATCGGCTCAACAAATTGACGGAGTGGGCGGACAACAAGACTCCCAACCGACCAGTTGTCTGCGAATACGAACCAGACGATTGGTGGCTGAGACGAAAATGGACAGGGACTGTTCTACGAATGGTACTTCGATCTTGTCTGATATTGATGGGAGTTTGTGCTGCCTTGGACTGGACGACTCGTCGGCATGTATTGGCAACAAGTGGTGCAACTTGGGGTCTGTTTTCCGTTCCACCCTCCACGGAACCGATGATTCAGAGTCTTTATGGCGTCAAGAAACTCTGGGAATATCAGCTGACAGTTACTACCTTCATTTTGACATTCTTTTTAGGTCATGCCTATAGCTACTGGCAAAATGTTTACAGTACGACCCGCAAGATTCAAGGGCGAATCAATGATTTTTGTATGCTCTTGGTAATGGGAGCCAAGAGGTCCAAATCATCCCCAACTCGGAATAATTTTTTGGATAGTAGTATTGATGGGAGTGAGGAACAGCATTCCATCACCGAGAGAATGACAAGCAACAACCCATTCGGCAATAGTAATGACGATAGTGATGATACTTTCAGCGTAAATCGTGGAGAGTTTACCACTGGATCGGAGGAGTTGGTGAGAATGTGCACACGACTGATTCGGTTGAGCCATACCTTCTTTTGGGCGGCGGTACCCACCGCCTCCAATGGTTTGACTGACAGCGACGCCTTCCTAGAGGATGCGGAGCACAGCGATCTGCCGATAGACAATCAGCATATCGGGCCACTTCTGCTGAGTACCTATGGTCTCAAGGCACTCGTCCAAAACAGTCAATTGACACAGCGAGAAGCCGAAGACTTGATGAATACAGAACTACCGCCATCCCAATACGCATACGTACTTCTAGTTTGGGTCGGCCTCTATACCATGGAAGGCCTCGAAAAGGGATTGCTACGAGGAGGTGCTGGATTTGAAGAAAATATTGTCCGTCAGCTGACAACGCTGAGAGCCACCATGTTTGATATTGATGATATGAGGGCAGGAAGAATGCCCTTGGCTTATGTCCAGCTCGTGCAAGTCATGGTGGATACCCTGACTTTACTTTCACCGTTCGCGCTCTATCCTGAACTTGGAAGCTTGTCAATACCTTTGGTGGGCATCCTCACACTCTTCTTTCGCGGATTGTTAAAACTATCCAAGTCATTCTTGGATTGTTTTGGTACGTCTTTGTATATTGATTGGTTTTTTTGCCGTTATATGTCTCCCTACCATTCCATTGCCTAACCATTTCAATTCTCTGATCTTTAGGGGTCGAGGGCTTTACCGGGCAGAACATTCGAGTGGACGTGTTGGTTAGTGAACTCAACTTTGGTGCAGCAAGACGATGGATCCGAGCCGCTGGTAGAATGAGCGGGAGACGGTGTCTGAATGTCAATGGTCTCACTTTGAAAAAGCAGTTATAGTTGCTGCTGGCGGTATTCTTCCTTGCCTCCTGCCTTGCTTGTGGCTTTTGTTGAACAGCCGACTGTTGCAATTCTTACTTCATCGCAATCCACCGTGGCATCATGGTTCTTGTTCTCTTTCTATTGTACAACTATACACACTTATTCATACTATACATCTCGTTATTTTTTATTTAAAAAGGTACCATTGGAACCACGACCATTCCAACTTCAATGACATTATCCGTTCTTCAATATTAGTGAGAGAAGACTTCAGGGGCGCAAAATGTGCAGCATCCGTAGCAGGTTACTACTGTCCCATTCCATCTTTTCCAACAAATCAAAGATAATTTACAATTGATGTTTCTTCCTCTTATGAATAAAGCCATCTGCATCGACTCATTCATTCATCTAATAGCCCATCGATATGGGTTCACTTCCCACGCGCATGTTGGACGAAACATCATCACGTCCCTCTGGTGCTTCCATTTGAATTCCAATAATGTCTCGGATATTTCCGCGGAGAGTTTCCCATTGGCTGTCCTCCTTCTCGGCTTCTCGAAGTACAAGGTTGTTGTGTTCATTCTTCTCTTCATGAATGCAACCACTGTCGATAGCTACCTGACGGTTCAATTCACCAACAGCCCCTGTATATGGATCAAGGAAAAACAGCTCCTCATTCTTTTTAGTCTTTTTGTTGGTTGACTTTAGTGTGATCCCCCACATGCTGGTGACGGCTTCCTTTTCCTCAAGCTCGGTATACTCATTTTCCATGACGGTTGACCTTTTGACAACAAGGTTGGTTGCCAAGCCCAATGATGGGTGGTTATTCAACTTGTGCTTGATCTCTTCTATCTTTTCCATAGTGTCGCAAGACTGCATGATATATGGCTCTTCCATGTCGGTGAATCCAAGCGAGATGACTCCCTTTGCCTCCAAAGCATCGACATTCATTTTGCAAATACTAGCAGTCTTCAAGTCGACAAGAATGATATTGTACCCTTCCTCCTCAAAAGACTCGGACTCCTCTGTCAACGACTGCTCTTCGTCATCTTCGCAGTTGCTAAAATGACGGCATGCCATCATGACTACGGCGGATTATGATAAGTGGAATCAATCGTGTGAGTTTGGTGATCGAGAAGTCAAGTAAGTGCGAGTATTGTTCTTTTCTATCGTACCTTCGTAAAGTCCCAGGTCCGCAAGTAGATCACAAAAGCGTTGGAATTGGATTTGGTAGTTTGCAAACTGTTCAATGTGAAGTCGGTCTGCAACTTCGCTGAGAGTCTCAGATCCAAAGACATGAATGGTATCGTAGACGTATTCCATGCGTTCGTATTCCGAGAAATCATCTCGTACTAGAATGGCGCCCAGCTGGAACTTGTTGTATCCACGTAGCTCCTCTTCGTCTCCAGTACCGGGAATAATTTCTTTGATTGCACCCCATCGAAGCACCAAGTCATTCACCATTTCGTTCAATGCTCGACGCCCTTTGACAGTGGCACGTTCATTGGTCAAATCTCCCTTTTGGTTCAGTTCTTCGCATTTCTGAACAAGGGACACAGTTCGATCCATCTCTTTGCTGAACTGTTCGTATGCTTCTTGAGCCTTTTCCACTCCACTTTGATCCAGGAATGATTCAAAACGCTTCAAGAAAGACTTTTTCCATGGATCAAACTTTCGTCGACTCTTCACTCTATCAAGCTGAATCATCTGGGTACGGAGGGTTGCGTCATCCTTCAGAGGGTTTCCCTCTTGAGCCATTGACGAGCGGCGGCGGCCGCCATGGCTCATTCTCGCTGCTTGCCTTCCCATTGGGAATTTCTGTTGTATTGTTGCAGGAGTTTTAGAGGATAAAGTTTTTGTGAGTTCATACAAGAATCAGGAGAAAGGTTTGCAAGCATTCATTCGTAGCTGGTATAGCTTACCTGCATAGATTACACGAGTCGGAGAGGGCCAACGTAAACAAATAAAGAAAGTTTTAACACTCGGAAGATGATTGATGTTGAGATATGGATCCCGGTTTGGCGATGAGAAATGTGAGGATTGTGAGATCGACGCCGCGCCGGCATGGCACACAACGCATCAAACGGCAAGTGGAGTCTGACCTTCAGTCGGCTTTTTTTTCAGAAAACACTACATCTGTGCCTTCAACCATCCAAAACCATCAACCTCAAATATATCATCGCACACCCATGATATTTTACAATCCATCTTCACAGTATCACATAGATAATCATCTTCTCTCAGCACCTTCATAACTGAACTACCAGCTTCATATCACTTGATTTGCACTTCATCGTCTCAATAGTCATAACCAAGCTTTCCTTCTGTGTCATACTCTTGGAAAGGAATGAACTTGATCCGAAGATCTTTATCATCAAGAAGAACCATGAACCTGTGGACGCCACTCTACGCCGCTCTTTTTCTGACGCCATCCAAGCCTGTCATTGGATTTCAACCTATCCATCTTGGACAGACTGCTTCAATATCTACTATATGCTCGGTTGGAGCTTTTGATACCATCCATCAACAAAGGCCGGTATCAAACCCACAGCAATCTTGTCGATATTCATCATCTTCTGATGACGACACCAGTACTCCTGTATTCAAACCAGGTATGGAAATTGAAGACATTCTATGACATTGTACACCAGTTCCATGCTGAAAGAACTACATTGGCATCACATCATATTCATCCGCCTAAATTGTTTCCTAACTATCCGTTTTGCCCAACTTCAGGTTCCATGATTCAAGTGGAGATTGTCAGTTTTGGACCGTTGGTAAGTCAGTCATGAATTAAAGGTCGGTTGCTGATAGAGACATTGATGCTGACGAAATGATTGCTATTCTCTTTTCATGTCAATGCAATTTATCGATACGTCCTCGTCTACGGTTGTCCTCCAAATGCTAGGGCGCCAGTGTTAATGTAATTGGTGTTTCACACGACAGTAATGATATTCTTCCAGAAGGAGAAGAACCTTATGCCACAGGGTACGTGCCTTGTTTGAATTGCTTGACTTGATGCTGGAAGTCACATAATGGTTGTATTGACTGAATACGAAATCTTGTGTATGCTCATCACGATGAACGACTCCTTATTTTTCTCTATCCTCTCACTTGAGTACGTATTATCCAGCTTGATCTATCAACAGGAAATTTCGTACTTTCGATCGGCTAGAGACAATGTAGACGTCGTTCGAGGAGAAATCTTGCCTGCCTACGTCCAAAAGGTTCGTGACGACGACAAATTGGATATTGCACTCCGTGTCTTTGGAGGCAAGCAAAAGAGCATGGAAGCAAGCGATCAGATTATGGAAATGCTACGAGAAAGTCCGGACGGTACCTTGGAGGTAGGAGACAAGTCAGCACCCGAAGACATCAATCGATTGTTTCCAGGTGTTAGCAAGACGGTAAGTTCATTATGTGTCAATTCGGGTCGTAGTATTCATTCAAATGGATCAAGCATTCATTCAAACCGATGAAGGCTTATCTGCATACATATTAGTTATCGACTGAACAAGCAACTCACCTTACTCCGCTGGTTTGGCCATTTCCTTTAGGCATTCAAACGGGCAGTTGGTGCACTCTATAAGAAGGGATTGATAACTCCTTCTCCCAATTCCATATCAATCAAAGAATAATGCTGCTACTAAACGAGGGACATTTTCTGATTAATGTGCCACCAGTTATCTGAATACCGTTGGCTTTGGTTTGTTTGCCCTACTCCAGTTATTGTCGCTATATATATAGCAGCTACCGTTAGAGGACTGGGAACATTTTCGCGCGCACACCACTGATGGTTTGACTGACTCGTTCGAGCCGAAAAGCTCAACAGTATACGTTGAAGAATTTCAGAAAAAAGTCATCGTCGGAATTTCAGATTCTTCAGAACAATGTAAAAACGCATTGACACAATAAATATAGCCATTGGCACGATCGATCGGCATCAGAGTCTACAGATTGTAAGACTACCATTTCTTTTCTCTTCAACATTCTATCAGCATTACTGGCAGATAAAAGACATTCCATCATGACAGATCAGAGTAACCAGAACCATAAGCGAGACAGAAGAATAATACCTGTCATCAGCATGATGTCAAGAGGTCGCTTGTGCTTTCTGATTGTCATGCTCATGGCATCATCCGCTGTGGCCTCATCTTCAGATACCAATGATCCTTTGTCAGTACCATCCGCACCGCTGGACCAGCGCCCCAGTGGAAGTATCAACTTTTGTGCCATTGGTGATTGGGGAGGTTGGGAATGGTTTCCTTATTTCACCTATGCCCAACATGAAACAGCCATTGGTATGGGAAGAGTTGCCGAAACTCTCAACTCTCAATTCGTAGTGGCACTGGGGGACAATTTCTATCATTCGGGTGTCGACAAGGGAGATTCCTATCGTTTCAAGCGAACCTTTGAAGACGTATACAGTCCAGCATCCTTAACCAAGATTCCATGGTATGTGATTGGTGGCAACCACGATCACTATGGAAACATCACCGCCCAAATTGCCTATTCCCAAGATAATCCAGACGGGCGATGGGTCTTTCCTTCACTGTATCATTCCCATTCCTTTGCTGCACCTGACGGTAGCTTTACGATTGATTTGATTCTGATTGATACCGTCGACTTGTGTGGGAACAATGAGATTCAAGACGAACACGCCGAAGGATACTTTGATCCTTTACCCTTGAAGGAAAAGTCCGACGCTAGAGAACAATGGAAATGGATTGAAGACCAAATGAAGGCATCGACTGCGGATTATCTATTGGTGGGTGGCCACTTTCCAGTCTACAGTGCGTGCAGCCATGGTCCAACCGAAACCTTGATTCGGCATTTGAAACCCCTGTTGCAACAATATAATGCTCACTACCTATCGGGTCATGATCATTGTATGATGCATTATGAAGAAGAAGATGTCCATTTCGTCCTGTCAGGAATGGGAGACGAATGTTGTTACGAAGCACCCAGCCGAGAACATCATTTGGCATTGAATCCTGAACCAAGTGCTCTGAAATGGCTCATCAGCAAGGAAAACAAGGATCTGTATCAGGCTATTGGTGGCTTTACGAGCTTTCAAGCAACTTCACAAGAAATGAAGATTCAGTACCACGATCATCGAGGAAATGTGCTTTTCACTGCCGATCCTGTCCCTCCTCGTATGAAAAGTGGCGACAAGGGGGACACTTTCGATCAAGCACGACAGCAAGAACCACAAGAGGTTCTTGCCTAGGCATGCCAATATACTACGACACGCTTTCAAGACCGCTCTCATAGTATCGCTATTACATTACCATTCCATCAATCGTAATTGCAGCACTATGGAACAACAATGACACATTCAAGGCTTGCTATTACATCTCAGATATTTTTACATGCTATACACTTTATCGACAAGTCTCTAGAACATTGAATCAATCTACATTTACATATATATTCTGAATTTTCCGAGGGGCCATGATGTGTCGAAACGCTTTGACAAAGATTGCATAATATATGCTGTCGCTCGATTAGCGTCTGGACCATCTGGCTCATTGTCCTATCTTCCCCCCCTCCCCCCCCCCCTTATTGTATTGCTTGTTTACATGAGGATTGGATCCCGAATGCAAGCTGGAGATGGTATGACTCGGAGGCGAGCTTTTTTGGGAACGGGTGGTGATGGACAAGAACCTTGTGTTGCTTTTGGAGCCGACGAGGACCCGCCCTTCAAGTCTGGATTCTCGGCGTCGTTGACGATGGTATCACCCAAAGCACCATCATCACTATGCTTTCTTCGCTTCGTTCCACTTACAACGAGTTCCTCTTCATCAAAGTATTGTTCCAAATGCCGACGACAAGCATTCAAAGAGACGCTCGAAAACTTTTCCCCAAATTCGGTTGGAAGATCTTGCTTCCATAGCGACAAGAGCAAAGTGGAAGGAGGATCGATGGAGGAGAACGAATTTGTGTTGGTCTTCTCTTCGTGGAGACTAGTTGCATTGCCAAAGTTGCAAAAATCCATCACATTCAAAAGGGCGGCAATCGCCATTTCGGAACAAGAGTAGGAAAGGCTTTCGTATTCCTTCAGGGCTTCATCAAGAATGACACAGGCACGACTGTAGACTTTGTCATGCCACCATTGAGCAAGCTTCTGGAGAAAGGTTTTATTCTGAGCCAAATGCAAATGGACCAAACTCAATAGTTTCTGGGACACCATTGGATGCCACAATAGCCGCAAGACGGCTTGCGGTGTTGGTGGATGCACGTGCCAATTTAGCGCCTGCAGCATGGCAAGTTCCATTTGTTGCAATTGCTCTGGGCCAAATGGATCTGGATCGCTGAGCTGACAAATGGTTTCCAACGTAGTACTATTGTTATTGTTGGTACCTCCGTCACCGTCACCGTCACCGTCACAACCACCACCACCACCACCAGGGAGTACTAGCCGGTCGTTGCATCCACAGCAGCCATGATTTAGTTTGATGGCCAAATACAAGGATGTCAGGACCCAGAGTTGAAAATCTTGCTTGGTAATGATAGTAGTCTTGATAGTAGCAGGAATAGCCTTGGACATAGTAGTAGTAGTAGTAGTAGTGGCAATAGTAGCTGTTGTATTCTCGGACGATAAGACAAAGGCCAAATACCGATCCAAGTGATTCATACCAATGGTCACTATTTCACGATTCAATCCAAAGAACTTGGCGACTTTGGAAATAAGGACAACAATATAAATATTTAGAAGACAATGTAATAATAAGTCAGAGACTGTAATCATATTGTTGTATTGAAGATCCTTGCTTGCTATTCCTTTCTTACCTTGAAATGCCCAAATGCAACTTGCTTGTCTCCATTGAATCAGCATTTGGTTGTTTCCGCATTCTCGTTCGCCCGCTTTTGGACTACTATAAGAAGAGTACAAGTTGTTGGATTCTTCCTGAGTAGTAGGATAGTGCTGTTCATACTCTTCCTGAGCGACTGTCAATTGGCACTTTTGGGTGGTAAGATAATCCGTCGTTTCATACGGCGACGACCTTTCTTGTCGTTGTTGTTCTTGCTGAAAGAGAACACCAAGCTCATCGACCGCATCAGCCGTAAAGAGAGCATTGCTGCTGCTAGATGGGGAAGAGAGAGATAGCGTTTGAGTTTTGGAAAGCAAGCTGTAGGATGGCATGATATTCGGATGGATCTTCTTTTTTTATATTATGGAAGGTTTGATTTTGTTCTCTTTCAATATTTTGATTTTTTTGGCTTGAGTGAGACTATGCGAGCGGTGCGGAAAGTTTAATTCGAACCCACATCGAATCGTGTCGTATCGAAGTCGCATATGTCGCATATCTTACTCCATTTAAGGGTTGGGATCTATCAACGGACAATGAATGAGTGTTTTATGAAGCAAGATCTGTACAACAACAAAGTAGTATCCAAAACTGTCTCATCTTATGAAGTAATACATATACAAAAAAAAAACACTCCCTTTTTTCATTTGGTCTGGTGCCCTATTCTCCAAACTCTTCATCAAAACTAAAACTGCTACCTTCTCGGTGGTGGTGGTGGTGGTGATGGTGGTCGCAGGCTTCGGAATCATCATGATGATGCTCCAACTCCGTACCGGCTGTATCCATATCTGCTTCTTCTTCTTCTTCTTCAATCAAATCGTCAATAGAAATGCTTTCCGACATATTCACCATTGCGCTCATGCTTATGGCACTGGGTACTTGTTGTTGTTCTTGTTGTTCTTGTTCTTGTTGTCGGGAGTTTTTAGACTGCCCTGTGGTGTTCCAGTTCTTGTTCTTTTTGGGCATGACGACGTCCCGATGCCGAGTGCTGGTGGTGCCTTTTACACTGCTGGCGATTGAGATGCCAGAAAAGCGCTCGACTTTTTCAGCTTCTCCAGTGATAACTTGCTGAAAGACCCACCACCAAGGCTCACAGTCATATTTCCTTCGAGCCTGTTTGATTTTTGGAAGGAAAAATATTAGGGCCAGACTAAAGCCCAGCGAACCGCCAAAGATCGCTTGTAACACCATCAATGGGAACACTACATCTTCAGATCCTTGTCGGTGCTCAACATCGAGAATAATCAGACAGCAGTGCAATGCAAGGCTCCATGAAAACGCAAGAAGGTAGGCACCGACATAAAGAAAGGCTTGACGCCCCACCTGTCGAACTCGCTTCCACTGCTTGTTGGAAGACCTCAAGACGCTCCTTTTGGCGTCGCCACCTCCGACGCCGCTCCAGACACTGATATCACTAAATGAGGCATTGGAATGAGTATACTTCTTGCGGGCATCGACTGCTTCTTCCCGCGTCCCGACATTGCATTCGTCCACTTGCTGCTGCTGCTGCTGCTGCTGCTGTTGCGTATCGCTGAAAGTCCGTGACGTGGACCCTGGTGGTAGAGGTGCTGGTGACGACGACATCAACGACGCTTGAAAGTCTGTCAACTTCATTTCGCTGCTCATGGACTTCTTCTGTCCTTCAATCACAGTTGTTCGTACATGAACGTACAACATCAAGTTGCTGCCAAAAATGACCAAAAGACTCGCCAAGGATGGGATGGCACCAAACACAAGCGCAAAAGTCTTTTCTCTACACCAGCGTCCGTTGCATCCCTCGTCTTGAGGGTCGTGGTTCACCCAACAACCAGGGGATATTACATTGGGGCGAAATAATCCAAGGAAAATTCCTCCCATGGCTGTGGACACAGCTATTAGGACGATGGATGCATGTATCCATCGTTCGTATTTGGCTTCAAAGTCCCGTTGCTTGACTCCAAACTTGACCGTCAAGAGAAAGTACAGTGACAAGAATGCCAAATACAAGGGTTGTGAAATGACGCTAAATTGCGATATGGCACCCAACATGACACACGAGGCATCGTTCCCGACTGCATAGACCCATGGGTCTGGCACATTTTTTCTTGGCACTAAGAATGGTTGGAGCATCCATCCTAGTGTCGAAATTATGTTGGATACACTCAACGCAAGCATGATTCTTCGATGTGGCGTGTTTTTGCTGCTGTTGCTGCTGTTCTTTCGGATGATGTTGTACACAATCAGTGACGAGCCAATCAATGAAAAGATGGAAACAGGTATCTGGATCGACGATATCACACGTTGCTGGATTGTGGATGGCATACTGCTGTACGTGTAGGCGGCGGCGGTTGCGTCATCATTGTTGTTGTTTGTAGTATCGATAGCACTGCTGTTGTTCATCTTGAAAGAGTAGTAATAGTAGTTGTACTAACTCAGGTTGAGAAGGCAGAATAATTTGCCGGGCTCAAGCGGAAAGTTTTTTCTATTGCTTGCAACGAGATGCGGTACTCGTACCTGTAGTCAACAACGTATTTATTACAAATTGGTGATTCCTACCTATGTGGTTTTTCTGAACGAATTTTGTGCATTTCGAGTATTTTATATATTTTATTATTATAATAGAATATATATATCATCTTTTTACTCTTGGTATCATACCGCCCGACCGGCCACTTTTTAATTATAAAATGTATCTTTTATATATTGCTTCAACGAATGCTTGCGAGTTGGGGAAGTTCTCGGAAATGAATCTGAATCGGTACCTTTTTTCTCTCTTACCTGGAGCACCAAATGGCGAATGATAACGGAGCAGTTGTTATTCGTCATAAAGACTGAACGTACGAGTACGTGGCCACTGACATTGTTGATTGATTGTATTTTTTTTATATGTCTGTTAGTTATAACTTGGTCCCGCATTATGTGGTTGATTCGACACAAATTAGGAAGACGTCAAACACTATGCCACGTTAGTTTGTTATCAGTGTGATGTGGTGGGATGTTGACAACCAGCAGACTCTATTCCCTCCTTACGATCATGCTTCTGTGAATTTCCTTTGCTTTATCCTCCTCATCATCATCTCATGCTCTGACGAGGTAAAATGACAATCCTAGTCAGTCGTCTTGGGTATATTGAATATGGCCAACTCCATGTCGGCCGTATCTAGGTCTCATTACAGTCAACATAAATGCTATTAGATTCCTGGTTGCGGACTTCATAATCATCAACGGACAATGAGAGTGCTTTGGAGAGAATTGAAAGAATGTATACAAGGGCTATCGGGACCACCCTTTCTAGTGCGCACGTGCGGCTTTAACATAGTCGTCGACTATGTACCTACATGACATTACGCGGGTGTCACATACTATCCTCTGGACCATTCGTTTGCTTGCTCTTGCTGTCGCCATTATTACCTTCGAACCTGTCGTGACTAGCACTGGCATCCAGTTCGGTCAAATCATCATCACTTTCATTCTTGGATGGAAGTTCCTCCTTTGGTGGCAACGATGACATTGATGCTTGTTCATCCTTTCCATCCTCACTAATGATATCCAAACTACCACTGGTACTCTTGATACCAATCCGACTGGACCATCTATTCGTACCGGTAGAACCCGTCGACAATCGTGAGGAAGACAATCGTTCTCCAGCAAAGTTGATACGGGCACTCCATGATGATGATGCTTGCTTCTTGTTTTTCTTTTTCGTGGAGGAACTTTTTGTTTTGTGGCTAGCACTCGAGCTGGGCCGACTTTGTGTCGTTCGTGAGGTCCTAGCATCCGATGCTCCCGTGACCACTTGTTGTACCACCCACCAAAATGGTTCATCCGGATACTTGATTCGGGCTGCTTGTAGTTTGGGTCGAAAGAAGATAATGGCATTGGAGAAACCAAGAGCCGGTGCAAACAATGCTTGCAAAACAAGCAACGGAAATAAATAGCTTTCGGATCCCCTCTTGTATTCAAAATCTTGGCTGTCCAGATAGTTAATGGCAAGTGTCCACAAGAAAGAGAGCAAGTAGGCTCCCACATACAAGAAACCCTGTTTCCCCACTTCCTGAACCCGTTTCCATTGCTTGTCCGATGAACTCAAAACGCTTTTTCGTTCGTCCGCTTTACTAGTTCGGAACGACGATGGTGGTGTTGGTGGAATGGAACTGCAATCAGTATCATCGGATGCAAGAGGAGCAGCAGAAGGCTGACCATTCTCAAGTTGCTGCTCGCTGCTAGTAGCACAGTCTCTGCTACTATTATTGTTGTTGGTTGGGTCAACGATGGAAGAGAATCCTTGTACTTGAAAGGTTGCCAATCTCTTTTCATTTGCCATGGCTTTCATTTGCCCCTCCTTGACAGTTCTTCGGACATGAAGATACAACATTGTGTTGCTGACACTGATCCCGACCAGCGTGAGGATGGAAGGCAATCCACCAAATAACCAGGCCCACTTTGCTTCTGGACAATCTTCGGAACAGCCCTCAGGAGGGGCCGATATCCAACAACCCGGTGACAAAATGCTTGGTCGAAAGATTCCCAACAAAACTCCCGCGATGGCAGTGGAAAGGCAAAAGCCCAGGATCGTTGCATGGATCCATCGCTCAAACCTTTTAAAGGATCTTTCTTTCACTCCAAATCTTACAATAAACAAAAAGTAGACTGCCAAGAATAAGGAATACAAATGAGACGTCACCCCGAACTGTGAAAAACTTCCTAGCATGACACAGGATGGCTTGTTTCCGATACTCCAAACCCAGGCATCTGGAGCATCCTTGTCAGCAAGAAAGGGCTGCAGCAGCCAACCAACAGTGGAAATAATGTCACTGATTGACAACGCCAGCAATATTCTTCGGTAGGGTGTCTTTTTGCGGATCGTTCGTACATTGATGATTATGAGGGAGGAACCAATCAATGACAAAAGGGAAGGAGGAATCTGCAAAGAGGATATGATGACTTGTTGCGTCATGGATGGCATGTAGACATATTCATCGTTGTTGGTGCTTATTATTGTAGCAGTAGTGTTGTTCATTTCTACTACTGAAGCTTATTGGATGACAATACATAAGCTGAGAGCGATGTATTTTCCGTGAAAGGTGATGATAATGACGTTGTGATACCGATAAGAACCAAAAAACGGGATAGCCAGACTTTCGGCACGACATAACATACAAAATCTCAATTAAGACCCACGTCTTCAAATGTGTCTTTTCTAGAAACAGGGCATAATTGCTAGTCGTTTTTCTTGTTCGGACCGGCTCACATTTTGCGGTTCGTTATTTGCTGTTGCAAGACTCACATTCTGCTTCGATTATCCTGCGTGGTGCCGTACTTTTTTTCAGGCAAAGCATTCAAAACTATTAAAATAATATGTGTACTACACAAAAATTTCCTGACATTGGACAACTTCCCTTCGGTGCTCTTGCGCACTATTCTCCAAGCTCTTCATCAGATTTAGAAGAACTAGTACTAGATGATTCGTGGTTCTGGTTCTTGTGGGTTTCAGTGATATGTTCCTGATGTTCCAACTCCTCAGTGTCGGCTGTATCCATATCTGCTTCAATCATATCGTCAATAGAGAGGCTCTCTGACCTATTCAGAATAGGGCTCATGCTGATGGAAACTGGTACTTGTTGTTGTGGGGGCACTTTAGATGCTTGCCCCCTGGTAAGGGAGTTCTTGGTCTTGTTTGGCATGTCGCCCCGCTGTCGACTGCTAGTACTCAATCGCCTGCCTTGTATGGTGCTCGCCATTGAAATACTCGAAAAACGTTCGACCTTTTCAGCTTCTCCAGTGATAACTTGCTGGAGGACCCACCACCACGGCTCACAGTCATATTTCCTTCGAGCCTGTCTGATTTTTGGAAGGAAAAATATTAGGGCCAGACTAAAGCCCAGCGAACCGCCGAAGATCGCTTCTAGAACCACCAATGGAAACGTTACATCTTCAGATCCTTGTCGGTGCTCAAAATCTAGAACGATCAGACAGCAGTGCAATGCAAAGCTCCATGAAAACGCAAGAAGGTAGGCACCAACATAAAGAAAGGCTTGGCGTCCCACCTTTCGAACTCTCTTCCACTGCTTGTTGGAAGACCTCAAGACACTCCTTTTGCCATCACCGCCGCTCAAGACACTGATATCACTAAATGAGGCATTGGAATGAGTATACTTCTTGCGCGCATCGACTGCTTCTTCCCGCGTCCCGACATTGCATTCGTCCACTTGCTGCTGCTGTGTATCGCTGAAAGTCCGTGAAGTGGATTCTGGTGGTAGAGGTGCTGGTGACGACGACATCAACGACGCTTGAAAGTCTGTCAACTTCATTTCGCTGGTCATGGACTTCTTCTGTCCTTCAATCACAGTTGTTCGTACATGAACGTACACCATCAAGTTGCTGCCAAAAATGACCAAAAGACTCGCCAAGGATGGGATGGCACCAAACACAAGCGCAAATGTCTTTTCTCGACACCAGCGTCCGTTGCATCCCTCGTCTTGAGGGTCGTGGTTCACCCAACAACCAGGGGATATTACATTGGGGCGAAATAATCCAAGAGCAATACCTCCCATGGCTGTGGACACGGCTATTAGGACGATGGATGCATGTATCCACCGTTCGTATTTAGCTTCAAAGTCCCGCTGCTTGACTCCAAACTTGACAGTCAAGAGAAAGTACAGCGACAAGAATGCCAAATACAAGGGTTGTGAAATGACGCTAAATTGCGAGATTGCACCCAACATGACACACGAGGCATCGTTCCCGACTGCATAGACCCATGGGTCTGGCACATCTGTTCTTGGCACTAAGAATGGTTGGAGCATCCATCCTAGTGTCGAAATTATGCTGGATACACTCAACGCAAGCATGATTCTTCCATGTGGCGAGTTTTTGCTGCTGTTGCTGCTGTTCTTTCGAATGATGTTGTACACAATCAGTGACGAGCCAATCAATGACAACATGGAAACAGGTATCTGGATCGACGATATCACACGTTGTTGGGTGGTGGTTGGCATGTACGAGTAGGCGGCGGCGGTTGCGCCATCATTGTTGTTGTTTGTAGTATCGAGAGCACTGCTGCTCATCGTATCGAGAGAGTAGTAGTATTAAGGAATGATGTGCGAGTTACCGGAGATGTATGTTGGAACGCAGAATTGGACGGTTCAGCAAAAGTCGAAATTATTGTTGCAAAACGGATATGATGAGATCGCTAATATAAATGCATCTATATTTATGATGGAACTTGTGGGACCGGTTGTTCTCAATACCGCCGGATGACTTATTTCGTATCTTTCTAAAAAGCAGACATATTTCTTTTTTAGAGCAGACTTCTGTCCCAAGCGGCCACCAACAAGTCGAGTTCTGGAAACTCTGGCTATATTTAATTTCATTATTATTTGCACTTTACACTTGAAAATGTCGAACGACAATAGCATCAACGAAATACGATGAAAGAAATCAGCCAAAAGGCTAAGATTATTGTCTGCGCGTCCACAAAAAAGGGCTATATATAAGACGAAGTGTGGCATACGGTCGGAGAATTAGGGTCTTCGTTGCTATACAAACATATAATATGCGTAAGCAAAGTTTCCTGAGTCACCTTTCCTGTGCTGTGTCACATGACGATGATACTAGTAGTAAGAACAACCAACATACAGCCGCCATTCCCTTGAACCAAGGGCAGAGGACACCGGTTCCCCCGACAAATCAAGACATTACAAGACTGGAAAGAGGCTTTCTTTCCTTCTTCGACAGCGCCAATGATCATGATGTTTCAGCTCCACGTTTAGCTGCTGTCTCCAAGTCTGCTTCTTTTTCTTTACCTTCTTCAAAAGCAATAAAGGGTGACTCAAGGATAGGTTCGTGGCTATACATCATGATTTTCCAACTCCGTGTCGGCTGTCTCCAAGTCTGCTTCTTCTTCATCATCGTCGTCAAAAGATATTCTAATAGATTCAAGGATCGATTCGTGGTTGTTGACTTCTTCAATACCATTGTCATGATGTTCCAACTCCATCTTGGCTGTGAGCAGGTCTGCATCTTCGTAATCTTCTTCAATCCTCATATCGTCATTTGAAATGCTTTCAGTTTTTTGCTTAGGACTCGTGCCGATGGCACCCGGCACTTGTGGTTCGGGTGATTTCGATTGCCAAGTTCCGGGCGAGTACTTGGTCATCATTGCCATGATGGGTGTGTCGCCACGACGACCCCGATGCCGAATGAAACTTCTTCGCCCGGCGCTGCTGGCCATTGAGATACTCGAAAAACGCTCTACCTTTTCAGCTTCTCCTGTGATAACTTGCTGCAGGACCCACCACAACGGCTCACAGTCGTACTTGAGTCGAGCCTGTCTCAACTTTGGATTGAAAAAGATTACGGCCAGACAGACACCCAACGAACCGCCGCAAATCGCTTGTAGAACCATCAATGGAAACATGGCGTGGCGGATTCCCTGATGCTTATCAAAATCTAGAATGATCAAAGTGTGAAGAAGGAAGCTCCATGAAAACGCAGTAAGGTATGCGCCGACATAAAGAAAGGCTTGGCGCCCCACCTGTCGAACACGCTTCCATTGCTTGTTGGAAGACCTTAAGACACTCCCACCACCACTCATGACACTTTTACCACCAAATGAAGCACTGGAAACAGCATACTTCTTGCTGGCATCCACTGCTTCTTGGCGGATCCCAACCGCCTCACATGCGCCTTCTTGGTGCTGCGAATCGCTGAAAGTCCGCGACGTGGACTCTTGTTGAGGTGACGACGATATGAAAGAGGTTTGAAAGCTTCTTAGTTTCCTTTCGATAATGATGGACTTCTTTTGTCCTTCCATCACAGTTGTTCGTACATGAATGTACAGCATCAAATTGCTGACAAAAATAACGAAAAGACTCGCCAAGGCTGGGACGGCACCGAACGCAAAAGCAAATGTCCTTTCTCGACACCAGCGTCCGTTGCATCGCTCGTCTTGAGGCTCGTGGTTCACCCAACAACCAGGGGATACCACATTCGGACGGAATAATCCAAGAGCAATTCCTCCTATGACTGTGGACACGACTAAGCTGACAATGGATACATGAAACCACGTTTCATAGTTGACTTCAAATTCTCTTTGCTTGACTCCAAACTTGACAGTCGCGAGAAAGTACACCGACAAGAGCCCCAAATACAAGGGTTGTGACATAATGCTGAATTGCGATATAGCACCCAACATGACACACGAAGCATCATTCCCGACTGCATAGACCCATGGGTCTGGCACATCTGTTGGCACCAAGAATGGTTGGAGCATCCACCCTAGTGTCGAAATTATGTTGGATACACTCAACGCAAGCATGATTCTTCGATGTGGCGAATTTTTGCTGCTCCTTCGAGTGAGGTTGTACACAATCAGTGAACATCCAATCAACGACAAGATGGAAAGAGGGAGCTGGATCGATGATATGACACGTTGTTGGGCGGTGGATGGCATGTACGTGGTGTCGGCGGTGGATGCGTCACCAGTGTTGTTGTTTGTCTCGAGAGCACTGCTGTTCATCGTATTGAAGTAGAAATAATAACAGCAATTGCTGTGATGGAATAGGCCGGTCTGAACAAAAGCGAATTGAAGTTGTGGCTTGAAAACGAATAAAAGAGATCGCTCGGTCATTTTCGTACCGGGTTTTTTCCAATTTATTTATGATATGGCGAAGCGTTCTCAGTATTTGAATAGCTCCTGCTCCCTCCACTTTGTTCATTCGACGATGGCGGACCGACAGTCCCTATACTCGTACTCGTTTACTATAGTGATGGAACCACCGGCACTCTACCCGGTGATTCACTCTACCGGTACTGAATTTGATCAGCTTCCTCCGGCACCAAATGGCGAATCCTCGTTGTACCAGGTATCAAATGACATTCTTGGAATGTATCATTGGTGAAAATAAAAATACCTACAGTGCAGTATTTTAATTAATTGGCACCATCACCGCGCTGCGCTGCGCGGCTGCACCCTGAATGAGGGATCTTGATTCATTCGACACGAATGGGAGATGATTATTTTTTATACCGCATATTACACAGATATTGTACCGCGGTATCCATTCAATTCTTCAATATGATATAAAGTGAGATAATGTCAACCCAAACGTTTTTGCTGGCATCCTTCCTCCTTGCCTTCGTGCTTTTCGACGATCTTCCAATTACCCTTGCTCTCTCCTCATCATCATTTCAAGCACAAACGAAATACAATGACGTCAGTCAGTTCAAAAATAAGATTATTGCCTGTGCTTCCACAAAAGAGTTGACACTAGCTGTAGAATTTTGTGTCAAGCCACATTACAGGGTCGCAGAATTAGGGTCTCAGCTTCGTGAAGTTTCTACACAAATATGTGAAAGTTGTGCCTCTGCTACGCTGGTGGATGTTCAGCGCAAGTTTCCCAAGACACCTCCTGCAGTGTCAGACGACGGTGCTACTATCAGTAAGCAAAAACAACGCACAGCTGCCATGCGCTTGCAAAGTGGTAAAGAGGATATATTTTTCCCTGAAATTTCCACCTTTCGAGAAATCAAGAAATTACAAGATTGGAGAGAGGCTTTCTTTCCTTCTCTGTCAGAGCCATCGTCTTATGATGTTTTGGTCTTGGATGTCAATGCCATTGTGGGGAACGATCTCGAGTGGACATCACTGAGTTTGATCCAAGAGTTTCAAAATCAACAATCCAACAAAGACTTGATCATTTTGGTAAAGTCGTTGGGTCTAAGTCAATTCGCATCTCGCTTAGTTTATGGAAAGCGATACACCAAAGACTACAATGCGATCCCACCACCTCATATCCTGGCAACGGTTGGTGTGCAAGAGTACCGAGACACCATTCCACATGTCGTCATCAAACCAGATTCAGATGCAATTTTAGAAGTCGGGTGTCATTTCGGAACCACCACAGCCCTGTTAGAACAAGCTGGAAAATACTGTATTGGTGTCGACGTTGGGTCCAAAATTATCAAGCAGGCCAAGAACAAGTATCCAGACGTGTTTTTTGCCGTTGGGGATGCCTGGAAGACTGCCTCCTTGCTTCGGATCCAACAAGAGTATTACAAACAAGAAAAACAAAGTCACATCAATTACAACAATGATGACGGTCCAGCAGCAGCAGCAGCAGCAGCAGCAGCAACGGAAAATGGAACAAGGGTAGGTTTCGATGTTGTCTTTGTCGATGTCGGAGGCTTGTCTGGGAGCGATGGATTGCTGGAAGCCATTCTACTGGTGACCTCTATTCAAAATGCACTGGAGCCCCGATGCATTGTGATCAAGAGTCTTTGTATGCAACGGCTGTCCACCACGTTGGTCTCATTTTGGGAATTGCGAAAGCGAATGAAGCAGACAGCAGAGTAATAGTAAGAGGCTATGTTTGTTCCGAATAGTCACAGACAGGAAAAATTTCACTAAATGGGCTAGTGATTCGGACCCGCATGGTTTTCTTTGAGTATAGCAGAAGGTTCTCTGATTGAAACATGATGATTGCGTGGATGCATGGATGCAGCAAATTAATTTCAAGACTACGTTCCCGGGATTTCTGAAATCAGGAAATTAGATGCTGATAAAGTAAGGGAGAACAATTAAACTCGATGGTGTGTTGATTCGATAATCACATTTAAAGTAAGGCTATTATATAGACAGCATAAGACTTGTTGACATTTGTGATGATGCAGATTATAGGCGGCGACACGGCCTGTTGGCTGCGCCCTTGACCTGCTGAAATCTAATTTGAAATTAGGTTTGAAGGAATGTAGACTCTATTCTCTGGAATATTCTCCCGGAAAGTCTTGTATCCACGGTACTTGTACTTTTCTTCATCCGTCAAAGTATCGTCACGCAGGACTGAATCCCGGAACCAACCAGAACTTGACATGTGCTTCTCATAGGGAAAGTCATCGACAGTTGGGTCAATGCCAGCATTCACAAGTGCGACGAGGAGAGATGGATCGTCTGGGATACCTTCGAGTGATCGCTTCTTTCCAGACGAGTCGATGCAGGTGAGGGAACTCCCATTCCAACTGAATTGAACACTCTTGATCTTCTTGGATTGCACCAAGTCCTTGAAAGCATCATAGGTGAATTCTTCTTCTTCTTTCTTATTGAATATATTATCCAACCAAGCAGCATTCGCAGGCGCCGATTGGGTCACCAATGTTGTAGAAAGAAGTGAAGCCGTCGACGTCATGAAGAACCGTCTACTGGAACTGCCCATGGTATTAGCTTTAGCCGAATTCTGAGGCGAAACGTGTAACGCATTGCTTCCTCCAACTGTGAGACTCATAGCTATTGTAAAGGCTTCAATGAGCGATGTTGGCTTCTTCATGTTGATCTAATAAATTGACATGCAGATTCGATAGGGTAGGCATTTGTATCACGTGAACGATCTCGTCCAATAACTTGGAATTATTCACATGATGGACCACATCATCATCACTATATAATTTCGATTCCACGTCAATAAGAATTTTATTTCAACGAACGTTCGAACGATAACTGCATGAGAACATGAATTCGACACGTTCGATTAAAAAATCATGCGATACTCAATAAAAGAGATCATCCACCTGCACGCATATATATGTATTGAATTTATATATGCATATAATCGCAGCAGCATACTGTAGTATATTATCGCAAGAATTTGAATGCAAATGCAATATTGAATCATTGATTCTTTTTTTCTTTATTATGTTATATATGAATATACGTATCTTTCAGCTTAGAATGCCCCAACCATGTCGAGGTCCTGGGTGGCCAAGATGTCATAAACGCAGTCCTTGCGATCGAGCGGATTCTTCAATGCAGCACAGGCTGCCTCGGCTTGATCTACAGTAACGGATTGCTCATCAAGGCGACGACGACGTTCTCCTTGGGGATCTTCAGGGATCACACAAGCCTTGGGGAACTGAGGGTCTTCAGCACGGTGGAACAACATGTTTTCATCGGGACGGACTTGCCATTGGGCTCCAAGGGCGTAGAAGTCATCCATTTCGGTTCCATCTCTTCCGAGAAGCTTTCCAGTTTTCTTATCACCCAACATACCGACGGCATTACCAAAGGATGCTTCCGAAGATTTGATAAAGTCGACCTTGACGAACTCTCTGAAGGTGGAGATTTCGATCTTCTCGCCGGGGAACTTGGAACTCAAATCAATCACAAAGCTGCGCTTTCTCTGACTTCTTGCGGAAACAGTTACTGGGAAACCTCCAAGAGTCTTGATGGGACCTTGATATTCAAGATTCATCCAGTATTCGGTCACACCAACCTCGGGGTCGGCAGAGCCTTGGACTTCCAAAATATCATCACCGATGCGAATGGCAGCACTCTTGATATAACTCCAGAATCGAACAAGCTTGGTACGAATCTCAACCTCGATTCCAAGACCATCAGCAAAGTCGGGGTCCTTGGCGAGCATGAGATCACATTGTCCATGGTATTCGAAATGATCGTTGTTCCATGCGCGGACTGCAGATGAAAAGAGACAATAATGTGAGCGCATCATTTGGATTGTGGATTGTGCACGAATAAATGGTTTCCGACTTACAATGTGGATCACCGAGACTTCCAGAGGGTGTGTCATTTTCTTCGGCTGGAGTATCATTGTCTTCTGGGATACCTTCAGTATCAGTGGGGCTGGTGTTGCTATTATCAGAGGTTCCAACGTCAGTGTCATCTTCTGGAGTGTCGTCCGGGGTGTCGTCAATATCAGGAAGATCTGGAGTGTCCTCTGGAGTTTCCTCTAGAGTTTCCTCTGGAGTATCCGGAATGTCAGCAGTTTGAGTATTCTGAACAATCTCGACATATTCATCGCATGCTCCTTCTCCAAGAAACACGCATTCGATAACACAGCCCTCATCCAAGGTATTATCAGTCGTACACTGCTCGATGACCTCTGGGCTTGCTTCTTCGATGATCTCATCAACATCGACATCATAGCTGTACAGAAACCAAGCGATTAGCAACAAGTTTCAACCAAAAACAGGTGACCAACCAATACAATCAAACCAGTTCACTTACTTGTCATCACCCTTGATTCCAGTACACAAGTCAAAGTCACCATGGCTCATGTCTGGTTCATAAGTGAAGTGCGATGCATCACGACCCAAACACCAAGTCAACGAGTAGTCGTATGCTTCGCGACCACGACGCTTGCGACTACTGCGAGGAATATCAACTGGGGTTCCGTCAGGTTCGTGCCAATCATTCGACCATTCACCATCTGGCTGTCCAAGAATACCAACCAAGCTACCATCACACGGACAGTCGGCCAAGAAGTAGGTCACCGAGAAGTGACACTCATCCCTCCACGATCGCACACTCATATCCATGCGCATTTGAAGATCCAAATACTCAACAACAATGCGATTGCCCTTCACTTGAACAGTGGCATCAGCCAAACCGGTTCCGGTGGTAATATCTCTTGCTTCTCCATCCACAAACAATTGCACTGGACACTCGTTGTTGCTTACAGTGAAGCCAGTTGCTAGCTCACTTCCTTCATCCTCGCCAAGAGAGACTTGGATAGTAGGTTGTCCAGTTTTGTGAACCAAGACACCGCTTGTCACGGCCGGTCCTTTCGGATGGTTCTTGACAGCGACAGTTCTTGCTTGGATAGTGAAGTCATTCTCTGGATCGGTTGACTTCAGGAAAGTTAGCTCACCCTTGACGTGGACATCGTATGAAACCTATCGAAACCAAAAGGAGTTATTTAGAATCAACGTCACACACAAAAAAACATAGACAAACCACAGGAGCGTCGCGAGGCACTTACTCCATCAAAAGTGATAATGTGACTAAAATATAAACAGGGAAATATAGCAAAAGTCAGAAAACGAAGGCATGATGTAGGCATCCGAAAAAGTGGATAGGATGACTCACGGATCTCCCCAACCAACGGCTCTGCAAACAGGACAATCTCCATCAGCAGGCGGTGTATCAGGAACTGCATAACAAGAAAAATCAATTAGTGACCAAAGTTCCTGAGAATAGACACGTGCTGTAAAGATAGTTTGACATACCCTCCAAGACAATATCAGAAATGATGCTGCTGGCTTCTGTTTTCAGAAGCTTGATTTCTTCCGGTTCTTCTTCATCAGCACCGGGTGTTTCAAGCGATTGATCGGCGGCACCTTCACCCAAGTTCACCGCTTCCAACAAGCATGCTGTATTCCCATCCCCACATTTTTCGAGCTGCTCCGGAGTGGCTTCTTCGAGAGATCTCTCCAACTCGGGGTTGTAATCGACGCCGCAGTGCTCGTAGTAAGTAAAGTTGTAGCCAGGCTGATAAGTAAAAAGACTCTCGTTCTCCGTGTAGATACACCAGTTCTGGGTGACGTATTCATACGCTGGTCCGAAGAAAAATGATGAGAGTCCACCAGAAGGAAGATCAACAACAGTACCGTCTCGTTTCATCCAGTCGTTAGTGGCGTCGTCATCTGGAGATCCAAGAAGACCAATGATGCTCTCCTCGGGGCGACAGTCGTTCAATAAGGCGTAGGTAACAGTGAAGTGGCATAGGTCCATGAACTGCAAAACCTTCAAGTTGAGCTGAAGGTCGGGGTACTCAATATGGATCCTTCCGGTGTTCATATGAACTTCGACCTTCACATCGTTCGAATGGTATCCAGCGAAAAGATCCTCTTGCTTGACTTGATCGATGTACAGTTCAACGGGACAGTTAAACAAAGTAAGGGGAGGATTCTCTCCAGATGTCATGGATACCTGAACAAGCGGATATTCAGTGCCATCAGCCATTGGGTTTTCGCGGATGGCCACACCAGTTGTTGCTGCAAATCGAATGAAAGAAAAATTTAGAAGTGTATCACAAGATGGCTTCGCAACAAAACAAAGTCATACCTGCAGGGTCGGCTCCGTGCCCAACGACCTTTTCCAAACGGGCCTGCACCATGAGATCAGAATCCTGCGACATCATCATGATAACTTCGCCAATTGCATGCGCATCATATTTCAATCCGTCAAATGTAATCATGCTATAATTGAAGGGGACAAACATTAGAAGTGAAAACTCGGAAACGACGATATAGAAAAGTTGCAATCAGGTTGGTAGTATGATACGTACTGTGGATCACCCCAACCAGTCGCAACACATGCCTTTGGTGGTGGCTTGCACTCATTGTCAGTAGCAAAGTTTCCTTCGACCTCAAAAACGAAATCTTGTGATCTGCGAGAGGTCGAAGTCCACTGAGATGGAGTGAAACTGTGCGGGCCACAGTCTCGTGGAAATCCAACGCCGCTGTCATCGTAGTTGCAGTAGGTCCACTTGCTGCGACCCTTTCGAGCATCTTCGTATGTCGAATACAACTCAAAGTCGATGTTCAATTCGTTCGAAGGCTCTTTCATCCAGTTGTCCAAGAACAAGTCCAAGAAATTCTTAGCATCTGAAGTTTCGAATTCTGACTGGTCGGGAATGGGAGTAATTCTTCTGTAGTAGATCTCGCGATGAGTTGGGTTTGTGCATGATGGACACAGACGGCGAACGATTCCGTTTGTCGCTTCCATTTGTGTGCGGAATTCCTCATCGCTCAAACACTGGTAAGGGATACCTGCACTCTTTCGGGCCACTCCAGTCCACCCTTCCGAATCTGCCAAGGCCGCCAATTCAGGTTCTGGTGGGACGCTTCCTTCAACAGAGAACGCGAATAATCTTCCAGTATTGCGTTCAAACGAGGTCCATTGGGAGGCAACAAATCCATTTGGACCACAATCACGTGGGAAACCGACTCCAGAATTATCGTAGTTGCAAAAGTTCCAAGCATTGATTCCTGCAAGAGCATCCTCGTAGGTAGAGAATAGGGCAAAATCAGTGTCAAGAACGTTCTTGGGATAGCTGTACCAGTTGTTGATCATCATATCCATGAAACTGCTAGCGGCAGACGCGGAATTCTTGTACTCATCAACTGTTGGGAAACTTGTCAACCGTCTGTAGTAGATCTCTTTGTGAGATTCGGCACAGCTGGGGCAGAGTCGCCGAATGATGCCGTTTGTGCTGTCGACAACATGCTTCATGACATGGGCTTCGCTCGCGTAATACTTAGTCTTAGTAGTATGAGTTGCTTCGGCAACGACAGTCCATTCTTCAATAGCAGACAAAGATGCAGCTTGAATCACTGGTTCCAAGTTACCTTCCACTTCAAAGCTGAAATCCCTGGTCCAATGCTTGGACATCGAGATCCATCCGTTTCCAAGCTTTCCTTGTGGCCCACAGTCGCGTGGGAAACCAACAGTAGCGTCGTTATAATTACAGTAGGCCCACTTATTCTCACCAGTACGCGCATCCAAATATGTTGAGTAGAGCTCAAAATCCACGTTGAGCTCATTCTTTGGCTGATCGAACCAATTGTTCAAGAAAAGATCCAAAAAGTCTTCTGGAGTCGTTCCGTCGAATTCACTTGGCTCCGGAAGTGGGGTGATTCGCTTGTAGTAGATTTCCTTGTGGAGAGGGTCGCTGCAACCAGGACAGAAGCGACGAATAATGCCATTCGTAGTCGCCAAGTGTTGTCGAAGCATGGCATCATCGACCTCAACATTCTTGACATTAGCAGCACTGCTAGCGATGACATCCCATTCATTGTATGCAGGCAAAGGGATGACTCCGGCAGCGTACAACGTGTAGTCCTTTCCAGTTTGGCTCTTGGAGTTCCATTGGTCAGCTTCGGATCCAGTTGGCCCACAATCACCAGGAAATCCAACATGCTCATTATCATAGTTGCAATAAGTCCAGGCGTTGACATCAAGGAAAGCGTCATCGTACGAACTGTACAACTTGAAATCAATATCGAGTTTGTTGCTTGGGGTGCTGAACCAATTTTCGGTGAAGAGGTCCAAGAAATTGTCAGGAGTCGCTCCATCAAAGTCGCTTTGTGCGGGAATAGGAGTGATTCGCTTGTAATAAATGTCTTTGTGAGTATCTGCACAAGATGGGCACGATCGGTGGATGATGGCACCTTCTTGTTCGACATGCGCAGCCAAAGATTCGGCAGTAACATCTTCGTTTTGCTCAAAGGTGCCACTGGTGACACTGGCAACCTCAGTCCAGACAGTATCAAGCTCGTGGAAAAGGACCGTTCCTTCAACTTCGAAGACAAAGTCCTTACCCCACGTGCGGGTCGTGGTCCATTGATTAGGGGCAAATCCAGTGGGTCCACAGTCGCGAGGGAATCCAACTTGCGAACCTGAGGCAAGTATAAAGAGCAAGATGACGATAATCAATTAGATTCAAATTTTCATACTATCATGCAAATGCGTCAGCAAGAATCTCCAATACTTACTATCGTAATTGCAGTAGCTCCAAGCACTGTTATCCAAGACAGCATCTTCGTAGGTACTGTATAACTTAAAATCCACATTGATCTCGTTGTTCGGAGAGCTCGTCCAAGCGTTGGCAAATAAGTCTACAAAGTCGAAGACTTTGGGAGCACTGGCGAAGTCATCTTGATTTGGAACAGGAGTGATCCGCTTGTAATAAATCTCCTTGTGATCCTTCGACTGGCAAGTTGGACAGATACGGCGGATGATGGCACCATTCTCATTGACATGGGCAGTCAATCGTGCAGCTGAAACAGAGTTCGAGATGGTTGTGCCGTCCTTTGAAACAAAGGTGGTCCACTCAGCAGGCTCATCGACAAGATTTGAAACCTCTCCGGTCACTCTGAAAGTGTACTTCTTAGACCAGTTCTCGTCGTTGATCCATTGGCCACCCTTATTTCCAGTTGGTCCACAATCACGAGGGAATCCAACACCGGCCGAGTTGTAGTTGCAAAACGACCACCCCTTGTTGTCCAATGCAGCATCCTCATATGTACTGTACAACTTGAAGTCAACATTGAGTTTGTTGCTGGGAGTGTCCACCCAGTTGTCAGTGAACAAGTCAACAAAGTTCTTTGCCTTTCCAGAGTCGGCATCAAAAGTAGCTGGATCTGGAACAGGTGTGAGGCGCTTGTAGTAGATGTCCTTGTGAGAATCAGCACAATCTGGACAGTTACGGTGGATGATGGCATCAGCGTTGGCATTCATGTGAGCAGTCAAGCTAGCACCAGAAACATTCGAAGAGTAGGTTGCATCCTTCGAAGCAAAGGTTGTCCAAACTGTGGGCTCTTCCACGAGAACAGGAACTTCTCCAGTGACTTCAAAGGTCCAGGTTCCTGAGTGGATAGAGATCCATTGACCAGGAGTAAATCCAGTTGGTCCACAATCGCGCGGGAAACCGACCCAATCATCTAAAAAATATTAGTGCGCGCATGTTAGACTTGGTCTTCAGAAAGTTAAAAGACAGAACAGGAAAAAGTCACTTACCATCGTAGTTGCAGTAGGTCCAGGCATTCGCATCTTCGACAGCATCTTCGTAGCTGCTGTACAACTTAAAATCAGTGTTGATAGCGTTGCTGGGAGTACTCATCCAGTTTTTGACAAAGATATCAACAAAATCAGTGGCGTCTCCACTATCCGCATCAAAGGCAGCTTGATCCGGGACAGGAGTCACACGCTTGTAGTAAATATCCTTGTGGGAGTCTTTGGAACAACTGGGACAGTGACGATGGATAATCGCATCAGGGTTGGCGTTCATATGAGCAGTCAAACGGGCAGGCGAAACGTCGTTGCTGAAAACGCCATTGACCGTCCTTTCCGCAAAAGGAGTCCAGGTAGGAGGGAGTGCTGGTGTTCCACAGGCATCACAAGAGCCTCCATTAGAAGATGGAATAGTGAAAGCCCAAGTACGCTCCTTCGGCGCTTGTGCCTTCTTATACGTAGCTCCACAATTGTACTCATCGTTCCAGCATCTAACATCACTGGTACACCCCGTGTCTGCTCCGTTAAGAGCGAAGGGCAAGGTGAAAGTCTTGTCTTCCGAAGGGTTATTTTTTTCATTTCCGTCCTTGAGAATCCAGTAGAGAGTCTGGCCTGGCTTTCCCTCTTGGCACATTGTGATATCACTCTTTTCTTCGCATTTTCCAAGAAAGATTTGATCTCCAGCGCCAGAGCCTTCTCCATACTTCTTTCCACTCTGACAAGACCCGCCGTCTTCGACACCTCCCAAAAGAGGAATAGTCTTATCGGCATCCTTCCATGCGGGACAACCGTTGCTGTCACTCTGCATACACATGTGGCTGAAAGTGTCATCCTTGGCACAGCCAGGGAAACTATTCTTCACTTGCATACATACTTCAACAGCACATTCTCCGCCCAGACCACAGGAATCGGAGTTCAACTTGTTGACACTGAATTGGATACAACCGCTTTGCTCTTCGCAAGTCGGAGTAGAAGCTGCGTTGGCAATGCTTGGGAAAGCAGCAACAGCGGCCAAACTCAATAGAGTCGAGCTAAACTTCATATCTCTCTACGTTCGATTACTATAGTGTTGCTGGTAAAGAAGGTCGAGAGACAATAGCTTTTGTTGATAGTTGATTTGCGAGTCCTTGTTTGAAGAGACAAGGAGTGGCGATTGTCTGTAATTTTGTGATTTATTTACGTTTTTCGTGAATTGGTGAGGTTACCAGTACCAGGTGCCGGAAAAATAAGTTCATGAAAAAGAGTTATACGGTCATAATGGCAGCGACCACCAAATGACCCCGGAATCATTTTTGTTTATGAGACGTGTCAATGCAAGGAATTTTAGCTTCCACACGAGGAGTTCAATCTGCTTCAGAAGAGGTGTGGAAACTTCAAGATATAATTTTATATATGCCACAGCATTCTCGTTGGTCTTGGTTTCGATCACAGTTTCTATGCAGTTTCTGTGCGTCAACAGGGTTCCGGTACTGAAAATGTCAGTTGTGTAGTAATCGTTGTACATGCATCAGCTAGAACAGAAGAAAATGGTGCTTTTTAAAAGTATTTAAAAAAGGCATGCCAGATTTGAAAAGTTCGCAAATAGGCTTAATTGTGACCAGAGTGCTCTGTGGTTACAATTCTCTGGAACGGTCACTATATCCTCCGGTAGTGCACAGGTCGAACCTAGTAGTGCGGATGACCACTGGTCTACCCATCAGTGAATCTTTGCATGGCACATGGCAACCAGAACAAGCGATCTGAGGGCAGAGGACGACCCGAACCATCCCTCGCTCCTGTCGTGGAATTCTGCGGCTTTAGCATGCAAGAAGCTTGTCAATGAAAGTACGAGTAATGTAGATCCCTCTACCCGTAAACCATCTTTGTTGTGGAACTCTGTAGCTTAAGCATGCAAGAAGCTGGGTCATGAAAGTGCCAGCGGGTCATGCAAATCTCTGTGTCCGTGTGGCCTCAACTTGACAAGCATTCAATAGTAACAATCATCACTGACTATCTGTTTTTATTCTACGATTATCAATACTGACAGATCATTGATTTTCACCTTCAAGAAAAGTGAGGGCTATTCTGGGGGAAACTGACAGTGTAGCCGCATGAACATTTCGCGTTTGCAATCAATTTAGTCATATTTCGTTCGATCCATGTTTTCACTTTGGAGTTCTTCACAATAGAAATAACAGTCTCTTGAAAAAGGAGTACAATTGTACCATCCATTTTGGTGAGATCGCAGAAATCACAGCTACTACATTGCAGCTTCCTTTTCGGTATCCTTGGCTGTGTCTGGTGAAGTGACAGGGGTGGTGGCGACGGGTGAACTTGACAATGCTGCAACATTGCTGGAAGTCCCACTCTCTTTGCCACTGTCAGCATTATTGCCGTCCTCATTCGGGACACTGGCAAATGCTGCTGCCGGAGGCGCGTTGGGCGGATGTTCGGGTGTGGCTTCTACTCCTTCATCAATCAGAACGGCCGCAGCCGTGGTGTGTTGGGGTGATGTAGGTGCTGGCTGAAGCCGTTCGTTGACTTGCACAGTTCGCTGGTCGATATTGACCATTCGACTATCAATCTGTCCCTGAAGCAAATCAATATCTGAAACTGCTTCTGTGACACAGCGTTCCAAGGCTTCTGCAATGGGAGCTTGAGGCGCATCAGGACTATTAAGTTGTTGTTGTCTTGCTGTCAGAACCTTGGTCAAATAATCGACTCCAAACTTTTTTTGTCTTTGAACAATCTGAAATTCGAGAGCGGCGATCTGAGATTGTTCCTTGGCTGTGAAACAGCATAATCCAGTAGATTCCCAACAGTTGTGGGACAATCGAGACATCTTTTGCCCAAAGGTTTCCTTTTCTTGGTCTGAATTTCCCGATCTGTGCTGTTCTTGTTGGAGTTGTTCGGATGAAACGGGTTGTGCTGCAGCATTTGTGTTCACCACAGGTGACACGGGTGTTGGGGGATGATTCGGGTTTGAATCGTTGTTGTTGTCGCTGTTATTTCCGGTGGAAGGGCCAGTCTTCATGTTGTGATTTTGATGGATGGCTTCTTATAGTGCTCTTATAATCGTGGATTGAAATACCGGTAGATGGGTATTTGAATGATATCTGTACCTACAGTATGATACTGGTGTACTGGTATGATACCGGCGTACCTACGGTATACAGTATGCTGGAGAGTCGTGCGGTGCCGTGCTGATACCGTTCCACAGTATCTTCTATGAGTTTTTTGAAATCATCATCATCAAGACTGGCTGGCATGTAATATGTCCGGGTCGCGTGCGCCATCCAACGGACACGACTTGACTGCTTTGATCGCAACCTGAACAACTTTCAACTTGAAAATGCATTGTAGGTATAATAATAGTCAGGAGTGTAATTTGTTAGAAGTGGGTATTAATAATTAATAGCTTTTGGATTATCCAACGAGAAAAGTGCTTTCTGGCTTTTTTTCGCAATCCAGGCGAGCAGTGGCCAGTGTCACTTCTCAGGTAGTATCAAAAGGAGAAGCTGTTCAACAGCCAGGCTGCTTTCTAGTAGGTACTGTTGAAATCGTGACAATATCCAAGTATGAAGTTCATTCATGTTGGCTGTACGAAGTCCATTCATGTTGGCTGTATGGCGTACACTCCACAGGTAATAACACCATCCTTTTCCGGATGGTCCGAATCATCTAGAAGTCTCTTCGACTTCTCCGGCATCTTGATCCGAAGCCGAGGTCTGGTCGGTTCCAGCCCCTTCCGACTTGTCGGTTGCCTCACTATCACTATCCATAATGTCTACTTCGTCGTCTTCTTCGTGCACATCTTCCATTTGAAAAGTGACCTTCATTGGCTGGCCATTAATATTTGCTTCTGCTTTGCTCTTTCTCTTGTTGCATTTGGAACGACGCGCATTACTCCTCAGCACTTCGGCTGTACACGTGGGAGTTACGGAATCGCCACAGACGGTACGGCGAAGGACCCAAAGTGTGGACTCTTGTTTATGCTGAGATCGAGTTCGGGCAAAGGCTGGCTTCATATACGCGACGCAGTTGAGAAAACCCAGCAATGGAAACAAGACGGCCTGCAGAACCATCAGAGAAAAATAATGGTACGGAACCTCCATTTCTTCTTTATAACTCAACTTGCTTTTCTGGGCGACAATCATCTGCAGAATAATCGTCGCAAAATTACAAATAACGTAGCTTCCAATGAAAAAGGCACCCTGAAGCTTGACTTGCAACAATTCCCCTTTCTTGAATTTGGCCCGGTTCATGTTCTTATCGACTTTGGCTTTGCGTTCTAGAATAATTTCTTGCGAGACATTTTCTTCGTCCATTCTTGCTGTTTTGGTCAATTCCGCATTCACACTGCTCAATCTAGTATGCTTTTCGATCACAGTGCTGAGGTGTGTGGTTATAATGATTGTGTTCATAACCATGGAACCAATCACAAAGAAATCAATGGATCGGCGAAACACCAAGTCCACAGTATCAAGCATACAATCTTCTCGTTGGCCGGTGTAATCAGTGTGACAAGTTTGAATCGCGCATCCGGGGGATCCCTATTGAATTGAGAAATTGATAGTTGTCAGCACTCGTCATATTGTACGCATGCGTTGACTTGACCATGTATAGGTTATTTGGTCTTACCACTCGTTCACCATAAGCATCGAAGAAAAGGCCCAAGAAGGCTGTAACCAAAGGGTATCCGACGGCAACAATGTGCATCAAAGGCTCAAACTTCAAAGTGATTGCGGTGACATTATGATCAAACCGGAGCCGGAGGAGAAAGAAGTATGAAAGCATGCCATTGTAAACCAGGGCGCTTGTGCCAAGTTGCCCAAAGAAGCCGTTGACAGTACAGCTAGTATCGTTGCCAAACGCCCATACTTGATTAGAAGTTTCACTCGGGCGCATAAAAGCACCAGAAGCCACTGTAAACGAGGAAATAATGTTACAGATACTGAGAGATGTCTGCAATCCTTGATAGGGCGTCCAAGGACGATCTTTACGGGATCGGAGCGCAGTAATAACCACTAAGAGACCACCACAAATGCTCAACAAGGCAGAAGGTATTGGCAAGATTGCAAGGATATTTTCTTGAACATCACTGAGTACATTGTAGCCAATTTCTTGCTCTGAATAATCCAAAGGTTGCATCGTCATTTCCCTCTCGTGATGCGATGGTGGTTTCGGTATTGTAGCTGGTACTATAATGGAAGAAAAATTGTGGTCCTGCTTGAGATTCGAAACTCATGTTTGGTTTTCGATTACACTTCTTGTGCAATCACTATATGGAAAAACAGACTGTGCAGAAAGGACCCGGCTGTGCCTTTAAGTATCTCGAACTCCTGTTAATTCATCGATCGGACAGTCCTGCTTTCAAGAGACATTATTGCGGTTTCTGAAGTGTTTCGCATTTCGACCGCTAATATGTTCATGTGGAGGGACCTTTTGACCACATCGAAATGGTGAAAAGGGAGAGCAAGTTGTGGGTATAGATAAAAGGCATAATATATATTAATACATATAAAAGATAGTAAGCAGTGAGATGGGGTACCTTGTTCAGGTGGAATCCAGCTATTATAAAAGCCACGGTCGTGAAAGCATACATTCTTCCAGAACCAAATGTACCAAAAATACTTGCAATTTAATGTTGTTGTTAGTCATCTGCATGTTGCAAGGCGTCCATGCTGCCCAACCTCCATTAGCCTTTTTGTCCGCAACTCAATGCTGTAGGTACGCGTATCGGTGCGTGACATTATGCCTTCTCTTTTCTCTTGGAGCGAAACAAGTAAGTAGGACTACAGTACCGGCAATCCTAGGGCTTTGTCAGAATCCTATGGCAACCAGCCAGCTGTCGACTTCCTGGAGGACGATCGATATTGCCACGACCCTTCCGAGTATGACACCATCAGTGATCCCATTCCCTGACTCCTCTTGCTCAGACAAGAGCAAGTCAGTGAGTCGCCTTCGTCCACAGCAGGATTTCTCGTGATGATTCTTTCTACCCAAGCCAAGTGCTTGTGGTAGGCCTTCACGATGCGCTGTTCGCATCCACTGCAATGTTGTCTTTTCAAAGACGCCCCACACTGGAAGCCTCACAGCTATGTACACGACCGTAGTTCACCAGCCTCAGGTCCACAGTGTATACTTGACCTTTCGCGGAAGTAGTACTCTATCATCTTATCTCATGTGCAATACCGCGAGCAATAGCTACACGTGGTCGAAAGTTTATCATCTATCTTCCTGACGAATGTTTTGCCAACCAAGTAGGGACAGTCGTGTCATTCTTGCTGATTCCTCGTTCAGAATCATCATCCATTGACTCATCTCACATTGCAGGATTGATTGCTTGATTGCTTGATTGATTGATTCAACTGAAAATGAAAGAACCGGAGACCCTCAATATCAATTGCGTGAAGTGTTCGAAACACTGCGGAATCGAGGAGTCGCTGCATCGCGGCACGCCATGACGAATGCAATGATGCCCAACTATTTTGCAGTGCTCATATCCTCTCATCCATGACAAAATTATAATGCTGTACCGGTACCTATTATACAGGTACAGTACCACATACTTTTCCCTGTGTATACACCTGAACGTGAGCCGATTATTTACAGTAGGATTTTTTAAAAATTGGTGAGCGGATTTTGCGTTACATCACCATACGTACAAGTTCGTGTACTGTGTGCGTAAAACGCTCCATCACAATCAATTACTATTGTACCTGCCGTGTATCAGCACACACGACTAACAAGACAACATTAAAATACCGCGTTAAGGTCGTGGTAACAATCCTTTTACTAAGGTAATGTACGCATCTTCTGTGGGATACGTCATTCTGATCAGAGACTCTTCCAGAGAAAAAGAAAGTAGAGTAGGTCGCGACATCGACTTCAGAGCCGCAGGACAACAGGTGCAGCACGATTTGGTCTTATTCGTCACACAACAGGTCCACGGCTGCATAGTCAAAAGGTCAACACCCCCTTTCCGATTCGATGGATCTCACAACCTCTCGCCTGGCCAGCGACCTGTAACCTATCATGAAGCATCATTGCTTCGCAGCTCTCCTTCATAGGGGTAGAATGCCGTGTATCAGCACACACGACTAACAAGACAACATTAAAATACCGCGTTAAGGTCGTGGTAACAATCCTTTTACTAAGGTAATGTACGCATCTTCTGTGGGATACGTCAGTACCAATATCAGTTTCTTCTGGTCAGCTGCCAATACCGAACGGGATATTTAAAAGTCATCGCGTGTTTTCAAATCAATTATTAGTGGTTCATTTCCGCCTCTTTTTTTTTTGAACGCGGTACTAGAGAGGTTTCAAGTAATACGTTGAGAAAAAGGAGTACCGGTATTGCTATTGTGGTAGATTAAAAAAATGGAACTTCCTTTCACTCAAAACGAATACAGATCACATCTTTCACCTATCATACCTATTGTTCACTTTTTGGATATTCTACTACTAATTATTCTGAAACCAAACGGTGTTCGCTTTCTTAAGTACGCGCTTAAGAGGTAAAAAAGTCCTTTCGGTTCCACAATGAATGAAGGCTCTTTCACGAGCACAAATTTCGCAGAAAAACTGCATTCCGTATATCATCAAAATTATTATACATCCTGCGCTGGTAACTTTTACCACGACGAAATACAACACCTCAAGCTTCAAACCGAACCTGCCTCTCATCGTTTCGATGAGCAAGGCAGATGACCAGGATGCAAAAGGAGCCGCTGTAAATCAAATGAAAAACGAAGTATCACTGCACGAGGAAGACAGTTCCTCAAAGGCGAAGAAGAAGCGTGCCAGTACCGATAATACCGATAATGCCGATAATGCCGATGAGGCCTATGTGGAACGAACACAAATGGACGTCCTATGTGGTCGTGGAATCCAAGTACTGCACCATGTCGGCAACTTGAGGCTCCACCTAGCGGCAAATGAGCTTCGGGAGGAATACTTGAGCAGTAGGAGGGACAGGAAGCGAGAGATTATCAAGGACATTGTGCGACAGCTAAGATCGAACGGTTCACGATTCTTGAGAGCGGCAAAGAAAGACAAATCAAAGTGGATTGAAGCGAGTGATGAGTTTGCGTACCACAAAGTAAGCCATGTTCTCAGGGGACAGAACACTGGCAAAGCAGTGAGAAAAATCAAAAGTGATGAGGAAGCGTCAAATGAAGTTGCAGCATCTTTACATGCGACTGGGGAGCAACGACCGCATCCCAGCCAAAGTCAGGCGTTTTCTTCTGGCGCTGGAGTTGCCCATGCGCAGCTCCCATCACATGATGAAAGGGTGGGAATGGACAAGCCAAATCCCCTAGATTTTGCTGGTCTCCAAGGAGGGAATAGCGGTGGTGGAACGGTTGAAGATTTCCTCAGACAAAATCAGTTGTTGGCTAGACATGGTATGGCCCATTTTCCTCCCGAGGTACAGCTTAATAGTCTCTTGCAACAGCAGCAACTTGAGCAGCTGCAGCAGGAGCAGTTCCTGAGACAACGGCAAGAGCAACAGCAACAGCAACATCAGTTCCAACAACAACTTCAAGAGCAACAGCGACAGCTACTGATGCAACAGCAGCAGCGACAGCTAGGGCAGTTCCCCATCAACAACAACTTCCTCCAGCGACTGTTACTATCACAAGCCAATAGTGCGAGCTCTACAGTACAGCCGGCAGCGTCTACTCAAGATGCTGTGTCCAATGATTCATCAGGGCCGCAACCTACACTGACCAGGCAGCAACAACAACAATCACAGGCACCGCCAAGTTCTTTGGACATTGCTACTTGGATCCGTACGCTAAATTCAAGTCAACCAATACGAGCTGATAAAGACATGACTACTAGAGACAAGAAGGAGGATAATCTGCGTCCTAAGAGATAACTCTACATTGTCTTCAACCCCTGGTTTCGCAGGCATTCTCTAAAATACCAGTAAACGGAGATATCTCTAACGAAGTCTTACCTGTTACACTGTCAATGTCACAGATCTTCCATATTGTATTCGTTGCACCATCATGCAGGCTCAGGAGAACTATATATGCACCACTTCACAGGACCCGATGTTCGCGTGGTTGGCTCATTGAGGAGCCGAAGTATCCTTGACGAATCGCGAATACTTTAGAAAATTTGACTTAGAGAACGTTTTGAGGCTTTTGATCGATTGTTCTCTAAGCAGTTAGAAATCCCTATACATTTCGCAGAATTCTGACATTTAAAGATCTTTCATGGCGTTTCCATTCTCGAGTTGGAAGTTTGTCCAAATGAGCTTCGAGGCGGGTTTGACAAGAATGAAGAATATAATGAAAGCCGCAGTGGCGCATATCTCCCACATCTCGCTTGATCTCATCACCTTATACTGTATCTGCTATGAAACAAAAGACGAAAGCAGAGACAGGGACAAGCCTCGGCGAATCGGAAAACCATGAAGGCATGGTAGGTCTGAAAACCCTGCCACTGGTTGACTCCAAACCCACGTCCGAGGTTTTTGTAGGACGAAATGCAAGTGATGTGCTGTGTGGCCGTGGGGTACAAGTCCTGCATCATGCTGGAAATCTGAACCTGCATTTGGCTGTAAACGAGTTCAGGGCGGAGTACTTGAGAAGCCGACGTGGTCGCAAAAAAGAGATCATTGAAACCATTGTGAAGCGGCTAAAATCCACCGGATCCCGTTTTCTGAAGACTGCTCATAGTGACAAGACAAAATGGGTAGAGGCAGATGAAACTTTCGCGTACCAAAAAGTAAGCCATGTATTGAGGGGAGCCAACACTGGCAAAGCTGTCGAAAAGATCAAGAAGCAGGAAAGTGAGATTACGAAAAATCAGAAAGAGCACAGACAGCAACCAAAGCAAGCTATTGCCTCTCTGTCAACAAATATGAGTCAGTTGTCGCAATTCGCAAGCGCTACCATCATGCCAACTTCACAGCATCGGTTGCCATTAGATTTTTCACTGGTTCAAACTCTACTTGAGAGACAGCTACTCGCTGAGATGACTGGGAATATAGCTCCGCAACCAAACATGGCTAATCTCTTGAGGCATCCTAATCCAATGGTATTTCTGCCACAAGGGAGGAATGACAATGAACAGCTCATGAATATTGCGCAGCCACAGCATCCTTCTGCAACACAACAACTAATGCCACTACAATTTAATGCTACTTTCTATCACGACCAGTTCTCAAGTCTGCGAGCACAGCAGCTGTCTCAGGGCGTTAGTTGCCATTTTTCTGCTCCAAACCAAAGAGAACAAGATCACGATCTGAGGGAGGTGGCTGCGCAAAAGAACGAGGTGGAAGACGGATCAAGGTATCGTAATTAAATACTAAAAAAGGGGCGGTATTAGTCCTAGGTCCTACTGTAGGAATCAAGAAGTATTGAGATTATATCACGAAAAAATTCTTGGTTCATCCTACAGGACACCAATGCAATGTATAGTGATGATGTGGGAGTTTTCCAAGCGCAACAATTTATTCGTTCTTTTCTGCGTGTACCGGTGGTAGGATACCAGGTATTTTATATTGTATACGGTGCCGGTACACTACCGGGTACACTGTAGCGGGTCCTATTTTGACTGCGGGAAATATCGAGCCCAATAGACGAAAAATGATCAATCATCTTTTTTTCCTAATTTGCTTGCGCTTGAAAATTGTCTGTCTTGCTGTCAATGGATGTCGATGGGTGCAGTCGTCTGTCAGTCACTCCAGCACTCGGAAGACTTTGGCGAGTGTTGGTTCGCCCGTCGTTCACTCGGAACTCGCAAGTCACTCTTCTTCGATCATACTAGTCAATTCACCTAGGTCCAAGTCGTGGCTGCGAGTGGATTAATTAGGAGAGGCATTTTGCAATAAATACTGTGTGTACGATTGAATAGTACTTGTCAGGAACAGTCTTACGGGGACGTTAATTTAGTTCGGGTTGAGCGGTTTTTGTCAATCCCGAGACTTTTCATCAAGTGTGATTTTGTCGATCACATCATTTCCCCTTCCGAACACAAACACTTTTGATAACCGACATCCGTCTTAACGATTGAGGTGCCTCCATACCTTGATTATCCAAGCACACACATTTAAGACAGCATGAGAATAATAGAATATATCAACTTCTACTTGGGGGTCTTGCTTTTGGCGACAACTGTCATCCTGCAAGCTGCCTCAGAAACAACCATTCAACAAGAAGAACGGCAATTGGCAATTGGTGATTTTGCAGACTTTAACAGAATCCTGGACGGTGCTGTACTTCGGATACCTGACACTGCACTACGAAGCGATGGGGTAACTCTTCGGTTGTCAAACGTTCGGTGCTTGGACCTTTCAATAGGGGACGTGAACTTATGGTCAAGACAAACTTCATTTCAGACAGTTGAGATGAACCTTCGAGTGATAGATTTGGGTATGATCTGCCGAGCCAGATATTCTTTTTCTTGGGGATTTATTAGCGGAAGTGGCGAGGCAGAAATCTTGAGTGTCGGGAATGATGCCACCATTCAAGGCCTGGTGAAATCTGCAAACTACTTGAGCATTCCGCCAGAAGACGTCATCATCAACACTTGCAATCCGACCATATGGATCAACCGAGTTAGCTTTAGTGGAGGCATTCTAAGCTGGATCTTGAATGTGGTGGAGCGTCTCTTTCGAGATTTCATTGCTGCACAGGCTGAAATACAAGTATGCGCTCAACTGAGTGGAGTACTGAAAGATACGGAGAACGCCTTGGCCTTTGCCAAAGATGCTCTTGACGAGTACAAGCCTTGGGAAGAAGACAATCCTTGGGATCCACTAGCATTGGAAAACCAATTATGGCTGCTTTCGCTTCCACCAGATCTGAAACTGCTAGACTTCCGGGATCCAGACATCAAATATGCGGCCATGTTGGAATCTTATGTGAACCAAGCAGTCGACTTTTTGAGTGCCCCTGCGGTTGATCCGATCACTGGTCGCGGTGATATGCAAGCCAATATTCTGATTCGATCCAACTTACTTGAGGATGGTGCTCTGATGATCGAAAGCTCTGACTTCGCTTCTGCCGCTTCTAATATCTACGAAGGCCACAATGATATCCTCAAGACCAGTGTTCGGTTTGACAGTGTGAAACTGGTCGGCCTCGACACGTTGTCAACATTCAATCCGCTGGATAATATTGGCAAATACACTCACCAAAACAAGTTGTCGTGGGACTATTTGGCATTCGAGATCAAGGCTACAATTCAAATGTCGCCGTCAACTTTGAGCAGCTCCATCATTGAAACTCCAAGTAATACCGTTGTTACAGAACAAGTGGAGATCTTTTTTGGTATTGATGATTTGGTCGCAGAGCTGTCGATGATATCTCTGTTCGATCAAGACTTGGTGGAAAGTCTGACCCTGTCTTCATTTCTGAAAAAGGACAATGCTGTGCCCTGCTTCCTATCCACAATTGCTCATGCTGATTTCACATCCTTGTTTGCCGAAGTAGGTGACATCTTGACACCAACACTGACAGGATTCGTTTCTACTGGATTTGACCGGGTGATTTCCAATGGGCTTGATGCAGCCTCTTTGATGTATGAGAAGATTGTTCTGAATGCCGCCCCGAGATACTTTCAAGAAGTCATACGACCTCTGTTTGCTGACACTTTGCTGAAGAGTCAACTTGAGAAAGACAATATCTGCCCATCCTTTGTATGGACGGGTGATGATTCGGAGCTAGTCGACTTTCGAGATCTTCTATACCTGCCTCTCGATGCGATGCTTTTGGGCGGAACTGGTCAAGCACCCTACGGTGATCTATTCTCCGGCCTCATCATGCCGTATTTGCGTGAAAATGTGTTTGAAGGTAGTCTCTTCAATGATGGATACGTGCGACCGCTTACCAAGGCTCAGTCTGGAACAGAAGGGCAATTGTCTTTCACCGGTGATATCATCCGCCATGAGGACGGAAAGACCGAACTTTTCGATTCGATGACATTGGTGATTTCTGATGCGAAGCTGCATAATTTGGATACAGTGGTTGGCCCGATGGACTTGCTCATGCCTCAAGATGCAAATGCGCTTGCTAACAAAGTATCTTTGGGTGGGGGCGCAAGACACTTGAGGGCGTCCACGCAGTTCTCTTTGGATATCACTGGGAAAAAAGGCCCCTTGAACATGCAAAACGTTCTGGACTTGAGCATAGCGATTCCTTCCTCGTCTCTTTCTCTTGATGTGCTCGCACGTCTGAAGGCTGGTGCAATGCTCAACTTTCCAATTGTGGACATTACAAACTACCACTGTTGGCTCGCAGCAATGGATGATTCGGTCGCTGGAAGCTTAGGGTTGTTGAGTCTCTCGCTTGATGCTCCAGCCATCAAATTTGATGCGACCTGTATTTCATGTACAAGTCCTGGTTTGCAGTACATCCCAGAGATTCTGCAAGAGCTTGAAACCGCAGGTTTCAATAACATGTACAACGAAAAGATTATCTCGATTCTTGTTGGATTGATGACGGACTACGCCAAGAGTGTCAACTTTGATGAAATGATGGTCACCGCACCATTGCATTGCCCACACAATGAGAAATATGATGGATCTGGAGATGTGCCACCATTTGACTTTCCCGAAATTCCTTCGCTTCGCACTGATTCCGCAGAGACTGTTCTCGCCATCGGAGTAATAGCCTTTCAATCAGCCACAATCATTGCGGCAAAGAATGAGCTTCTATTGGCAGGAACTTCGAACGCCACAGAAGAAGAAGACTTGGAAGTTGACCTGCCCCCCAATTCCCGAATCCTAAACCTGACTACGCTTGATGAGGATCTCGGTGGATGGGCAGATGTGGTACTTGACGAACTTCGACTGTATCTATCAAGCACTTCAAAAGACCTTTTAGGACTTGATCTAGAAGTCAACAACTTGCTTCGGGAACAAGTATTGGATGAAGAAGGAGCCTTTGCCATCAAATTTGAAGACATGCAATTTGAGGCGATGGATTATTCCATCTCCTTCATTGGAGCAAAGTTATATGGTATGGATTCTATCATGGGTATTGATCCGCTGATAATAAGAGGACCTCAGAGTGTGGGCAACAGCATTCAATTCGAAAGTCTTTTGTGTGTCTGCGAGGTTGCGGTTAGATCGGCAGAAGGAAATGTCGAACACATCAAATTGTCATATCGGTTTCGTGATGTCACAGCACAAGTCGATATGAACATTGCATTGGATATGGAACGAGTGGAAAACATTCAGCTTGGGTCAATTTTTGATCTTGGCCGAATTGGTTACTGCGCTGCAAGCGGAGTGCACGACATGAAATTCTCAAAGCTGCAACTTCGCATTGGTACCATGGATGATCCCATCGTTTCTGGTTACTTCTCGGACGAAAATACAAATAATATCCGATCCATCATCGATAGTATGATGGAACTCTACAAAGGAGATATTGTCGATGCAATGCCTCTCTTTTTCGATTCTTCAATAAGAAAGAGTCTGAATGCGAAACTTCCAAGTTTGCTTCAGTCGGTTGGCGACAAGTGCTCCCCTCAAACTTCAAATGCTGACGATAGCTTCATTGATTTCCGAGATTTGTTGCTTTCTCCAGCAATGGCTTTGGCTCTTGGAGGTTCCGGAAGCTCACCATATGGAGATCTCTTCAGTACACTCTACGGAATGTTGCAGGAAAAGATCTTGAAGACAGGAGCAACTAATCGTCCATTGATCAACGATTTCTTTCGGGGGCTGACAGAACGATACTCGAATACAACTGGATCCATGTTTTTTGGCGGCACGGTGCTCGAACACACCGGCCGACTTCTAATTGCAGGACTTGATGCCACCTTTGGAGTGAAAGTATCCGATGTCACGATCGACAACATTGATAGCGTTGGTGACCCGTTGGATGTTTTCCGCCCCATTTTGGGAGAGCCGAACATGGTGAACAATACAGTCTCCTTTGGTGTTGACAATAGACCACTTGGTGTCTCCGGTGATTTCTATTGCTCATTCCTAGATGGTGGTAAGTCTTGGGTTGTCTTGTTGTTCATCACAATATTCCCGATTGCCAGCTAACCGCTTTGCGATTTGTTTGTATTTGTCAGATGGGGTCGATGTCCGAAACAACCTCCGCCTCGCGGTATCCTTTGAAGATGTGGTTATGATGGCCTCAATGTTGTTGAAAATTGTTGAATTCAATTTTGCTTCATTCCCACTTCGGGACCTAACAGATCCCCACTGCTGGCTTGCAACGGTGTTCTCCAAGTCTCCCAGTAGGAGCACACGTTTGCGTGGTCTGGAAATGGTAGACAATGCTTTCTCGATTGGCAATTTCTCGCTGGATATCAACTGCACAGATTGCACGAGCCCGAACTTTGATAAGCTACTTCTATCACTATATGACTTGGGCAATGCAACTGAAGCAGTTGACTCCATAGAGGACAAGACAGATAACCTTCTTGATGCTGATTTCCTTCAAGTTGCCTTGGATTACCTTGTTGACGACGCAGTGACAAAGTGTCCCCATCGCCCCGAATATGATCCCAATGCCGGCAACGAAGAGTTCCTACTTACGCCGGAAGATTCTTTTGGTTTGCTTGATTCCCAAGGGGGAGTGAAGAAGTCGACAGTATTCAACGTTGCTAACTCTGTAATTGCTGGTGGCATCTTCATGTGTGGTCTGCTTTATCGATGGTTCGTGGAGCGCCGCAATAGAAAGTGGATATCATCACTGTCACGAGAAGGCCACTACCATCTTCAAATGCAGATGCAAAAGGAGAAAGAAATGGATGCCATGCTGGACGAAACGACTACTTCACTTTTCCGATCCGAATGCATCTCTTGCCGTGTACGATACGGTGTCCCGTTGATTCTTGCTATGAATCTTGCAATGTTTTTGGTTGCACATCTTGGAGTCATTTCGGTTGTTAATATCGATGCTACACTTGCTGGTCAGCCGGTCTCCATTCAAGACTTTCTTTCTTTCACTTTCATCGGGTCCACACAAAAAACATTTGAAAATGGTGGAGCCGAGATGGTCATTATGCTTTGGGCATTCACTGGCGTATGGCCTTACATCAAGATCATGCTTTCTCTCACAATGTGGATGGTTCCTCCTGGCCGCTTGGGCGTCAATCGACGCGGCAGGATTTTGCTTTGGATCGATGCTCTGGCAAACCTCAGTATTGTTGACATTTTCACCTTGATCGTTGGCGTTGGGCTCCTTCTTGTTTTCATTGGAGGACCCGACAAATCCTACATTGGGGATGATGCACTGTACTCACTCAAGGCTGTGGTTGTTCCACGCGCTGGCTGTTACTGCATTGTCATTGCGCAACGAATTTCTCGAGCAAGTTCCCGCTTCCTACTTGAGTATCACGAGCAAGCCATCCAAGAAGCAACTCGAATCCATGAATCCAAGCTCAGGAAGATAGCTGCAGCTGCCCATGACGACGATAACGATTCTGGAACCCTACACGCTCCGTCACCACATTCCGACTCGGATGAAGAAGAACCATCACCGTTGCAACATGGTCAAAACCGTGACGATCGCGAAGCACCAAGTGTTCCATCTTCTGATGAAGAATCAGTTGCCGAACCAACTGCTGCATCCAAGAAGGAACGAAAATGGGGAATCATTGGTGCTTATTTCGCTGCATTTACAATTGTGATTGTATTTGTGATTGGTGCTACCTTTGCTCCCTCCATTTCCATTGATGCTACATCCATGGGTGGATTGACGATTGAATCGGACCAAAGTCTTGATGAGGTTGTTGGAAGTTATGGAGTCTTTTTGGTTGTCAGTGGTCTATTGCTCAAGGCTCGTTTCGTCTTTGACGAACGCATTGACTACATTGGCTTTGGACTTTTGCTGTTCGCTGGAGTCTTCTCAATTGCAATGGTACTGGTGATGAAAATCTACCTTTTCATCCAGCGCAAACTGAAGGAGCGAAGGGAACCCCCAACGAAGGGACCATCCTATGGACACGAAGGATGCGGGATTCCTTACTACATTCGCCTGACAAAGTGGCGTCATATGGAAATTTACTTGATTGCAGTGGCGATTGGTATTTGGCAGCTTGGATCAGTGATTTCCTATGCTATTTACTTCTACTGTGACCTTTTGACTAAGACTTTTGAGTTCATGTCATTTGTTGGCCTTGTCAAGAACGTGCCCACCGAGTGCTACAACACCCAAGCGGTCCTACCTGAGAACTTGCTGATCATCCTTGGAGCCTTCTTTGCCTTGATGATAATATTTGTCATGCAAGCGAGAAAGCAGTACAAGAAGAACATTAGCGATAGTCTGCGATGGATTGACGACAATGATGTCCCACGCCTTTCATTGGCTTGGAGTCAAGACATGTCCAAGAATTCCAAGTATGCCCACCTGTCATCTTCCTTGACTGCTTCCATGTCTTGGGATACCAACACGACTACAGACAGTGATGTGCCGCCTTCCTCGTCCTCCTCCGGTCGATTCACTCCTACTCCTGGTACTCCCGCGACGGAAGCTTGGACACCCGCAAGTATGGATCATGACGACGACTCATCCTACCAATCTTCGATTCCACAAGGTACGAATGATAATGGACTACTTTATCGAGAGACGAGTTTGGGAAGTGAGGCACTCCAGTGGTCAGCGAATCATCATGGTCGTCCGCACCAAACAATGGCTACTGCTCAAGGTGAATCATCATCTACCCCCGAACGAATCGGAAGCATTGCTAGACGCTTGCGATTCAACTCTTAAAATATCAACAAACGATTGCATCCTCGTTGACAAACACAAACACAAACACACGCACACGCACACAAAGAAAGTCACAAACGAATCTTTACTCTCAAAACACAAGAGTATAAGAACTGTTTGGACTTTTATATTGTAACACTAAACTATAATTGTATAATAGTAGGTAGTATTGAAAAAGAAAAACATGCTGCAATTATTGGATCTATCTCCTTCTTTGGTCCCATTACCCTCAATGATGTCTATTCTACCATCCATTAGTTTTCATTCTCGCCATTCTCATCATGAGAAGAAGAAGAAGAAGAACCCACCCCTGTATTACGGTTTCTTTGTGGCAGCAATGCGTATCGAGGCACGGGCCCTTTCCCGTACCACACACTGAGTTTCACCACGAATATGAAAGATCTAGAGTTTCTTCCTCTTTCCTCTATTTGGTTTCCAGCACATTTCAATGGCATCCCAATCCATGGATCCATAGCTATACGTCAACGACACGAGTCCTTCATCACCATTATTATTGCCAACACCACCACGCTTCGAGCTTTGACGCCTCGATCGCCGCGTGGATGGTGGAGGAGGAGGAGAAGACGAAGAAGCCTTTTCTTTGGAAGATTCACCGGACGCTTGTTTTGTCGCATTCGCTCTGTTATTAGCATTCGTCGCAGCTGTCATTGGATCGTCCACAGTATTGATACTATCAGGCGACACTCGAGCCGGAGCGGCAGAGGATGAAGCTGGTTCCAGAGCAAGATTTCCACTTGCAGCAGTAGCAGTTGCAGTTGCAGTAGCAGAAAGGGATTCATTTCTAGCAATACCCTCCGTTGAATCATTACCACCATTACCACCATTACCGCCATATCGTTTTCGTTGTTCTTGTTCAAACGCGCCCAAGACTTTGGAAAAGATGGATTGCATTTCCGATTCCTCTTCTACCACGCGTAAAATGGACCCATTTTTGTGGTACAAACAAAAACCTCGGCTCTTGTCTACCATCTTTATATTATTGTTCTTATTGTTCTTATTGTTGTTCTTATTCTTATTGTTGTTGTTGGATTTATAATTATAATCACAGTATTTAGTTGCAATATAAGGATATTTATTTCGTTTGAACCAACCAAGAGACAATGAATGATGATCTCAGCGGTTGAAATACTTTTGGGGACACACGGCATTGTTTTGCTAACCCGGAGGTCATTGGCAACAGCAGTGCGGTCGTCGCCCGTTCGTTGGAAGAACGAGCCATGGACGTTCCGGTACACGGTATACCAATACTTTGAGGACTAGATCAGTACACTTGTGGCGAGGACTAGACCAGTACATTTGTCGCGACTGTCTCACTTGACACCATTCCACAACCGCGACCCAAGAAATGTTTCGACGGTCCGCAAGGCAGGACTTCCGAACGGTACTCGTAGTTTCGCCTCGTGCGTCGCACGTTGTTTCGTCTGCTCGTTCCGATGTTTCGTTAGCCTTCTGATGTCGTGGTTGGTGTCACTGGCGGTTGGAATGGTTGGAAACGCAGATTTTGAATTTGTTGTCCTTTCTGTCATCTTTCGGAGAATATGTATTCGAGCGTCAAAAAATAGAATATATATAAAATGAATGAATTCTTCCGGTCGCGATGGAAGGTTTGGTGGATGATTTGTGTGTACCAGTATGTGAGAGGCAATGCGGTACCATGTACAGTAGTGCAAGTGTACTCGTAGTTTCGATTTGCAACCATCGCATACCTCCTGGTACCGGTACTGGAATGAATGAAGAATCAACGACAACACTGTCAGTAATACGGTAAGTATGTTTATACATATATTTACTATTTGTATACCTGCAGTAGCACTCATGGTGTACCGGTACTACCGGTAGTGTAAGATGATCCAAATATAGTACTGTGCAACAACGTTTTGTAATTTCTTGAAAGCGTAATCTATAATGTATTGATAGTTTGTTTATATTTACAATCCCACAGTAGTAGATAAACTATTCCCATTCCTATTCTTCCCATTCCTATTTACTTCTTCTTCTTGGAACTCTTGTTTCGAATATCAAAGACAAACCCAAGATCTTCCAAGGCTTCGAATCGCTGGACGGTCATGTTGGAGGATGCTCCAGAAATGTACAATTTGTATTGCCGTCTCTGGCACTTGACCCAAGTCGATAGTTGGACATTTTCGGGGTAGTGCGAGGGGACGTTGCAGTGACCCGTTTGTGCCTTGAAGGCTTTCAAGTCATTGAGCTTTTCCATCCAGGCAGCTGCATGAGAATGCCACACAAAGCCAACTGACTCGAGTTCTTCAATGCGACGAGTGGTCATCGTGGAAGAGGGGTCTTTCTCGTTCAGTTTCTTGTATTGGTAACGTTGTCTCTTGACCCAACGAGCCAGGATGGGGTCTTCTGGGAAACTGTGAGGAACACAGCAGTGTCCATTCTTGAGCTTGAATTCAATGAGCTTTTTGAATTGAATCCGCCATTGGTTTTCTTGGTACGGTCGGAAGCGGGCAATGCTTTCTTCATTGTCGTTTTCAAACTGGTAGTCCAGCTTTTGCCTCTTGTTGACACAAGTTTCCTCCACCACTTGTTCTTGCTCTTGTTGTTTTTGTTGTTGTTGTTGGAAGGAGGACGTATTCTCAAAGTTTCGCTTGGATCCTGCAGAAATTTGCACGATGGGGTCCAAGATGGAAGACAAGAATTGCATGGGGTTGTTATTCTCCAAGATTAGGTTGGCCTGCTGAAGCTGCTGCAAATCATTCAATGCCATGAGGGATTCGAGCGATGGAGCCTCCATTGGCTTGACTTGTTGTTGCTGCTGCTGCTGCTGCTGTTGAAAGCAATCATTTGCAATCCCTGGACCCAACGGAAGAGGTTCCATATCAGGATCATCAAAGGGATCGCAAAAGGAATCCAGGTGCTCATTAAAAGGAGCAAAGGATTGTCCTTCCACTCCCATTTGAGATGGAAACTGCAACAGAGACATCAAAGAATCTTCCATCGGCTGTTGTTGTTGTTGTTGTTGTTGTTGTTGCAGCTGCAGCTGCTGCAAGGGCTTGGACGAGAAGTCTTTGGGCATTTGACTGGAAATGGCAATGTTTCTCATGTTATACTGTACTGTACTCGTACTTGTAACGTGTGTTGAATGAATGAATGAATGTGGTTGCAGTTTCCAGAAATGTATTTTATGGCAGCTTTTTGTTTTTTCGGTTTTGCGGCTTTTTTGTGGAGCGCCGTATGTGGCATTTCGGTTGCATGTGTGGACCCTTCATCCCGTGCATGTTCAACGTTGGGTGTGAGATGCAACGCAGCTTGTCGCTTCTTTAGCCTAATTTAATTTCACAAGTCTACTTATATATATGTGCGACGGCTAAAATATGCTCGCGCTCCACTCGTTAGATACGAAAAGTCGAAAGGTTCATCAGTCAACAATTAATCTTAAAGAGGTGCTTTCGTTTCGTCTGTTTGTACCTCTTCTATGTGTCTTTGAATGACCGCCGTATATATTGATCCCGACATCCTACAAGTATACGTTAAATGTGCAAAGGCGGATGTAGACGCAGAGGTATTTGAATTCAAGTAATGGATGATTGAAGTGCATCCGCACTTTCGTTTTTCCACGGCATCGGGGTTCTGGTTGACGACCACACACAAGAGGATGAGCCCTTCGTCGTTCCGTCGCAGCGAACTTTCCTATCGGCATCGTAAAAAACCTTATTCGCCTTGCCCCGTGGTTCCAAGGGGTGGCGTTGTGCTTGGGAACGACCATATGTAAAATGGGGGATTGATTCGAACAGATTGATTAGAAGTTTCTTATCGGCGGTTTCGCAACCTTTATTTTGATGTTGATCGGAGGAACCGGTATCAATAAGATCAGGTCCCATTCATTCTTCTGTCAGGCTCTTTGGTTTGTTGAACTACCACACGCACGTAGACTGGACCGGCGAATGCCAATGCCACAACGGCTACTGTAGGTCTACAGTATAGTCGTATCTTCCATAGCGCTCCCCCATTATTTATTGGCATCGCTTTGATCCGACACCAACAACTCGTTCCATTGAAGCGAACCTTTTCGTGGTACAACGTACGTGTGTACCTTCATGGTGTGTGTTCTATGTGTTCACATGCACGTAACACTACTGTACGTGATGTGTGTGTAGTCGAAAAAATGGAAATCGTGCGTGTGGGCAAGGTGTGGGTACCAGGTACCAGGTACAAGGCATCATGCACAAGATACAAGTATACCGGTACCGGTATATATATACCATAAAATATGAAACTGAACTGTACCAATTCTTTATCTTGATCGTGCGTGATAGAAACATCCATTCTTCATTGTTGGGCGGTCACATAGTAGTAGAGCGTCCAAACAGGCAGCAGGTCGCATTGTTGGAACAGCTGACTATGGAGGGTATCTTCCTGTTCTTCTGGTTAAAGTACTACCACGAGTACCAGGAAGGGTACCGGTACTACATCAGTAGTACATGCCGGTAGAAAAAAGATTCCTGTTAAGAAGCACTCCATTGAAGCTTGTTCCTGGTGTTCTTCCAAAAAGCAATGTGCTTGTTCTTGTTGGCTGATCGCTCGCTCGCTCCGCCAGCCATCACCATCAGGATGGTAGCAGGTGGTGATTGTTGGTGCTTGCCTGGTGGTGTTGATGAGCCACAGCCAGGAGCAGTAAGCAAGGAGTAAGCAGCAAGGAGACCACGGCTGATGGTGGGGGACTGTACTATCAAATTGCAGTACAGCAGTAGAGTACCAGGTAGGCATCGGATATTTTCTGGTATCGGTACCACAGACCACGGCGTCCAGTACCAGGTACCTGGTACCACTCGGTACAGTGTTAGGTACAGTACACGATATACAATAGACGATATGATGGGTAACGGCGATATAGAGTTTCGGAGTATAAGAACGACAACATAAGACTATATATACCGGTATACTTCAACAGTTCATATCATCAATAGACAAAATCGCATCCGGCGAAAATCACTGCAGTATATACTGCGGTATATTTTTCTGATTGAATACTTTTGCATCTTTGTTTGCTTCTGCTGCTTCTGCTGCTGCGGCTACTTCTTCCAAGAGACAGCTCCTCTTGATAAAAAAGGCTTCATCAGTCACATCATCATCAATGCAACACGATGTTCCAATCACTCGCTGAGTTGACATCGTTCACTCGGGTCTCAAATGACACACTGCTGGTATCGTTGTATACCACCACGTGCCGTGCCGTGGCGAAATGCAATGCAATGCAATGCAGTGACAAAACGTGCTCCCAAAATAATCAGCATGTCACTTATATTCTGCTGAAGGAATGCTGTTGAAGCTTCGGTTTGGTGGATGAAGATATTTGCAAGAGTCTCGGCATTATCACTTTCAGGCGAACTCCTTGTATTTGAGTGCTTGTTGCAGCCAGTTATCACTCGTTTAGACACAATACCATCACCACCACTGCTATTTGATGGTACGTTTCCCGACTGGTACAAAAGCAAGTTTGAAATATGACGTATAAAACATGCACTAAAAATATGCAGTATAGCTATAGGCTAACCAAGTACTGTCACCATGCACCATCACGGACTCCCCAGGCAAAACCCAACCTTTCCAGTGCGGCTATTCGCTCATCAGTAATATTGGATTTCCTTCCGAGAAGTTTGTTTTTATATTGCCGTCTTTGGCACTTGACCCATGTCGCTAATACTGGACTTCCTTTGTAGATCGATGGCACATTGCAATGGCCCCACTGCTTTCGAAATTCCGTTAGCTCTGCAAGACGCTCCTCCCACAAGGCTGCATGGACATCCCACACAAAACCAATCGCCTCTAGCTTCCGTATGCGATCGGTCGTCATGGTCGAGGACATACCTTGCTTCAACAGTTTGTATTGATAACGCTGGCGTTTGACCCATCGTACCAAGACAATGTCATCGCTACACACGTCAGAGACGTTGCAGTGGCCATCTTGTTGGCAAAAGTCACACAAGGCATGGTACTGCTCGTGCCACTGAGTCTCTTGGTAAGGTCTCAATTTCAATTCAGCTCCTTCGCTCTCTTTCATTCGCTTCTTGGGTCTCTCTTTCTCTTTGGCTCTTATGGAGGCAACTCCCCTCTTGTTCAAGTTAGTGTGCTTTCTTCTTATTTGAGCCGCCATCATTCGGTCAAATTCCGATTCTGTTGTTGTGAGGAGTGAGGCATCTTCACTTTCGATACCTCGATGCAGCGAATATCCTAGTAGACTCAATAGGCTGTTAGATGGAGGTTGTGAAGAGGTGCTTCTAGAAGGATGAGTTTGAGAAGATGAGACTTTAGAAGGCGAAATAGGAAGTGCGTGTGGTGCAATAGGAAGCGGTTCCATCCCTGGATCTTCGAAGGGGCTCTCAAACGACGAAAGAGTCAAGAAGCTGGATTCGCTCAGCACCGAATCATCGCTTGTAGTGAAGGGTGGACTTGGAAAGCTTGACATCTTCGAGATTTGATCTATTCTCTCCATCAACTATACAGCATTCGGTGGTTTTGGAAATTATGGCAAACTCGCGATGCGACGACGAGTTTTGAAGGCAATGCGAAAATGCAGAGCTATCCGATCGGAAGTTCCAGGTTTCTGATATATGGCATTGTAATCTTGAAAGAAAGGTATAGAGAACTGGCTCTTGCAGGACAATTAGAGGTTTCGGATGATGTTGATGGGTAGTATCTTCTTTTGCCGTTCACGTTCATGCTTTTTAATTTCCACTTTATATAACATTTTTAAAAAGAGAAGCGTTTGGACAGGTGCACAACTGCCGATTGTTCCTTTCATACTTGTTGGTTGATAAGTAGATACTCCGTGTTCACAAGTTTCAATAATTCTCCTCTGGCACTTGGTCCGCGCATTGATTAACAGCATCATGAACACACTGGGAACCAATGCTCACAGGTTGCAGATCAAAAGGGCTTTGCATGGCATCTGCATTTACGACCTCACGCATTGTGGTATCTTTAAATCCGAGCCTATTGCCGATCCGCTTGCAAGTTGGAAAACAGACGCGAAAAAACCTTTGGCAGAAACAAAAGGACAAGTTAAAATAAAATGGCCTGCATCTCTGGTGTCAGGATGTCGTCGATCCAATTCGATCTGAAGAAACAAATAACCAACTTTGATCATAAATGAACCAATTAAAAAATACATGTATTATCACGCACTACCGGTGCAGTACTGTAGCCAGTTGATTGCTCATGAAGTATGGATAATGAAATCCTCTAGTCCGGTACTTTCCAATGCAAGACCCTTTTCGTTTGCCAAATGCAAAACGCAAATGAAGAAAAATGGAAGTGTAGCATCCGACTGAGTTTGAGTGCTTTGCATTTCCTTGACAGTCGATTGAAAGGATAGTGAACCCTCAATCGCCCCCATTGGCGTATCCCGTTCTTCGTTCTCTTCGCCCTCTGATGTATCCACTTCTTTGGGTTTGTTCGAATCAGTTTCCACCTTCCTCTTGTCTGCAAAAGACCGTTCCAGCTCTTCCCAAAGGTCCTTCTTCAGTCGCTTGACGTCGACCTTCTTTGCTTTTGTGGCATATCCAACTTGAATTTTCTCAATCTTTCGCACACCTTCGAGTTCTGGTACAATGAAGCCTCCGTCTTCGTCATGATCCTCATCGTCACCACCAAAATCGAATCCAGGACCATCACTGTCTCCACCAAATGATACATCATCGTTGCCCCCACCGTGAGCGAAAGCAACCTGCTTGCCAAGCGTCGATGCCGCTTGTCGACCTCGGTACGAGCTGACCTTGTCCTGTGGTCGAAGGAAGAAGGAATCAAAGTCTTGAACCGTCAATCCGAGATCAATAGGCAAGAGATTGTCGTTATTGGAGTACTTGGTATTGGTAGCTTTAGTGATCTGCAACGGGTCCACTCCCTTCTTTCCCTTGGGAGGCTGGCGCATCAAGTCCTCAAGGTCTTCAACGGGGGTGCGCAAATCAAGAATTAGATCATGTATGTTGATCTTCTTCTTTCTTGATTTACTGGCTGAGGGCTTCCTCTTTCCGTCTCCCGCCTTCTTTTTCGTAGGAGCCTTTTTCCCAGATTTCTTGGCTTGCTTCTTCCAATGAGCTGCCCCCGCCCACATGTTCCCTTGTATCTGGCTTAGTGCTTGGCTATTGAAGTACTCATAGTTTGATTGAGATCCAGAGATATCCCCATTGGCAATCGCGTCCAAGAGGACTACTGCCTGTGAAGGTTCTTGGCTTCCCTCATACGATGCTTGGAACGAGGACGAGGAGTAGCGATGATTTCCATCATGGATCGTACTGTCCCCAAGAAGGTTGTCATCGTGATCATCGTCGCCTCCAAAATCGTTCCCAGCGCCAAAATCAACAAAGTCAGAATTTCCGTCATCCATATTCAAAGATGGATCATCTTCTTGATCCTTCGCCAGAAGTGATTGGCCAGCTTGGGAGACACGACTGCGTTCAATCGCTTCCATGTGAATGGATTTATCAGCCTCGATCTCATCTTCCTTCGGGGCGGCATATCGTAACGATGAAGGAAGAAGCTTATCAACGAATCCATCTTGTTTCAACTGAGAATATTCCTCTCGTAGTGATGCAAGTTGCGGTACTAATTGCATCAGAAAGAGCGGCTGGCCTTCGAGAGATGCTTCCAATTTCTGATTTAGTGATATGACATCCACAGAATCCACTTCCTTGGCTAGACCATTCGCTTGATCTTCACGAACGTCCATCTCGTTTCGTTCTTCCAGCGTGGAGTCGAAAACAATATTGCAGCCGTTATTCGATACTCCAAGGTTGGCCAATAGGAGCCCCTTTGCACCACCTTCATCAAATGTCTTGGACATCTTATGAAAGAGAGGATCAATGTCAAAAGCTTCGTCGAGCTTCGCGATGTTGATGTTGGCTGAAAAAGAGAGGGACAGTCAGAAAGAAATGAGAAAACGATTGAAGAATTTGATGGATGCAGTAAGTAAAAGTTCTGCAGCAAAGCTTACCCAAGTTTTGTTCCAAAGTCTCAGTTTCAGAAACCTTGCGCTTTCCGGCATTATTTGATGTCGCTTCGTTGTTGAGGTTCTTGGATTTTGCAGAAGCAGCATTGTCGTCCTTCTTTTTGTTCTTTCCCGTTTCAGTGCGGTTGAGATTGGCAAGGACTTTGTAGGAAGTCAAGTGAACATCATCCACACGGTACGCGTAAATTTTGACAGACGCATCCAATGTGCAACTAGCTTTTGTAAAGTTGACCCCAGCATCGTCTGGTCCCAACGATAGCTTTTGTAGATTATCTGAAATCGAGCTCACTCCGGCATCTTCCTCTCTCCCATTAGTAGATACAAACTGATCGAGATGATCAATCAAATTCAAGTTCCATGAATTAGCAGCATTGATTTTGTTTTCCGCGTTCATTCGAATGGCATTCTGGTATACTTCTCCAAGATTCGCGCTTGAAATAGGCTCTTGTTCATCATCTTCTGTTCCTAGATTAAGAAATCGAGCAGAAGAGCGACGACGGCGACGATTCTTGGCTTTCCTACGACGGTCCTGAAGTTTCTTGGACAGTGTTACAGAAGCCTCTTCGTCTTCCGCCAAATGATCTTGATCGTCATCGTCAAATAACATTGCTTGATGCTGGTTTGTCTTGTCGTCAAAGACGCTGATAGTCTCCATGATTGCAGGTGTAATTCAGTATCAAGAGAGTGTCAAACAATATCGATTCTGGTCTGCAAACAAAAGTCTTCTGACAAAAGCATGATGCTAAATTTTTCAAATCGAAGCAACGGTTTCTTTTTGTCGGATGAGTCGGTTACTTGTCCTGCTTCCTGCTTCCGTTCCCACCTCTTTGGCCCTAAACAAGTAAAGACATTTCCTATTTAATGACAATATCAGCTGATTATTTATTTAAATAGGGCATATTTTGGGATGAAGATTTTTGTCCAGCGCGGAGACTTTGGCTCTAGCTAGAGTTCTTATTGTGCAAGTCATTTCGCGTCCATTCCTTTTCGTGCTCTAGAGTGTAGCATTCGGATGGATGCTATAGTAGACGCGGCCAATCCAATTGAACTACTAAACCGCTTCTCAACCCCCCTTGACTATGTATGAATCATCCTTATGAAGCTTTTTAAGTAATGACCATATTGTAGCATAAACAGCCTTTGAAGATATGAATCAACTGGCGGATTCAGACGATGACTGCAACTTTAGCGAGCCGTCTGGATCTGATGTAAGAGGCCTTCCAAGGATGTTATCACAACGTATGGTGTTGGGAGACGGTGATCGACAGACACTGCTAAAGGCTGACAGCAAACGATCCCTTCTCACCAAAAGCCTCAGCCGGTCAATGGTCAAGCTGAAGAATACTGTCACACACAAGGGAGATAGCGAGGAAGCAGGAGAAGAGGTTGTTTCCTTGATGGAGTATGAAATGCTCAAGGCAAAGTATCACGTTTCTGAAGGCACTGTCATTCAGCAAAAGGAAGAGATCGAGCATCTTCAGATGCAACTGAATGATAAAGATGACGTTATAGACATTCTTATGCAGCGATTGGAAGCAAAATCAGCAGCTGATGCGAATGCGAATGCTATGACTTCACAAAGAAGCAAAGGTCCTCCGATGCAAAACAAGCGGACAAGCTCTCTGGAAGAAATACGTCTAAAGAAGCGTCAGCTCGAACGTGCTCATTCTCTCAGATCGCCAAGGACGATATGGAATGGACTCCAAGCACTTGAATCTGTTCTCAACTTTGGGGGACGTGGTGGTGAAAGTGGGAATCCGACAACAGCAGCTGATTCCCAGCCTAAGGAACCCATTTCTGCAAACAATGAGAAGTCACAGCTACAAGATACAAAGGGCCATACTCAAGAGAGCAGTGATGATCAATTGGAAACGGAAGGCAGTCCCAAGTCCCCACATCGTCGCCGTCGACAAATAATGACCAAGCAATCCTCGAAGCGGAACAAGCGGCGGAAGAATTCAGTGGAGAGTCATAACAATAATTCTGAAACATCCCATGATGATTCCCAAGATCTTACGAACACCCCTCTTCAATCGGAAAAGAGAGTGCTCACGTCGAGTGCCAAAGAGGGGATGAGTCCTAAAGATAGATCCAAGTCACCACATTCCCGGCGACAACTGCTGACCAAGCAATCCTCCAGGCGCAACCGCCGCAAAAACTCTACAGAAACGGGCCTTCATAATAATGCAGAAACGGACGCAAAAAATGATAATAATGACCCAGCTGCTGACGAGACGAAAGAGGGAAGGCAGAATGATCGGTCTCAATCCAAGTCTCCGCACAGCCGTCGACAACTGCTGACCAAGCAGTCCTCAAAGCGGAACAATCGGCGGAAGAGTTCTTTGGAGAACGCTGAATCGTCGCAATTTAGTCCTGAAGCGACGGCTGAAGTGACATATCTCAACATCACCCCATCAGGACAACTGCAAAAGTATGTTTTGCCCCCATTACTTATTATGGGAGAAAATCAACATGCAACAGAGGATGCAACGAGAGGTGGGTCAATTTCTCCCAACAATCGGCACGAGAAAAGTGTTTCGAAGCAAGTCAAAGGACGGCCATCCCGGCGGCGGTCGGATGACAGCGCACCGGACGCTGTACGAAACTTTCGGCGAAAGTTGGTTGGCGATAGTGTCAATGGCGGCGAAACCAGGCTTGTGAGGAAGAATAGAGCACAAGCAAGATCGGCAAAGGCGAGAGGAGAAATGAAAAAGAGCGATCATGGCACTTCTGACGCCACCTTGCCATTTGTGTCGCCACGAGCAGCGGCACGTCGAAGTCGACGTGCAGATCGCCATGAATCATTCACTGGTGACACCAAGGATGATGTAGCACCTGGATCTCGAACATCGTTGTCACCGAAGCGAACTGCACCTGGATCTCGAACATCGTTGTCACCGAAGCGAACTGCACCTACAGCGCTTCCAAATACACCCATCTTTCCTGCAAGCATGGGAAACGACTTCAACGATCCAGGCTTTGCTGATTTTTTTGACACATCCAAAGATCTAATAGTTGGCAAATCTCAAGCTCAAGATGGCACCTTCGTAGCGAGTTTTGGGGGATCCAAATTTGGAACAAGTCAAGTTATCAATAAGGATGAACAGCAGAACGGGAGATCACACGGCATGGAACAGGGGGGGGTGGACGAGGTCAAGGCGAGCGAGCATTCTTCGCAAGAAGTAGTTGGGGCTTCGGGGGATGTGCAAAAGCGAAGCAATGGGTCAAGTCATGAGAAATCTGGTCACTCAGTATCCACTACGGATACCAATGCATTTTCTACAGACTTCAGCATGCTATCGTTTAATATGGACGGAATCGCGGAAGAAGGTGAAAAGCCTGTTGTTGACTTAAGCAATCTAAATGAGAGAAAGTCAAGCCAGTCGATCAGTATCTTATCCGGAAATGCAATAGCGTCAGACGAAAAGGAAGAGGAATTGGCTACTGTGACCTCGAAGCCTCCGGATGAAACAGATATTCCAGAAGAAGTCATCACTGCTGCATTAGAATCCCTTTCTCGGCCAGAATCAACTCCTGTTTCGCCGATGGTCGCCCAAGTGGAAAAAGAAACAAAGCCAACCACTGGGCGCGGTCGGGACTATCTCTTGAATATGAACCGCAACGAAACACTTGGAAATGCACAGGGGGGCGAGTCGAGCAGAAGTCGGTCTCTTTCGCCCGGGTGGGTTTCACCGAGGACTCCTTCTGGAAGGCGCAAGCTCCGAATCAAGAAGGAAACAAACTCGACAAAAAAGGAACCAAACTTGAACAAAGACTTTTTGAAGGCTGAGTTTCAGAAAAATGTAAAAAAGTTTGTCATGCTGAATGACCAATTCCAACAGGAGGCATTGCCAGATTTAGAAGCAGAGAAGTCGGTCGACATGCGAAGCATAAGTTGCAGTTTCAGTAATCTGGGAGACGATGTTCTGGAGGATGAAAGTAAAAGGGACGAAATACTGGGGTCGCCGCTGTCAGAAAAATTGCCTGGGGAACTTCGGCAACCACCAATACCAATACAGCCACCGCCAATGAGTTCCATCTCCCAACCATTAAGTGCTGGTGCTGCAAAAAAAGCCAAATCAGTTCGTTGGGAGTTGGAACAAAACTTATATCGGCTGAACCTGATTCCGGTGTATGACACAGATCAAAAGAAGGCGTGTTTCTACAACGAAGAAGAGATCAAAAAATTTCGATTCGAATTGGTAAGTCATTTCGCTTACCGCCCCCTCAAAATGGGCAAATTCTCACAGTACTGTCTCCCTCATAGTTCATGGAACAACATGCTGAAGATTTCGACATACATTCGGTTGGGGATGATATGGCCGATGATATTCTCGACGATATGTCATTTGCGGACGAAATTGTCAGTGACGAAGACATCGTCGACTTGGGAAGTTTTCGTATAGATTCAAGAAGGGGAAGTATGTAGTAGATATAAAGTAGTGCTGTACTTTTAATAATTACTGTATGCTTGTGGGGTCCGGAGTTGATGGCGGGACGCTGGGATGCAATCCCACAAGCTGATTGCATTGTCTGGATTTCCAACACATGGATAATTAACGGGTTTATGAGTTATGAGAGACTGGAGCGCGCATGACTGTCACTATATTAGTAGTCTTTCAAGGGTATTGTTCCCAAAAGTTTGTGGTGTCATTGACGGCCCAGTCGCATCGATGTAGACCTATCATTTCGTTGGCTTTTGGATGATGAAGCTGTGAGACACATCTGGCTTCATCCACCGGCAGGTTTCTTTCCTCGTAGGTCCGAAGCTCGAATTTCGTACTGAATTGGATTGGATTGAAAAGCTGAGAAGATCTGCGGCTGTCACAAGGTCTCATTTCAATATACGTGTTCCGCACCGTGGAGAAACACAACGAAGTATTGAAAGCACGGATTTGGAATCCCGAGCCATCGTTGTGAAGGAACTCAAAGCGATAGTCTCTGCTTGTATTTTTGCACGATTGAAGCCATAGTTGATTTCCTTCATTGCAACTCGCAGTTGTGTCTCCTGGCGATGTGCAGTTCTGAAAATCAGGTCCTACTCCGTCGCCTAATCTATATTCTGGACAGTCCGCGCACTCTGCACACCAATAGGTTTGGAAAATAGACTCTTGCCAGAAGTATCCACTTTCCCAGTACAGTCGCAGCTGAATTGGGTCCTTGATCGGTGGATCGTAGATAGAAGGGGCTTGACTTGGGGACTCGGACGGCCTTAAGGTAGGTGTAAAGGATGGCGAGTCGGTGGGCGCGAGCGTAGGGGAAAATGTTGGGTGTTCCGATTGAAAGAAGACTAAAAATGGAGTGCGTTGACCGGTACCATTTCCGTTGGCTGCAGATCCAGCAAGAGCCGCTATCAAAATCATCAAGCCAAGGATGAGTCCAAGGAGAGCATATTGCCACTTTCGTTGTTGAAGTTTAGTGAAAACAAAGAATTTTGCATTAGAGAGCGAAAATCCGCTGTCTGAGCTCTCTTTGCTCATATCCGAAGAAGCGACCGATGTAAATGGAGACACTTGAGCGGAAACTCCCGCAAACATCTTCTTCACATCTCGCTCTTTTTCCAAGGCGAGTTCGATTTCCACTCCATCTTCTTCAGGGAACTTTTTGTTCTCTCCTGTAGCCAAGATGGCTGTTTTAGTTGGATACGTTTCTGAATCAACTTCGTCCATTTTGTTGGTCATCTCTTCTTCGTCCATTGCTGTAGTCATCGCTTCTTCGGTCTTCTATCATCAATGACCGATTGCCGATCTTGGGAGTGTATTCCGATATGAAATTTTGTTACCGATTTTGTGGCGATGGTTTTCCGTTCATTGGCCCGAACGGAACAAATTTTGGGACACACAAGATTTCGCGCGCGGCGTGCCCACGCATGACGATGATGAGAGTAAAGAGAACCAAAAAAAACATCCACCAACCCCACTTGTTGCATGACATTCTTCAACGCAGCACTCCCCCCTCCTACAATACCCTTGTAATGAAATTTGCCCAATCATTTCAGATAGCTACAGCTTTTACTAATTATGCATTATGGATTGTGAATTCCAGAGGCGGGGCACTAATGATCAAATATCATCAATATCCTGCTGTGTATGAAGCCACTAGCTGCTGAAGACTTTTAGCGGTAAAATTCGGTCCAATAGTTCGTCTCATGATTGATATTTGTTCGGCATTTAAACATGCCAACCATTTCTTTGTCTTTAGGGTGATGCCTTTGTGACAGGCAATTCGCCTCCTTGTCCGAGAGGTCTCTTTGATCATATGGACGCAGTTCGAATTTCATGGTATCTTCAATGGGTGCAAAGAGCTGCTCTGGTCTCGTCCGGTCGCAATTTCGCAATTCCAAATATCTTTCGTTTTTCATGGAAAAGCAAAGAGAAGTACCATGTACTCGGACTTGATCACCACTACCATCGTTGTGGATAATCTCAAACGTGTAGAGCCGTCTCTCGTCTTTGCACCTTCGGACCCATATTTGGTCTCCTTCTTGACAACTTGCCGGTGTTGATCCTGGTGTCACACATTCTCCTTCCCATCCATCTCCAAGGGTAAATCGCTTGCATTCGGCACATTCCATGCACCACCAAGTCTCTTTATATGTCTCTTGCCAATAGAAGTCTTGGTGCCAATACAAGCGCACCATAAAGTCGTGACTGACTACAGGTTCTAGCGTAGGGGCTACAGTTGGAACCGTCGATGGAGAGTAAGATGGCAATGTTGATGGCATTAGAGTGGTCGGTGCGACTGTTGGCAATGACGTTGTCGGCGTTGGTGTTGGCGAAACGGATTTAGTAGTGTTTTGTCTTGATACGAGGGATAGGTCAATATTACTGCCACCTTGCCCGTCAATTGCAAATTCTTTCTGAGAAGATGAGGCAAAGATGTGACCAAACACGGAAGATATGACGGTGACGAACAGAATTGGAATCAGAATTGCCAAGACTCCTTGCCATCCGTGGTTCAAGAACCACATTGGCACCCATGGCCTATGGCTGATATCATCATCGCCGAGGGTAACAGTATCGTCAGTATCAGAATCCACATCACCGTATTTCGGCTTTCCTTTTTCGACATCATCCGAGCCAGTGGAATCATCGTCACTTTCCATGCAAGATGACGACGATGCATCCATTCTTTCTTCTTGGGGAGGAGGAGGAGGAGGCAACGATTGGCTGGTTGTGCCTGTGTCATCACTTTTTTGTCCTTCTTGCTGTTGGTCTTTATGATACTGATCCTTTGTAGTGTCTTGATTTCCTGCTATCATGTTTCTGCATGTATATCGTTGTTGTTGTTGGATGGGATGGAAGTTTCAGCTTTCGGAGAGATACTAATAATGTTTTTTGGAGAAATAGCGATTTGAGTTCTGGCGAGACTCGGCACGCTCAACACATGGTTAACGATTCTCTTAACTTGCGATGATAAATTTGGCCACCTTTGCTCGGCTGGCGCTGCATTGGCCGCACATGAAAACGAGTGAGCCAGAGGAAAGGGAAAGGATCCTCCCCCATTTACATTGAACATGTATCGGTAGCTTGACGGCTTCGCTTTCTCAACTAAACAACGTGATCTGACGTCATCCCTGGTGTCATCATTTCTGAACAATGACCATCGTATCAGCATCTGATCGAGGAAAGAGTGAATGAGCCACATCAAACAAGCAAGTAGTAAAGTAATGCTTTTGAAGAAGCCAACATTCAATGTAGCAGCTGTTTCATCAATCGCACACTGCAACAATACAGTAGGACTAGCTAGCAGTGGTGGAGACAAAAAAGATACCAGGTGGTGAGGGGCTTTCCGAGTCAGAAATTACGAGACCTCCTGCAGTCGGGTGGGGAGGTGGTGGTACGTATTCGGCCGCCCTGGTGTCGCGATTGTTTAGCATGTGATGAGTCACACATGTTTTTGAGAAGTTAAATCACTTTTCTGTTGTGAGACTTGTGAGAAGGAGAACAGCCTCTGTGTTCGGTCTTGCTCGAATTTATCAAACATACGATTACCATAGGAAACATGCAGAATGCATGTAGAAAGTATGTAGAAAACAACGACCAGGATCATACTTAGTGCAACACGCAAAAGAGATCGTACTTTCGGTAAGTAGATCGGATGCCATGTCTTTAGCAAGACACCCTGTCTTGGGTATTAATTGAAGGTATTTCCCACGTTAAATCAAAACTTGTATGAAACCTTCGGTAACCTTCTAAGGAATATTCGCTAGATACGAAAGACTTGGCAAATTCGACAAGGGCAGACTCTCACATGAACATTTATTTCCAAAGTTTCAGAAATCAGCAACATCCACTATTTAGGAACAACCTTATTTCACCGTCAAACTGACCATCAAGTGAAGGCCCTTTCCTCAGCAATCAGAATCAGACCGTCAGATATATAAGCTATAATACCCGGTACTACAGTACAACAAATCATAATAACTGTAAGAGCGTAAAAAGACGTGCATGTCGTCAATGGGAGAGCAAAAGATGGAGTCTCAGGCAAATACTGCCAACACAGATGTTGCTTCGACCATGATGGGAGGGGTCACGCAACAAGTGGAAAGTAGCAACACTGACGGCGTTCAAAAGAAGAAGCGAAAGCCTCGCAAGCCACCAGCTGTTGCTTGGAAGAAGCCCAAGGGTATGCCCAAGCGTCCTCTGAGTGCTTACAATCTCTTCTTTAAGGTTCAGCGAGAAGCCATCATGTCTGCTCGAGCCAACGATAAGAGTGAAGCTGCCCTGAAGCGCTCCAAGAAGGAAACCGTTGGGATTGGCTTTGCAAACCTTGCCCGAACCATTGGAGACAAGTGGCAATCGCTGGACGATGCTGACAAGTCTGAGTATATGGAACAGGCAGCCAAGGAGAAAGCTCGTTACAAGCAAGAGATGGTAGTTTGGAGAAAAAAGCAAAAGGACGAGAAGGAGCGCCAAGCAAACATGCCACCTGCAACTGTAGCTGTGGCTGGCAATTTCCACGGTGGCGCCATACCAGCGCCTCAGCCATCATCTCAGCAAAGCAGCATGGTTGGAATGATGGGAAGAAGCTTTTATGATGACTCTAGGATTCATCCAGCTCTTTGGCAAGCAGGAGCAGGAGGTCTTCAAAACCGTTTGCAACATCACCAAACGAATGGTCTTCTCTTTGGTATGCAACAGCCTCATCAGCAATCTCCAATGATGCACTCCTATCTTCAAGAACTAGCAGACAATACATTGCTACAACGGCAGCAACAGCAGTTGCAAGAACTACAAACAAGACAACTTTTTCTAGCAGGTGCCTTTGATCCTTCGCCCCGTCCACACAATCCTTTCGGGGACGCGGCCACGGCCTCGTATCCAGAGACTTGGTTTGAGCTTCCATCCGCTCAGCAGCATCATCAGCATCAGCAACAGCTACCGCCAAGGCAACCACTGGCTGTGGAGGGCGAGTCAAATCAACAGAGGTTGGCTCCTCACAACGATGGAGAGCTTCAAAAGCTACAACTTCTTCAAGATCAGCATCTACAGGAACTGCAAGGGGGCGGTCATCTGCAGGGGGTTGACCTTGACATGCTCAAGGAACAAGGTGACTTGAAGAAGCTTTCTGAGAGTGCAATGCTCCTCAAGCAAAGCTCCACAGAAGCACCTCCCACCACGTTGAGCAGAGGATCGGCTGCTGCAGGAGGAGGCAATGACAATACGCAATCCCTTCACACCTTGGCTTCCAAGTTGGACAACGATACCATTAGCTTTTTGACCGAATTCCGGTTCAATAATGGGAATGCAAACAATGGCATCATCATCAACAACAGTGGTACTAGTGGTAGTAGTCAACAAGCTACTACTGCTAATTTTGAAGATCCACGAACTAAACATCACCAGATGCGCAACAACAACTGATGAAACTAAACTAACTAAATTTTTGTATGCATATAGCTATTAGTACTTCAACGTAGCTATTCTACTACTAGTAGCTTGGATATTATAGCAATCTGGCTACTAGCAGCAGGAGCAAGAACCACGACAAAAGGCTGGTGCTTAGAACCACGACAAAAGGCTGGTGCTTAGAACCACGACAAAAGGCTGGTGCTTGAGAACAATAAGAGCGCTACCATACAAGAAACCTTGAAATGGAACGTGGGAGCAGATAGAAGAGCTCAAGCTTGGCCGTTTCTGTTGTTGTAAAGTTTCTTAGATATGTGGTTTGTCACCACACAAAATGTCTCGTCGGTATTGTGACTGCTGAAGGGATGGGGTGGATTGAGCCTTTTTATATTTGAATGGGAAAACGAAGCGGTTTCGGCAGAACTTGAGACACATTCGTTTGTTATTTGGCGAAGGGCGCTTTGGCTCCGTCCGGTCAAACGAAGTTATTTTTCGGGTTCTCCATTTCGTCAAAAGGGGAAAATGGACGCACCACAGCAGCACCTCTACCAAGGCGAATCTCTTTTTTGTCATGTGTGCAGGATTTCATGTCTGCTTGATCGGTTTCTCACGTAACAGCTCGCACAGGTTAAGAAGTTCCAAAGTGGTGTGTTGAGTTTCTATTCCTCGAGAGGGACCACGCCAACAAGAACGAGACACAGGAGGAGGAGAGGGTCTTTGGGTAACGAGTATCGTACCACAGGAGAGCAGCACAGACAGGTAATGGACAGCAGTCCGAACGAACACAAAGTGAAGGAAAGGTACCGCCCGGTACTGACCATAATGTACTAGAAGCCAAATCATGATGAAGCAACGAGGATAGTAGTGATTTGTTGTTGTTTACCTATTCTTCGGCTGTACGGAACCAGAAGCCGCGGCGCCTGTGGAGAGAGTAGTACTAGTTTCAGCAGGAGCCAGCCAGCCAGGAGCACCACAAGCAATCAAGCACGGGATGTTGTGGCATGAATGGCTGATAGATGCTGGGCGGCGTAGCGTAATAGCTGAACTTTGGAGGCCTTCGCTTTTTCCTTTGTTTTGCGAGCTCATTCACACAAACATTATGACATTCATATTGTAAAACAGGTAGGTGATTTAGACAATTGTTGCTTGCGGGACAGGAGTAAGTTGAAAGTCGCAACATTGGACAGTGGGGGTGCGCAGACGTCGCATCGATAGTCGGAGGCAGTACAGACCGTCTCGAAATGAAAACTAAAGAAGTCCAACAAATCATCAGCATGTACGAACGAGTACTGGTTTTGGTACCTGGTACTGAGTCAGTCTCAAGTCCACTCTAGTGCACCTAGCTTGCCGTTGCAGTGAGTACTGGTACTAGATAATTGAGTCAGTCAACTTGCTTGTGCTTCATTACAAGGCAAGGCAAACTGTCGATGGCAGAAGCATTGGTTTCTCAATCATCAGTCACAATGAATGACGATTGATTGTGCGTATCTGAGAAACTACAGTACAGCACTTTTAACTCAGGCACCATACCGTAGTACCGCTGCAAGGTAAAATGATAAGCAGCAAAAACTAAAGAGGCACAACACATATTGTATCAAAGAATTCCATTATATAAAGATGTCATTAATTATCTACTAGAAAACGCAGTATCTGTAAAAGCATACACCCTTTATAGTTGACCGGAGGGAAACGTTCTGAACTTAAGCTTGTCCAGCAAGGTACAGGGCAGACTTCTCCAAAGGACCACGACGATTGTGGACCTTGACAATGTTTCCGTCAGCAGACAATTCTCCAGAACGACGCATGCGGACATAGTCTTCACGGTGATACTTGGTGAATCCCCACTTGAGAGACTTGAGGATCTTTTGGCGTCCGGCAAACTTGAACTTTCCACGACGGATAGCCTCAATGACGTGTGGTTCATGGACATCCTTGGCTCTGACAGAAAGAAGGATTTGTCCAATATCGACACGAGCGGCAACACCGATGGGCTTTCCGTACGAGTGACGCATACCGGAAGACAGACGATCGGCTCCGGCACACGAAAGCATCTTGTTGGCTCTCAAAACGTGGTAAGGGTGGGCACGCATACGAATGTGGTAGTTATCCTTTCCTACAGTCTTTCCCAAATGCTTGTTGATGGCAACACGGGCAGCCTCAAGAGCCTCAGAAGAGATTTGTTGCTTTTCATCACAGACCAAATGGGCCACAAAGGGAAACAAATCGACAGGAGCCTTCTTGGCACCGACGTCGTAAATGCGGATCTTCGATTCGGGAACACCACGGCAGTAACGAGACTTGATGTAAGGCTTGTTCTTTTGGTAACGGTAACAACGAGCTGGACGACGACCCATCTTGACTTTTACTTGGCTTGATTTGCGGAAAGAAAAAAGTTGTGTTTGGTCCGAGGCCGAGCATGGTGCAAGGGGGGAGGAACATCTTGGAATCCACCCACGTTTCCGTTTCTACACAGGTTGCCTACCAGGCTCTACAGAATCCATTCAGTATTGCAGTAGGAAGTAAAATAAGCAGAATGAATTCGCAAGTCTGTCATGGTGTACGTGTAAGTGTACAGTAGTAGACTAACCAAGTACCAGAGGTACGCAAACCTGCGTTATTTTGATTTTCACTCACTTATTATTCTTGACCCGCGCACCGCATCACACATGTTAGGATGACCTACACTAATGATTCGGGATTTACAAGGGCCAATGACGGCGTTGCAACAAATACTACAATAGGACGTCGAAGGTTTGGGCTTTCTTCAGCCAATCTGTGAGCATTGTGAGTAGTGAGTTTCAGAATATGATCATCATGATGGTTCCAAACCAGCCAGCTAGGCACCAATGTCTCGTAGTAGCCCGCATAATCAGTCTTCTTTGACAATTGTCTTTCTAGATTCACTTTTTACTATCAATCAACAAGACCAACTATAGAATTCTACTGTTTTTTTTTAAAGATTAGTCCCCATTCAATTGATTGCGATCCACAGTTAATTTTCAACCATGCCTTACACATTCATAACTCGATTCATTCATTCATTCTTTCTTTCTCTTCATTCTTCTTAGCCTAGAGAAAAGCCATCATCCAAAGCTTCATAGAAACTCCCTGCGGCAAAGAAGCTATCAGCATCTCTCAATGCTTGTTCTGTGTCGTTGATACTCTTCATGGCATCCCGTACAATATCATCTTGAGGATAGTCATCGGCATGATCTTCATGATTGTTCTTGTATTCGTAGTCATGATGATCAGCATTATGTGTCATCATTCCATTGTTGTTGTCAGCATTCCCGAGATCTTGACGAACCTTATTGCTCGCAACGGGTGAGCTTGTGGTGGTGGTGGTGGTGGTGCCCCAATTATTGTTTTCGCTGTTAGTGTCGTCGTCGAGCTGGAGATAGCTTTCTTGGTGAGGGGCACCACCTCCTCCTTTCTGGTTGCGTCTCGGAAAGGAAGGAAGGAATGACTTTACGGTATTTCGTCTTCGTCGTGGCTTCATAAAGGTTGTCGTCGATGTTTTTGCTGTTGCTGGCTCCTCGGACTGAAGGGTTTCCCTCTGGAATTGACCAAAGTACTCCACATCATTGTCCTTGTTGGTGGAAAAGGCAGTTTCCGACTGTAGTTCTTTGATCTTGTTTGATCGGACTCTTTTCGCACTTGATGATATGGGAGCAACTGGTTGGACGGATTCAGGGTCAGCGTTTCCTAAAAATAGCAGATCCGAATCAAAGGCTTTGCCATGATGGTGATATCCCGAGGAGGTTGATGATACTTGTCCATTAGCATCAAGCTGCAAAATAGTGCTTGGATCGTCGGTCATCTCTGTCCTTTCGTCATCCGTGTCAAAAAGGCATCGTTGTTGGTTCATCATCTGTTCCGGATCCATCATTTGTTCGGGGCTATGGCGACCTTTGTCCTCGTGGTCTTTGGGAACCGAGGCCAACCAAGCGGGTACTACGGGTGCCGGGAACACTGGGGCCACAAGGGCACCACCAGGACTACGCCAATCGGCCCGAGCACGATTCTGTTCAATAGTAGGAGGAGTCCCCACAGCACTAACCGCGTTGTTCTCAAAGGCATTGATCAGGTTGGAAACACTGGAATTGTTGCGTTCATGTCTCCCCTTGTCGTCAGTCAGCAATGCTTGGTCCTTTGCCATAGATTGGGGAGTCGTCGTGTTGACAGTAGGTTGAGTCTGAGACGACTCGAACGACATTCGCGACATGGCCGATGGTGCCATCCAAACGGTATCAAATGCCGCATCTTGAACCTCCTGGTGCAAGGTATTACGACCTCCTCGCTCATGCTCAGCAGCAGCTTCTTGCTCCTGCTCGACAGATAATTCTTGGGTCGGCTGCTGATGCTGGGATTGGACAACTTGGTCAGTATCATGGTGACAATTATCCTTGTTGACAGGAGCGACAACATTACTGGGTTTGTTTGATTGCCTTGCACCACCACCAAAGGCTTCAACTTTGCACACTCCAGAGAAATGTGGCACTTGACTCTCCACTTCAGTGTCTCCGTCGGTCCAGACATCAATCTTCTGAGTCTTCTTGGGTGCAAATGCCGATGGGGGAGTAGGTGGGGTAGGTGCTCGCTCAAGTGCTGCTTGGTGCCTCTTTCCATTGAGCACTTCTGGCGCGGTCACTTTCTTAACCCTTCCGTCCAAATGAATATCGGTCGGGTTAGCATTGGACCATGGTCCTTCTTCGGCATCCTTTCGAACGCGTGCATCCAGGGTAAGGCTGCCATCGTAACTTCTTGTACCGTCAACATGAAGATGAGGCTTGACAAGAAGGTCACGCTTGGCGATTTCCACCAGTTTTCGTGACTCCCTTTCTTGTTTCTCGTCTTCCTGTGTCTTGCCATACCACCATTGTAGTGGCAATGCCAAGATTGACTGGGTAGCACCTTCAGTCTGTGATTCTTCAATCTTCTCGAGCTTCGTGGGGCCATTCACTTTCTTTGCAAAGCCTTTGGCAGTTCTGGCTACGCTTGGAAGCTTTTGAGGTTTCTGGGGTTTGGTCGACTTTTCAGGAATTAGAGATTGTTTGGGCTTTTGGGTCTTCTGCTTTTGGGAGTTCCCACGGCCATGCTGGGGTACTAGTTCTCGTGGACTGGCCCGAGAATCGCGATTTCGCCAGCTGCCTTCGGCGTCTCTCGTTTCAAAGGTTGCAATGGTACGAGAGGAAGCAATCAGAACTTCATTCTGTCGGAGACCACCATACGATTCAGCTGCAAGAGTGTCGTCGTCCGCTTGACCGGCGCCACACATCCACATGTTGCCTTGGACTGCTGTTGTATGGTAGGTTGGGGTGCTTCGCATTCCACTGTCGTCAGAATCTTCATCGGAATCCGAATCTGAATCAGAGTACGATCTATCATAAGACGTTCGAGTGTCTGCTTCAGTGTATGTATCGGCTCTGGTATAAGTATCTGCTTCGGTGTAGCTATCGGCTTCAGTGTAACTGTCTGCTCGAGTGTAAGTATCGGCCTCAGTATACGTGTCCGCTCGAGTGTATGTGTCTGCCTCAGTGTATGTGTCTGCTTGGGTGTAGGCATCAGTATATGTGGTGAAGGTGGTGTGCCCTTTGGTTTCAAGAGAAGGAAGCGAAACTTCCTCTTGTGGACTTGGAAAAAAGAAACCTTGTTGTTCTCGTTCCTTCTTTACCACCCTCTTGGCAAACCGCTGAAAGGCGCTTTCTTCATCGCTTTCAATAGGAACCTTGGACCAACATTCAGATAGGTCGGAAGCATTCACAACGACCCCACGATCATCCAAAAGAGTTGCCATATCACCTTCAGATGAGTAACAATCGGTGGGCTCAGAATACCCTTCACTTGAAGATTCATCGCTGGAGTAGTCGCTGTAGTATTCACGGGTCTCGCGACCTTTTGCTCGTGTTACTCTTGTGGTTCCAGCAGCAGCCGGCGCTTGTCCTCGACGGCTGGAAGAAGACCGATTGCGGCTTGCATTATTTGCTCGGCGACTGCTCGATTGGTTCATAGGACGAGCATTTGAGGAGCGAGCAGTCGTGTTGTTGGATCTTTGTGGTCTTCTCGTTCTTGTCAAATTATTTTTGTCCATTTGTTGAGGCTTCATCATCATCACGCGTGTATGAGCAGTTGATGAATGCCTTGATGGTCTTGAGTTATGGTATCCTGGGGCGATGTTGGGCCTCATCGTTGATTCCTTTCAGTGGTATTGTTAGGGTGGGCAAAGAAAAGTGTCGATGTCGTTTGGGTTGCTTCCAACCGAGAAACTTCTTGAAGCGTTGACTGCTATGGTTACTATGTGATGGAATCTTTAGCGATGGCAGTTTTCCGTTGACGTGAGCAAATGTAGCCGCTGGCGATACTGTATGCCGTTGAAGCTGCGCGGGCTATGAATGCACATGTTATCGAATCCGACAAGTCGTTTGGTGGGACCACTCAAATGAATCCAATACATGTCGAATCCAATACATGTCGTCTGCTTCTTTTTTATATATTGAAAGCGTTCATCTAAAAAACTTATTGGGACAAACGCGTTTGTAACCACAAGAACGGCGCAAGGCTCAAAAACTGGTCGTCAAGTTTCTGCATCATCCTTGATGCGCTATACTTCAAAATTCCTGAAAGCGCATTCACTGCAATCGCTGCATTTTTGCATCTTGTCAATGACGCCCTTTCCTCCACAAAACGACATGTCGAATCAAGATTTGTCATGTTTCTCCTTATTTGACTTCTGTGATAGCAGCCAATCAACAAATGGCATGTTTGCTAATTTTCAGCGAAAAGAACCATCAGCCATTATGCATGCTGGGCATCGTCAGCGCCAACAAAATCATGAGGGAAATGAAATGAAAGAGACTGAGGAATTGCTTGCATCTGAATTGAGCAAGCTTTCTGTCCAGGAACGAGCCAAGGCTCTAGATGATTTACACTGTGTGGGAGAAGAGCTTCAGGAGACGCCTGAGATGATTCAGCATTCACTGTCAGAATTTGATTACTTGGTGCAAACTTGCGCCAATCGAATTTATTCCGTTGCTGTAAATCAGAACCGAGCCTATGTGCAGGATTCAGAGTTTCGTTTGAAATTTCTTAGGGCGAATATGTACGATACAAGAAAATCTGTTCATCAGATGATGAGTTTCTTGCAGCAAAAGGCACTCTATTTTGGAGAGGACAAGGTGGCGCATGACATCGCGGCTAGTGATCTAAACGAGGACGAGATTGAGCTGATGCGGTCTGGTTTCTGTCAGATTCAGGAGGGGCGAGATCGCAACGGCAGAGTTGTGGTGTTCAACTCTTTCAATCGGATGCCCACTCGGTTCAGAGGCATGCGGGATGAGAACTTTGCAGCGATGAACATTCGTGTGGTCTATCATATCGTGTTCAACATGTTGAGTTCGATACCAGAAGTTCAAACGAAAGGAATCGTCAAGATATATTATGACGAGTCGAACGGAGGGGACAGCCCATCGTTGCCTGGATTCAACTTCTTTTCGCAGGCGAGGCAATTTGGCGACACCCTTCCCATCTTTATATCCTCACTACACATCTGTCTTCATTCATCGCCAGGAAGTCTGGCTCTGCACAACCGTATGCTACAGTTCCTTCTGAAAGCTCTACCGCAAAGTACGAGGACAAGAGCTCGCCTTCATTACGGCAGCGATTTAGAAAGACAATATAAACTTCGAGGCTACGGTATTCCACTTGACACCTTTCCTGTTGACACCTCTGGCAACATCCGTGCGGTGGGACAGAATACTTGGTGCAAGGGATACTTGGGAAACGGAACTTTGACACTCGGGCAACAAGGGGGCCACGAGAGCGCTGCCATGGCACCAATCTCAGGTGGAATTTCGGAAGCTGATATCCTGTTTGGAAGAGGACGATTGGTTCAGTACCATCACGGAAATATCCGATTCAGAGAGCTTCTGGGCGAACACATTGAAGAATATGAAAATCTCCCTCGGAACCAAAGGCGGAAAGCTAGTGTTGTCTATACCCGCGAGCTTGTTGCAAGCGGGGCTCGGTTTTTGAAGGAAAACGGGAATGATGGATGGATTGTGTGTGACTTTGAAGAAGCCGTGGGCAAAGTCCTTCAGTTCTATCGCACCAGTCGTCGAAATAGGAAATGAATGAACACCGGGGCAGAAGCCAGCTACATCGGTTAAAAGACATACATTACTAGCTATACCGAACGGCGCGTGGTACACGTACCGTCAAAACTTGAATTGAAAACATCGGCTCCTTCAGGTTTTAAAAAATCGGCATCAAAGAAATAAGACACGGAGACTTTTCACTGCAAACATTTTTATTTAAGAGACGCGCTACGTTTTTCACACCCTAGTTTCCGGTGAATAAGTTTGACGAAACTTCAAACTGCTGTGTTCAAGTTTAGCCAAAAGTATTGTTCTTCACCCTTTGCGTTCGCAGAAACAGAAAATGTACTCTATTTTTTCAAGTGTTCGGGAAATGTTTGCACACTGACAAAACATATACAACATAAAGCATTATTGTCTATTCTTGTTGCGTTCCCACCACAAAAGCTCCATCTCTGCGTTGCGAAGATGGCGTCCTCTTCTCCACAAAACGATCAATGTCAATCATGTTTCTCTTTCTTTGACTTCTGTGATAGCAGCCAATCAACAAATGGCATAAGTGCTGCTAGTAATACTCAGCAGAAACAACCATCATCCACTATGCGTGCTGGTCATCTTCAGCGCCGACAAAACCATGAGGGAAATGAAATGAAAGAGACTGAGGAGTTCCTTGCGGCTGAAATGAACAAGCTTTCCGCCCAGGAACGAGCTAAGGTTCTAGATGATTTACACTGTGTTGGAGAAGAGCTTCAGGAGACACCTGAGATGATTCAGCAGTCGCTGTCAGAATTTGATTACTTGGTACAGAATTGCGACGATCGAATTTATTCCATTGCTGTGAATCAGAACCGAGCCTATGTGGAAGATTCAGAGTTTCGATTGAAATTTCTCAGGGCAAATATGTACGATACAAGAAAATCTGTTCATCAGATGATGAGTTTCTTGAATCAGAAGGCACTCTATTTTGGAGAGGACAAGGTGGCGCATGACATCGCGGCTAGTGATCTAAACGAGGACGAGGTTGAGTTGATGCGGTCTGGTTTTTTTCAGATTCAGGATGGGCGAGATCGCAATGGCAGAGTGATGGTGTATCACTCTGTTACTAGGATTCCCAGCCAATGCACGATTGAGAAGATGGTAAGTTTGTTGTGGAGACTGGACTGATGTCTGCAAGATACTCACACACCATTTTAGGTCCGCGTTATGTACCATCTCTTTTACAATATTTTAACTTCGATACAAGAAGCACAAAAGAAGGGAATCATAATGATATACTACGATGAGTCGAAAGGAAGGGACAATTCAAAACCGCCTGGATTCAACTTCTTGTCGACGTCCCACCACTTTGGTAATTCCCTTCCAATTCATATATCCGCATTGCACCTATGTCTTCATTCATCTCCAGGGAGTTTGGCTCTGCACAACCGTCTTTTAAAGTTCCTTCTGAAAGCTCTGCCGCAAAGTACGAGGACAAGAGCTCGCCTTCACTATGGCAGCGACTTAGAAAGACAATATAAACTTCAAGGCTACGGCATTCCACTTGATACCTTTCCTGTTGACAGCGGTGGCAACATCCGTGTTGAGATACAAAATGCTTGGTGCAAGGGTTATATGGACGAAGGCTCGACAATCGGGCAACAAGGGGGTCACAAGAACGCTACCATAACACTAATCTTTGGGGGGATCTGGCAGACCGATATCTTGTTTGGGCGAGGACGATTGGTTCAGTACCATCACGGAAATGTTCGATTCCGAGAGTTTTTGGACGAACACATTGAAGAATACGAAAATCTCCCTCGGAACCAAAGACGGAAGGCTAGTGTTGGCTATACCCGAGAGCTTGTTTCAAACGGGAATCGCTTTTTGAAGGAAAACGGGAATGATGGATGGATTGTGTGTGACTTTGAAGAAGCTGTGGGCAAAGTCCTTCAGTTCTATCGCACCAGTCGTCGGAACAGGAAATACATGAGTTCTGGGACAGAAGCTGGCTATATCGGCTAACATATCTACTAGCTATAGGATTATTACATTTTATCAGTCAGTTGAACTTGAAGGGCATTCGCCGACATAATCATCGTTGGATTTTCGAGTAGCTGTCACATTGACTATGAATTTACGCGCAAACTTGACGCGGCTCACATCAGCTTCTTTATTGTCATGAAATGCGTGCAAAGGGTACATGAAAAACGGAACTTCGACGATCAGGCAACAAGCAGGCCAGGCAGGGAGACACATTCATGGCCCGAATCTCAGGTGAAACCGGGCGGTTGGCTGTGTACTTGTACCATCCTGGGAATGTCCGACGCAGAGAGTTTTTAGCTGAACAAGAATATGTTAGTCTTTCTCGAGGCTGTATTTGGCAATGCCCGCAAGCCTACGGAGAGTCCTTTTTAAAAAAAGAATAAACAGGGAGTGTGTGCGTGTGTGTGCGACTTTGAAGAAGCCGTGGGCAAAGTCCTCTAGTAGTTTTATCGCACCCCATCGTCGGAATATGAAATAAATGGTTGGGAGCTGGAGATATTGATTAACATACATGCCTAGTTTTGTGGTCAACGTATCAGTTTTCATGTATATTCGCCGATAATCATCATTGTTTAATGTAACTTCAATTGGAATCAATAATGGTTGGAATAGCTATAAATCTGCTCTCTCGTCAACGTGATTCACATGTTCGTACAAACCATTTGGCTTTGCCATGAAGCGCAAATCATCAATGAACTGCTTCTTGTCTACCATTCGTACTTTCTTTAGAGTTGCCTCGGTCAAGTCTCGTCCCTTTTGTTGGGCTTGCAAGCTTTGTTGAATCCACTCTTCCCCTCCTACACCCCAAACTTCGATGCAATCAGCATCAAAAAAGTAGAGGGAGTCTTTTCCGTTGGGCAGCAACTCGGCTGCTTCAAATGAGGAGCAGTATTCCATGGCCCGGCAGTCTTCCAAAGTCTCTGTCAAGTGTAGGCGAGGCTGGGATGTGCTTCCTCCGACTCCAATTCCATGGACACAGCCATCTGTAGCTGAGGACGATGTCATTCTGCGATTGCTCGGATTGAGAGAAGATGGATGACAGTACATAAAGTTTCCATTCTTTAATTTGTCGCGTGGGCGTATGATCGCGATATCATTCTCCTTTTCGTCAATTTTGAACAAGAAGCAATCTTTGTTGCCAAAAAAGGAATTGGATTCCGACCAAACGGAAGTTGTGAAGAAACCTATTGTGCTTTGTTTGCTCGTTTTCTCCATCATGTGCTTTGCTGAAGGCTTCGCAGAGATAAGCATGAGGGTGGGCCCTCCATATCCCTTAAGCGTTGACAGTAACATAGCAAATGATAGACCGTCTCCTTGTTCTGATGAATACAAGCGCTTCCATCGTGTGCCGAGAACTTCTGGGTCAGCAGCGGAGAGCTTCGCCAACAAAGGATGTAGACCAAGGATTTCACTGCCTGATTCATCTGATTGCGGAAAAAATACAGACGGCTCTGACAACTGAGGCAGTGCTGCAATTTGTTCCCAGTCATCATCATCTTCTGAATTTGCTTTCTGTGCTTGCCGTCTTCTTCGTTGGACCGGAGGCAATTCTTCGCTCTTTTTCGATTCAATGGTTTGCTTACCCTTTTGGTATTGCGCTTCTTGCCAGGCTCTCAGTTCTTCCGCGGTGGGTTCCGCCAAGGAAGATTCTTCGCTTTCCGCTCCATCCGATTTTTTGTCATCTAATAGGTGAGACAAATCCATGTCACCAAATTGAGATTGAAGACGAGAGAGTAGCTCGGATTCCGTCTCCATTGTGTATTGCTGTTGGATGATTTGAAGGTAATTATGTAGTATATCAGTAGTCTACGGACTGTAATGTTTCTTTTGTGGTGCGCTGCGGGTTTCAAGAAAACTCCAGTTTCTTCTGTATGCGGTGTCATCTGATTATTATTGATGAATATTGCGCTTGATTCTTGGGACGAATTCTTTGGATGGTTTGAGGTTCGCGTCACCTGTATTCTTTGACACCTTTCTTGTAAACCCATGAACTCGCGCTAAAATCTGAGCTTTGGTATTTTGAATATGTGAAAGTAAAATATTCATGCCGAAGGAAAAATTACCTTCCACGCGAGCCGATCAATACACTTAACAATCAGCGATATATTTTGGCCGTCGCCAACGAAATGGCGAGATCCCATCAGTCACGTTTTGGTTGGTGGGAGATAGAATTGGCATATACTGTTCACTCTTCCCACCACACTTCTCTCATTCCAATAAATTAAGCTCCAACAACCCTTTGATTACAGCCATGAAGCCGGTAGCATCGGATTCCTACTACTCGCGAGATCAAACCTCGTATTCTGAAAGCACGAGGACACCATACATTCAAGAAGATGATTCCATGATGACATATTACACGGATGAATCGGTGGAAAGGCGCCAGAATAAAAAGTTGACCTACGACACTTTCATTCCCATGGAATCTGATTCGAGCAGAGAGTCTGCATCTGGAAGGGGATGGAGAAAGGAAGGTTTATCCATTGACACCAGAAACGATGTCCCAAGCGACGATGAAGTAGCAGAGGAAGCTGCCAAGAAGACTCTTTCTCCAGGAATGGTCGATACTGAAAATATTCGCAACAAACGTCGTCAGCGATTGGCGCGAATGGCGAGAACCCGAAATGAACGACAAGAAGCTGAAGAAGACGAAGAGAACTATCATCGCAGAAACTACGAAAGCAACACTGCTACTCCTTCGTCACCTATCAAGCAGCGCTACGTGCCGTCTCCAATTGTGGAAGAACGACCGGAACGAAGCTTTTCTGTATCGCCACAAAAGTATTCACGGTATGGATCGACACAGAAGGGATACGATGAGTCGGCAGCCGAGCTATCCACACAACATGTCGCATCGCCTACAAAAAGAGGATATTCTGGTGTCCTTTCTCCGCAAGGCCGATCGTCACCTCAAAAGGCTAGCGGAGCCTTTCAACCCTACAAGTCACCTGCCAATATGACATCATCCGACTACGCCCGAACAAGCTACAATTTTGATTTCCGAGACGACGACAACGACAATGGCGACGAAAGCGACGTGTCTCGAGCAGGATCGAGCAACGATTCTCGTGCCAGCAGCAAACACCAAGAGAGAGAGCACCAAGAAGATAGATACCAGAGCCATCTACGATACGAATCTGACACATTGGAAGAACAGAACCAAGAAGACAGATACCAGAGTCACCAAAGATATGAAACTGATACATTGGAAGAGCAATATGGAGATGACAGTCACGGCCGATACCAATATCAGGACAATGGTGATTCCTCGACACTGAATGCAAAACCTTCCGATGGCAGTGATATAGTTCCGTACTCCTCATCTCCTAAGAAGCACCATGAAAGAGGTGACCAACTAGAGCAAGACGAAGACGAGCACGGATTCCATGCATTGACAAAGAGCGACAGCGATGGTCTCGTCGAGCATCGTGACGGATACGAACGGCATCATGATTCCGCACGACGGGAGGAGCTAAGAGACGAGGCGAGAAAAGATTATGAGTCTACTCCATACCGCGCTTCCAATCATAAGGGATACCGACAAGATCACCAGCATGAGAGGTCAAACGTATCTTCATCGAATGCCAGAGATAGGCGTACGCACGGGCAAGACACCTACAATGAAAACCAGATCGACACATATCAAATCAATGCTGGAAACGGCAAGCCAACAACTACCCCAACAGCAGGAAGGCACCATCCAAGCCAAAATCTTGAACGAAGGAGATACGCTCCAGAACCACCATCTCAAAGAGAATCCATTCAAGCTCACATGGCCCACGCTTATGTATCTCCTCATGGTTACCAAAACCCAGAGTATGCAGCGATGGCCAATCACAATGCAAGACATGCACTCTTGAGGCGATACGGAGCTAATCACAATGCCAACATGCATCCTCCTATGCCCCAACAGTATGGTCAACAACAACTTTCCTCGGTGCAAGCTTCGACACCAAAACAGCTTACACCAATGCATCCTCCAATGCCCCAACAATACCAAATTCGAACACAGACGACACGAAAAGTGGCAATGCCAGTTATGGAAGACGACAGTGCTAGAAGCAGTGGAAGAAGGATGTCACCTATGATCGAGGACCACTCGTACATGAGCATGGAGTCGAGCTTTATCAACGCTTCAGTGAATACAGGTGTCGGGTGTCAAGCAATTCAATGTCAGTCTGTAATGACCAAAATATGGACTTGCGGTACAATAGGAGACGTTGACGATTTCGACCCAAGGACCAAGATATTCGCAGGCTTGGCCGAAGGACCAATGGGCGCTTTCGCCATGGGGGCTCAAGGGCCACGCAGAAACGCCGTGAATTCGAAATCAGATCGAAATAAGAAAAGCAGTGCGGATGGGAAACAGAACGAGAAATCTTTTCAGAATGGTTTTGTGGGTGCAATTGAAAAGATCTCAGCTGAAGCTCAGTTCCTTGGAACTGAAGCAACACAATTGCTCTCAGGTGTGATCAATGGACCCACACAGGCGGGCGATGTGTCAAAGGAACAACCAGCAGTTGTGAAATCGTCCAAAGACGATGACAGCAGCTCCTCTTCTGACAGCAGTGACAGTGAAACAGAGTTCGACATAGGTGGTCCTTCAGAGCAGAAAGAACAAAAACAAGAAAAGAAGAAAGAGCAGAAACAAGAAAAGAAGCCAGCTGGTGGTCGCTCCAAGCAGCAGCCAACGAATGCCCAGATTCCAGAAACGGCACTGGATGTCACGGGGCCAAAGTCTCCGTCCAACGGGATCTACGCTTCTGTTGTCAAGGGCATGAATAGACGGGATCAGCTCATGAGACTACAAAAAGAACGACAAACCCAAAACGAAGCGACATCTACAAAGCAGGGAACAGCAATAGAATTTGCAACAGGGACAGATCAGCTACGCGATGTTTACAAGCATCTCTTTGACACCATGAAGAGTCCTATGAATCCATTGTATCTTGAGAATCCATTACAAGCGAAGAAGGACAAGTCCCTTGCGATTGAAGAAGTAGGTACCAAGGGAGCTGGACTCGACGGAGAAACTGTATTTCTCTCGTTCGACAAGGATCCTGAGTCAAAAAGCGATTTAGTGTCTGGTAGCCAACCAGTTGCAGTGAAGGAAGAGAAAGTGAAGGAGGAGAAAGAGAAAGCCGCAGTCTCCGGAATATTGTCGGCCCTTGAAAACACCCTTGCGCAAATGATGCTTCCTGACAGTCTTTCTCAGGCGAATGTGGAGGATTCAGTGATTGGTTCTATAGGTGGTGACGAAGAGACCAAGTCAGCAGCAGATGAACATGATCTACTTTTTATTGAAGAAAACTTGGATAAAAAAACTGATCAAGCCACTCCCAACCTCGAGACATCCGATGGACCAGTATTGAAAGCAACGCCAAACACTGACACGGAAGCGGCGGAGGCTAAGCTGGATCAAGACTCGGAAGAAAATTCTGTTTCGAAAGAAATGATGAACGATTTGAACGATTTGTTGCAAAAGAAGCAAGAGCAAAAGCCAATCGAAAGGTATGAGGTGAAAGCAGCTGTATCCATGGTATCCATGACCGATGCCGACATCGAGGCAGAGCTAGAGAGAATGACGGATGATGAGAGTATGGACGAGTCTTCTGATGACCAGATACCTGACAACTACGATGGACCGACGGACGATGAGATCATGGCGGAATTAATGGGAGGTATGGACGATGGCGACGACGGTGAAGAACATGTGAAGAGCATGTTTGATGATGCAACCGTCGATGACGATCAATCCGCCCTCTCTCTTCCGTCAGTTTTGAAATCGAAGACGCGCTTCTCAAACGAAGTCTCTCAATTGAAGATAATATCAGAAGATACCACTGGTGATCTTGAATCATTAAAGCGAGCAGCGAAGGCACTTGAAGAAGCGATCAATAGGGCATCTACTGCTCATCAGGTACAAAGGACGAATGCAACATCTGCACACTACGAGGTTACTCCATCCATGTCGTCGCCGAACCTTTCTTTCACCACCGCATTGATGGAAGAAACGCAGGAACCATCATCATCATGGTTGCGGACTATGTGGAAGAAATAAACAACTCCATTTGTCGCTCTTGAATTCCAGCTCTCCCAAGAGAGCCAACGCATTCCCTTTGTCGTGCAAGGGGTGTTCGCAAATTGACAGCATGGTCAGAAGCTACAAAAACTTGATCCAAACCTTCATAATACTACAGAATGGAAATTGCCAATGTAAAATAAATGTGATAGTGTATGAACATACCGGTAATATTTGTTAAAAACTATCGCTTGCTATCTACTATCTTCGTTTTCCAAGTGTGACATAGACCACACGTTTCTCCCCGAACCAGTCTTGTACCGTCAACGAGATCTTCTCACCACGGACACGACTGTCTAGTTCATTTTGAAGTTCTTGCAACGAAGAGACTTCCTTTCCCGACACTGCAAGGATGCAATCGCCGTATTCGACAGTACCATTTGGCCGAACCTTGATTGGCATTAAGCCAGCTTGTTCTGCTGGCGAGCCCGGATCCACAGATGTAATGACATTGCAATACACTCTTGTAGCAGACTTATCGCCCTCACCACCGTCGCCTATTGTTTGCTTTAGTACCGAAATGCCCAAGTATCCACGATCTTTCTTAAACCCCTTGGCCACACGATCCGCTCGGATAATCTCCTCCACCACCGGTTTCAGCTGATCCGCAGGCACCGCAAATCCAATACCAGCATTGCTCCCGGAAGTTGTGATGATCGCTGTATTGATTCCTACCACTTCTCCCTTTAGATTTAATAATGGGCCACCCGAATTGCCTGGATTAATGGCCGCATCCGTTTGGATGCAGTTCCGAATGGGAGCATTGGCCGGAGTCCGTGCGGTACCCGCTCGGAATTCCCGATTGACCGCCGAGACGACCCCCGTCGTGACCGTCTTGTCCAAACCAAAAGGATTTCCAATCGCAACCACTGATTGTCCAACCAGTAAATTGGAGGAGCATCCAAAGGAAACAATGCCACCTTCCGTTGTAGTTGTTGTTTTGCTACTTTTCGAGTCGTCATCATTGTTGTCGTCGCTGTCGTCTTGAATCTTGAGAACAGCCAAGTCCAAATCCGGCATGACGTTGACGATGCGACATTGTTTGTACTGGGTGTCGCTATTGATTCGGACGTACACCGTCGCTGATAATTGCTGTAGTTCATCCGAATTTGCAAAGGCGTCCTTCAGGTTGGACTGAATCGAATTCACAATCGTCTCGGGAAATAGGAGTGTAGCATTCCCAGCGATTTGATCCACAATGGTATTGAAATTGGATAAGGCTTGCTGAATGGTGTAGGCTCGCTCAATGACGTGGTAGTTGGTACAAACATATCCATCAGTCGAGAGCTGAAAACCAGATCCAGATCCCAACGATCGCCCTCCAGATGGAAGGGTACCGTTTTTTCTAGTATTAGTTGGTCCCGACACCGATTCCACATAGGCCACTGCCGAGCCACATTTTCGGACCACGGATGTGATGGATCGTTCCGATGGGGTCAAGTCTTTCTCCAATTCCGAGATTGGGACTGCCACGGAATTCAATTTGCTTATGCTTCTCGATGGTGCATGAAGATGATTTATTCTCATGCCAAAACCGAGCGCTCCTCGATTAGACGAAGACGAGCTGATGCTGAATCCAGATGTGCATTCGAAGACAATTAAGCAGGAAACGTAGATGAGGAACATACGAAGTTTCCTGAAGTCATTCATTGTAGACTTATATATGTTTGCTACTATCCGAACAAGATGTGCACTGGGTAAAGGGGAATGGAAACTAGTGTGACGTTAGGTTGGATCAAGTCGTGGGCGGCGTCAGGTTGAGTGTTTCCCAAACATGCGTTTAGATTTTGGACATCATCATCGTCATCAACACTTTCATGTTTCGTCATTTGATACGCAGCACTGATGAATGACTCAGTCGTGTGTACCTGCAGTACCATGAGAGTGAGTGCATGATGTGCCTATCACTGTCGGACGGATCTGTCCGATGCTCACGATTTCGATTAGCCAGACTCATACTGCATACGTCACTTAGCCCAATGAATATTTGGGGAGTTTGTCGACGAAAAATCCCTTTTTTTGGTGTTCTCCGAAATTCCCGATGGCCTGAAGATGAGATGACACTGCGGTTCTCTCATCTGAATTTATTGTTGCCTTATTTCTCTGGAGAGGTTCCGAGTAATACCGGTACAGAACATCACCATCTGATACTTTCAAACTCATTCTTGCCGCTAATCTGAATCTGATAGTCAACAAGCTCGCTTTCTATTTTAGACAATGGGCGACGAAGCCCAAAAGAACGCAAAGGCGGCTGCGGAAGCGAAACAAAAGGCTGCTAAGAAAGCTTCCAAGTCTCCTCAACCGCCCAAGATTAAGAAGCAGTCCTCCGCAAGGAAGATGGACGATAAGAAAGATAAAGCTGTGTCAGTGAGATCTCCCAGAGCTCAGCAGAAAAAGAAACCTGCAGCTGCGGGTACTCGGAACAAATCACCATCTCCTCCCCAGGACCAAGCTCCTCCGCCGCCCGGGTCTGATCCACCAGGACCTGAACCGGCTAAGCACCCTGTTGAACTTCAGGAGCCTGCACCAGTCCCTGCACCACCTCCAGTCCAGGCACCTGCACCTCCTCAGGCACCTCCTCAGGCACCTCCACAGGCACCTCCTCAAGCTCCACCACCACCAGTCGAACAAGCACCAATTCCACCTCCAGTTCCACAAGCCCCTCCACCTCAAGCGCCTCCGCAGCCAGCACCAGCCCCGGTGCCCGTCCAGCAAGCGCCTCCGCAGCCAGCACCAGCCCCGGTGCCCGTCCAGCAAGCGCCTCCGCAGCTAGCATCAGTTCCAGCACAGGCTCCTGCTCAGCAACAAGCTCCAGCTCCCGCACCACCTCCTCCTGTCCAACAACAGGCTCCTGCACCTCCACAACAGCAATATCAAGCTCCTCCTCAGGCCCCGCCGCAGCAGCAACCTTTGCCACAACAACAGCAGCAACAACCTCAATATGTGGAACAACAACAACCTGTTCAACAGCAGCAGCCGCAATATGTGGAACAGCAGCAGCAACAGCCGCAATATTCGCAACCTCCTCCACAGCAATACCAGGCACCGCCGCCTCAGCAACAGCAACAGGTTCAATACGTACAGGATCCGCAATATGCACAGCAACAGCAACAGCCTGTACAATATCAACAACAGCAGCAGCCGATCCAGTATCAACAGCAGCAGCAACAAGAGCCTGTCCAGTATCAACAGCAGCAACAGCAACCTGTCCAATACCAACAGCAGCTAGATCCGATGCAACCACAAATGGTGAATCCACAACAAATGCAAGCACAGCGACTACAAGAACGTGTTCATCCTGGTACAGGAGCGGCACCACCGCGTGAAGAAACGGAAGAGGAAAAGAAGGCAAGAAAGAAGGCCGAGAAGAAGGAAAAGAAAAAACACAAGAAAAAGGGAGCAAGGGGCCTACTCAAGTCTGGTATCAAGACCGTCGCCAAGCCAGGAATGTTCGTGGCCAAGCATGCCCAAAAGGGTACAATGGCAGTCGCGGGAGTTGCCATGTCTGGTACCATGGCCGTTGGAAAGGCAGGCTTAAAGGGTGTCCAAACGGTCACCGGTACTGGACATCACAAAGATAAGGACAAGAAGAAGCTTCAACAGTCCGGAGAATTTACTCAAGAGCTTATACCACCTCCACAACAGCAGCAGCAGCAACTGCAACAACAACCGCAACAACAACAACTGCAACAAGTCGGTCAACCACAACAAGTTGCTCCTGGCCAGCCCAATCACAATCAAATGATGGGGCAATCAGGTGCAGCTCCTCCTGGTCCAGGCCAACCACAACGACCTGTGCTGGAAGCTGCTCCTCCTTCTGGTGGACAGGAGAAAGAAATGACTCCAGAAGAAAAGAAAAAGGCCATGAAGAAAGACAAAAAACACGGCTTCTCCAAGTCTTTCAAGAGGCATAAGCACGACACGGGAATCTCGGTTGCCGACTATGAAAGTCTCAAGGCCAAATACGAGTCGGTCAATACCATGAACAAGCGATACGAATCTCGTGTGGCCCAATTGAACTTGGAACTCATGGCCTTGGAAGAGACGGTAGCGACCAAAGACAAGGAGATTAATACCCTTCGAGAAAATTTGCAATCGATTGCGTCGCAACGATCAACAGTCGCCGCCGCGCCTCATGAAACTCTGGCGCAAAAGCGTGAAAAGAAACGTCAACTCGAACAAAGAGTGAGTCACCAAATGCACCATCACGAAGTGGCACCTGCGCAACTGGCGGCTGCCACGAATGCTGCGGCCGCGCAACAGCAATAAGCGGACAACCAGCACTATAGTATCGTTCATCAGCGACCAAGGGGGAAATGAATGTCGTTCGATTTGTGTGTATGTAAAAATGTTTTGTAACGAGACCATATTGTAATGGGTTTGAAGATTTTAAAATAAAAAATGGTAGATGAAAAGCAAGTATCATTCTCTTCGGAAGCTCAGATCCATATTCCAATACTGTGCGCAGTATTCCAATAGGTAGATAGGCGCCTCTCTGTTGTAATCGAACTATTCATCCCACAGTCACCAAAAGTTTCTGTTCCGCGCCTGCCATTCGACATTGTTGTCGATGATGAGTACATCTAAGTAGAAGTGATGAAAAAGACTTGAACAGTTTCTTGCCTTATGATTTGGAGAATCGAAATTAGATTCGTGAGTCAATCAATCAGATGTCATGCAAATATATTCCTTGAAATCCACACTGGCTGGCATTTTGGTGACTTATTTTTTCCAAATGACAGGTGTTGGATACGCTGCATAGAAGCCAATAAGATTTCCACAACGTACACATCTCCAAAGCCAACAAAGATACTCTTCTAACGCTGAATTTCAGCAAGCTGTTGTCCGTGAAACTGATATTGGTTGCCTAGGCAGATAGCAACTGCGACATACAATAGAATGAGTACAACAGAAGAACCTATAGCGCCAACTGAGGCCGGAGCTCCTGATGCCCGAGAGCAAATGTCAGCAGAGCTTGGCATGATTGGCGACATTTCCGAGACTATTGAAGAGGGAGAAGAAGAAGAGGAATCGGAGGAGGAAGAAGAAGAGGTGCCATCGCCAGCAGCAGCAGCTCCTGGTGAAGCAGCTCCGACTGAAGCTGCTACAGCAGAGGGCGCCAACGAAGCAGATAAACCGAAAAAGAAAAAGAAGAAGAAATCAAAGGGTGCCAAATTTATGAATAAAATGGCACAACCTGGTGTGTTCATGGCTAAACAAGCTCAAAAGGGTGTGGAAACGATGGTCATTAATCCCACCATGGCAGTAGGAAAGGCAGTCGGAAAGGGTGTCGAAACCGTTGTGGTGAATCCCACCATGGCAGCAGGAAAGGCAGTCGGAAAGGGAGTCGAAAATGCCGTGGTAAATCCTACTATGGCGGTGGGTAAGGGTGTAGGAGATGCTGCCAGGAAGATGGCGGGCAAAGAGAAGTCCTCGAAGAAAAAAAGCAGCAAAAAGAAATCGCAAACTTCAGGCGATGCTACGGAAGAAAAATCTGATGACAAAAAAGACAAAGACAAGTCAGAATCCAGTAAAAAATCCAGCAAGGATCATCGAAAAAGCAAGAGCGGTAGTAAGTCCAAAAGTGGACTGTCCAAATTCACCAAAGGGTTAGGTTTGGATGGTGGTGTCTCTGCCTCGGAACACAAAGCACTGAAAGAAACGAACAAGAAACTTGAGTCGAGAGTTGCTCAACTTGATCTAGAGGTCAGTGATTTAGAAGAAAAACTAGATGAAAAGGAAAAGGAGATTGCAGCTCTGCGAGAACAGCTCAAGAAGATTGGCGTCGGAAACCAGGAACTTACTTTGGAAGAAGCAACGACACCAAGCTTGTCCGAGAAGCGTGCTCAGAAGCGTCTCATGGAAGAAAAGGCCAATATTCTAATGACAGAGGGTCACAACAGTGGCAAATTGAGGGGACTGGACGACTCCAATCATTCTACTTCCTCACAAAAAGGAGATGGCTCCATGAAGATTATCTCCAAGGCAAAGGAGACTGAACTTCAGAGAAAGAAGCGAATGGAGAATTCCAAGATTGTCCACAAGATGAGAAATCTCAGTACTCGTAATACATATTTCCAACCCCAAAAGACTAATGGCGTCGCAGCAAATCCGCTAGGAATGGGCGATTACGAACCGCCGGTCTTCCCCAAGACCCCTGAAGCCGTCCAGCTTATCCACAATGCCTTGCGAAAGAACGTATTTTTCGACAAGATGAATCAAGATGATTTCGATCGTATGACTCCGAGTTTCGAGAAGGTGCTGGTAAAGAATGGCGAACATATTATCACGCAGGGTGACAAAGCCGACTTTTTCTATATCGTGGCAAAAGGAAAGGTTATTTACAAGGTGGACGGAAAGCTAGTTGGAGAAGCGTCAAAAGAACAATCCTTTGGTGAACTCTCTCTATTGTACACATCCCCTCGTGCAGCATCCGTGATTGCTCTCTCCAATCCAACCGAGCTGTTCCGGATTGATCAACGGGCCTTCCGTCAAATCTTGCAAAACAAGGCAAAGGAATTCGAGAAAGAAAAACTTGAGCTCCTCAAGGCAGTCAGGGCCTTCGAAGGTGTCACTGACTCGGATCTGTATCGATTAGCCGATTGTATGATCATGCGAAAGTTCAAGGCTGATCAGGTGGTCGTTCGCAAGGGTGACGTGGGAAACTGCTTCTATATTATTCACTCAGGTACCATGAAAGTTACTGACATTGGGGACGGAACCTCCGCGAATGAAGGTGTTATTTTGGAGCCAAAGGATTACTTTGGAGAAAGAGCACTAATCACTGATGAACGCAGATCCGCAAATGTCTCTGGTGCCGAGGACGGAGCTTGTTTCGCTATTGATCGTGTTACCTTTGAAAAGGTTCTTGGTCAATTCTCGCAAGTCATCATGCGATCTCACGATAAGGACATGTTGGTAAGTCTCCTTGGTTTCTTAACCCTCTTGTCATGCACACCGCCTAACATGTTCCGTCGAAAAAATAGGCAAATATCAAGAATATCAAGGAGTCCAAGTTTAGTGATGCAATGATTGAGACTCTTTCTTCTGCGATTGTAGATATCACATTCAAGGCCGGAGATGCAATTCAAGAAAAGGGTGTTAAGCAGCAGGGCGCACTATTCCTCATTCGCGAAGGTTCTGTGACAATCGAGAAAGGTGGCAAGTCCACGACCCTAAAAAAAGATGAATACTTTGGAGACGATCAAATTGGCAAATTCACACCAGAACAAGTCACACCAGATTATTCAGCCACTGCGGCTACAGATTGTACCTGTGGCTTTTTGGGCTTGAAGCAATTCCCCAAGCTATCGCTCGATGGTACAACGAAAGAAGACGATGTTGCCAACACAAGAATCATGAGACGTCGATCAACGATTCGAGAATCCTTCCGATTCCGCAAGGTTGAATTGGATAAAATGGACAAGCTTCAAGTGTTGGGTGAAGGTCAGTTCGGTTGCGTCCATTTGGTGAAAGCCACCAATGTTGCTGGTGAGACGCGGACTGGCGATGGGGGAGTTCCCGATAGTTATGCTCTCAAGGTGCAAGATCTGGCAGAGCTCGGTGGCTTGCAATTCAAAGAACTCATTGACAGAGAACAAAAGGTTATGGAAAACATGCGTCACCCATTCGTAGTGGATTTGATTCATACTCAAATCATTGGAACGGACGCATACATGCTAATGAACTGCATCACATGCGGAGAGCTATGGAGTGTCGTTCACACGCAAGGCGATTCCGGCGAATGGGAATCGGGTATCCCCGAGGATCACGCCAGGTTTTACGCCATTGTCATTGCGGATGCAATGGCGTTCATGCATAACGCCAAGGTTGTCTATCGCGATTTAAAGCCAGAGAATGTGATGATCGACAAGGTTGGATACCCAAACATTATTGACTTTGGTTTTGCCAAGGAAATCGAAGGAAAGACTTACACTTTCTGTGGGACTCCAAACTACATTGCACCAGAAATTGTTGCAAACATGGGACACAGCTTTGGAGTGGATCATTGGGCGTTTGGAATTTTAATCTATGAAATGATTAGCGGAGAGAATCCCTTCTTTTACGAAGGCATGGAGCATGCTCAATTATTGGAGAATATAGCCAATACGGAAGCCTATCCCATTACAAAGGAATGTTCCGCGGAGGTCAAGAAATTGATCGACGCTCTGTTGGAAAAGGACCCAACCCAAAGAATAGGAATGTTGGCCGGCAGGGAGAATGATATTTTGGAGCATGTGTGGTTCAAGGACATTGACTTGAAGAAACTTCGTGAAAAAGAGATCCCAGCACCAATAATTCCACCTTCCATGATAGAAGAAGAAAACAAGTAAAACTTTAAGCTATGCCAGTGCATAAATGGAAATATAGACTAGAGTTCTTTACCAGTTGTTGTTGGATGTATCACTTCCCTCAAGCCATTGGTATACGGTACATCCATCGTTCGCTCTTTTCATTCGACTCATTCGACCTGCTATGCTCTATATCTCCTACTGGTACCCGCTTCTGAGAGATCTTGACAATCAGGTTGGCGCTAATGTCGCTAACATCGCTACTACCAGAACCTGGAATTCTTCCCAGCACCATTAAGAAAAAAAGAAGAGAACTAGTAAATTACAATTTAGCCATATTCCTGTACCCCTTGCGTTTTAAGTCCACCCTTCAATGATAGAAGTACGAGAATTTTCGTGTAGTAAAATTAACAATGCCAAAAAAAGATTACAGTCGTTTGCTTGTTGGTATATGTATGCGCATTTTATGAATCAAACCATTGCATCCTCGATACCGTCGTCCTTGACCTCATCGTCGCTCTCGTCACTAATTTCCAATTGATCATTCGACTCGATCGACTTTTTAAGATCGTTGCTCAATTCCGTGGTAGCTTCCAATGCACCCTCCGCTTCCGAGGAAAGATTTTTTCTCTCCATCAGATTCCCGCTAATGTCCAGGATGGAAGAACTGTCCCCCCCTGTCAAAGGACCATCAGCAGGTGCAGTACCACCAACACCAACACTTTGAGAATCGTCCGTGTAAGATCGACGACTGCTTACCCCACTCCGCAATACAAAACTTTTTTCCCAGCGAACCGTACTGGCCCGGGCATCTTCCTTTTGAGATTCGCTTCCAAGTTCCCTTCCTCGAACTTTGGCCACGAATGGTCGGCAGCACAAAAAGTCCATAAAGGCCTTGTAAATGTCCGGTTTCCTTGAAATCACCACCGCACTCATGAGAGTCTGCAAATGGCTCCAAGTGCCTCCCGCAAACCCGGACCATGACGGAGTAAAGGAGGGAAGGACAAAAATCAAAATCACCGAGGGGATCCAAAAGATGCAAAACACTAGCAGCAAACGTCCAAAGTAAATAGACAGCAAGCGTCGTTTACCAGTGGGCGGCAAGAGTTTCCGTCGCTGAATGTCAAACGATACGTGCAATCCGTAAAACGTCGGGATTCCCACAAAGAGTGGCACAAATAACAGCCAAAAGTAATACGAGGACTCTTCGTCCACTTCCGTGGGCAGACAGGCTAGTCCGGAAATGAGCCCCGAATGAAAGGGAAAGCGTGCCTCTTCATAGACTCCCCAACTGCCCAAGAAAATGACCCAGGCAAACGCGGCCAAACATTGCAAGCTCACAGCATTGCTGGTCGGTACCCGATACCTTCTTCGGACATTCGAGTCCTTGAGCATGGCATGAACCTGATAGGCAATAATGGCATTGATCCAGGCCGAGCCACCAATTCCAAAGACCGTGTACCATTGTTGCATGTTGCACATGGCCTTGCTGTAATACGAGCCCTTAAAGGCATTCATGAAACAGGTGATCCCACACAGTAGGGAGAAGGTAAAGTCCGGTACCAGCAAGTACAACAAATATAAGTTGAAGGGTTTTCGTCTCACTTTTTTGTTGGTTAGAATGCTCGCAAACAACAGAAAACTAAAGAGACCCACAGAAACTGTAATGACTGCCCAAGTGTACCAATAATACACCAGCGTTTCGTCCGGTGGTGCCGCTGCCATTTGATCGTAGCGAGTACTGTTTTCATTCAATTCGTTCATGCGTAATCTTGGAATTGCTTTGTTGTCACCAAAGGTGTTGTCAAAGTTGTTTTCACCACCACCATAATTGTCTGCAATTTCAATTTGATCTGCCATTATAATACTCTAATACAAGACACTGATACTGTGTAGATATTATATGATCTTGTTGCTTGTTTCCAAATCTTGCTGAGTCAGAGTTTGCTTCGGGTTGCGACGTGAATATATGCGCCGTTTTGTGGCTTTGCTTTGTTTTTATGCGGTTTTCGCTATTATTATTATTATTCTGATCGAGCTACGTGAGCGTGCGGTGGGAGGAGCATGGGAGATGGACTTCTTTTGAAATCACAAAAGTTCAAGCATTTCATCGGCCTTTTTTCGTTTTCCTACAAGCGGCGAACTCGGTTCTTCTTCGTGTACCATATAAATGTGTAAAGAACAGTACAAATAACAGTACATCGGACATTTGGCGTCGTAATGCTGGATAAAAAGAGAACGCCTTCCAAATTGATCATTTCTGATCTTCAATGATCAGATATTTTGACGAGCAAGTTTTGAGTTTGACTCATATGCCGGTACCGGTATACCGTAACTACATACAGTCCTCATATGTAACAAAACCACGTTGATAAGGCTCAAACTAGGTTTTGGGGCGATGTCAATTTGGGGCTGAAGATAGATTCGTTTGAAAATCGATTTTAGAATATTGTGAGCAGTTTGAAGACTCAAACTTCTTTTAGTCGTGCTACATTCGTCTGATCTGATCTGAACCAACTCCAACCAATCCCGCTGGATTGTTAGGTATAGAATGTTGGAGATGTAGCGTGATAGCCGTAGCTTCTACGCTGACAACTTCCTCTGATCTGATAGTTGGATTCGTGTTGAGTTTTCTCACCGAATCCGACTCACTCGATCACTCAGACATTCAGTCGATTCGATCAAATCTCAGAACTCAGAATCCCTGGTATTCGTTCACTCATAATATACTTAAAAATTGGGCGATGATTCTTCGTCTTTGTGATCTCTCTTCCATCAGATATGAATCAATAGAAAAGGATATTTGTCCTACACTGTAGGAGTCCTATAGTAATATGAAAATTACATGATATACGGTACAACCCAAACACTAACTTCCGTGCACCCCACTTGTTTGAGTTTTGAGGCGTTGTTATCACACAGTCCCTTCAGACAAGGACTTGGAATCATCATTATCTGTTGATGAAAGAAGCTCGCCATCCTTGTCATTATCATCATCGTCGCAGCTTCCCGCTGGAACAATAGGACTACTATCACTAGTAGGAGCCTGCTCTTGTTCGTGTTCACTATTTGTTGTTGGCGGCACCCGTTCAATTTCACCCGCCATGTTGATGGTCATTGCTCCTGGAAGGGCTACTCCTATTACAGCATTGTCATCATCCGTCGATTCGCCAGGACTTGCATTCTTCGAAATGGATAGTTCCTCTTCGACATATTCCGGCATTGCGATGTGTTTTGGGTGTTGTTCTTGTTGTTGCTGTTGTTGTCCTATTGCCATTTCGGGTGCCATGGTCACTTTGGGTGACCTGGGGGACAAAGGGTTGTTACTGTGTGTATTCCTCGGAACATAGGGGAATTCATCCATATCCGTGCGTTCGGAATGGGAGTGCCGTCGACTTGGATCGTCTACCGATCCAACCGAGCCCCTTTCAACCGTATGGTCTTCCCCATAACAACTATACCGTCTCTCGACCCTACCATAAGGATTGTTGCTATTACGGTGTGTCTCGGTACTACCCGTACTATCCGTCCGGCGGTTCGCCTTTTTCTTTTGTTCCTCCTCTTCTTCCCTCTTTTTGCGCCCGATCCGACACAACATGAAATCCTTGTAGGCTTCGTTGATGTCTGGCTTCATCACAATGGCACAACAACTCACAAAGGTCTGCAAATGACTCCAGGTTCCTCCCGCAAAGGCAGTCCAGGCAGGCACCTTGAGGCTTCCTGGAATGATGAAAATGAACAAAATGGCCGGAATCCACATGACGCAATACACTAGTAACAAACGCCCAAAATAAACCGAGAGCAACCGTCGTTTTCCCATAGGTGGCAAGAGGTTATTTCGATAGACATGCCAGCCCACCCACAGACCATATCCCGTTGGTATTCCCGCAAAGAGCGGAAAAAAGACCAACCAAAAAAAGAGTGTGGACGCTTGATCGACTTCCAATGGCAGACAGGCCAATCCAGCCATTTGACCGGAATGAAAGGGAAAATGTTCCGTGTCGTAGATTCCCCAACTGCCCAAGAAGATGACCCAAGCAAAGGCTGCCAAACATTGCAAGGTCACGGATTTCTTGGTCGGTACCCGATACCGTCGTCTCACATTGGAATTCTTGAGCATTTCATGAATTTGGTAAGCAATAATGGCATTGATCCAAGCGGATCCACCAATTCCAAAGACGGAATACCATTGTTGCAAATGACACATGGGGACACTCCAATAAGATCCTTTGGTGGCATTCAAAAAGCAAGTGATGGAACACAACAGGCAAAAGACAAAGTCCGGTACCATCAAATACAACAAATACATGTTGAAGGGTTTGCCGCGCAAATTCTTTTGAATCAAAATGCTGGCGAACAAGGTAATGCTAAAGATTCCGCAAATGAGTGTAATGCCTGCCCAAGTGTACCAATAATAGACCAATTGCTCATCGGGTGGTGCCGCTGCCATTCGGTCATATCGAGAAGAATCATCTGTCAGTTCGTGGACTCGCAACCTTGGCACTAATTTGTTGTCGTCGTAATAGTAAGCGAACGCATCTTCCGTTGTGGCATTATTATTATTATTGTTAGTCGCGTTGGTGAAATCAAAGATGGCTTGATCACTCATAATAATGACGGTGCTGATGGGGATGACTATACAGGTAGACCTTGTTATAGCGTTTGTTGTTGTTGTTGTTGTTGTTGTTGTTGTTGGAACGGGACAGCTGTTTGCCAAGGTATGTGTCGCGTCTGATGATTGATTCTTCAGGTTTTGCCGTTTGAGATGACCTGCATTATTATATGCTCTCTTATTTCATGATATTGATTGAGCCTGTGTACCACTGAACGCAGAAGAATGGACAGCTTGCAGACACGTAATTGCAGAGATTCATATATATACTACCGGTATATCTCATAAGTGTCAACGTTGTTCGGGGCTATTTGAACACTTTCGCAAGTATTCTTGTGTAGCAGAACTGTGAAAGGACACTTCGAAAAGGTCATTTTCTGAGAGCATATTTCGCTCTTACCTTATATATATATGGTATGCTAAAAGAAATATCAGTCTTGGACATTCAATGGAGAATGATATGACACTGTTGAGTTCTGTTAGCGCCACTGCAGTGCGGGGTAACCCCCGCATACCGGATTCTATTGCTGGTGGGTTGTTTCTTCTTTGAAGTCTCCTCCTCATTGCATTACGCCACTAAGAATACAGCAGTGGCATAGAAGGATCTTCCGCATTATCAAGGACCCTGATGGTTGATGCGGGCGCTTATTGTAATGCGGTGCTCTTTACTACTGTAGATCAGAATACTCTACTCGTATACTGGGACTATACTTTGTGGCATTGCGAAATTCATTTGGGGGACGCTGCACTTTGGATCCCTGCGACATTAAGGTGTTTTTGCACATATTGCAAAGACCCAATTAGGTCGCCAAAATACCAAATCCGTTGCTTTTTTTGAACGGAACGATGACACTTTGAACTTACACCACTATTATCACATATCATAGATAGACGACAAGCCAAATCTCTTGTTTGTTATATTCGTCACCACGCAAACAATAACATGGTGGCTGAGATTAGCACTGTGGATCAAGATGACGCCGTCGTGGTCGAAAAAAAGAAAAAGAACAGGCTGAGGAAACTGATACCCAAAGCTCTGAAGAAAAGCAGCAAGAAGAATAAGCAAAATAATAAGGCAAACTACAAGCAAATGAAGTGTGACGACGGTGACGATTCCAGCGACGACGAGGACAGAGGATTGGAGAAACAGGAGTCTGCTATGCAAAAAGGCAAGCCATCATCAAGCAATGAACATGAAAGTCACGCCACCAGTCCAAATAAACCGGCAAGCAAAACAAGTTTGACAACACCAAAAGTGCCAGACTCGGACACACCAGCTAGTCATCCATTGGCAAAGCTTATTGTAAAGATCAATAGCAGCGATGACGACGATGTTCGCCATCCGCCATCTGAGAGTCACAAATCACTATCGAGCTCCAAACCATCACCAACGAAAAAAGAGGAGGAACCGAAGAGCACCAAGAAACTGGATGAGACGACGAAAGCAAGCTCGTCGAGAAAGTTAAAGCCGGAAAAACGATCCTCATCATCGAAAAAGCTGGATAAGGAAGACAAACCCTCGTCTTCCAACAGGAGTTTGGACAGCAAATCATCGATATCCACGACGTCCTCATCCAACAAGAAACTGGACGACACGACACCATCAAGCTCATCGTCGTCGAGAAAATTAAAGTCAGAAAAACGATCCTCGTCGTCATCGAAAAAGCCAACATCCTCCAACAGTTTGGACAGCGTATCATCGTTGAAACCAAGCTCGTCAAGGAAATTAAAGATGGAAAAGCGATCCTCGTCATCCAAAAAAATGGATAAGCAAAACAAACCGCCGTCGTCGAGAAAATTGGAGAAACGACGGTCGTCCAAGAAAATGAAAAAAGAAGACTCCCAAAACAGCTTGGACAGCATATCATCGTCGAAAAAGTCAAGTTCCTCAAGAAAATTAAAGGGATCGTTATCATCATCGAAAAAGAATAAGTCACTGAAGGAAGACAACGACCTAGAAGAAAAACCATCATCATCCCGCAGTTTAGAGAGCGCATCATCGGCGAAACCAAGTTCGTCGAGAAAATTAAAGGGATCATCGTCATCATCGAAAAAGAAGTCAGCGAAGGAAGACAATGACGAAGAAGAAAAGCCATCGTCATCAAACAGTTTAGAGAGTGTATCGTCGTCGAAACCAAGTTCATCAAGAAAATTAAAGTCAGAAAAGAGATCTTCTTCGTCCAAAAAACTTTTGGGCAAGGAAGACAAAGCACCCTCTTCAAGAAAGCTCGAGAAACGACGGTCGTCCAAGAAAATGAAAAAGGAAGACTCCATGAGGACCACAAAGCAAAAGGAAGCTCGCAAACAGTCATCGTCGAAACGGAAAAAACGCGAAGACAATCTGGATAAGGAATACCTCCGTACCCAATTCCGAAAAATAGTGCGCAAGTTAATCTGGACCAATATTTTCTTTCAGCAGACGGCTCTGAAAGCGCTGGAAATGCAAAACAAGGCAGACGAAAAGAGTTACCAAAAAAGTGGCGGTCAGTTGAAGGACATGTTCTTTGAAGACGTCGAAGAGGGGGAGGATTCTGCCGAGCCCGTCAATGCTGAATCATCGGCACAAGTGGTAATGGCACCACCATCTCCATTCCTGAAACCGAGACGGAGTTCCATAAAGGATATTCAGGTGGACGCCAGCCTAATGGACTTTGCAGTAAGCCCAGTACCTACGGAAAATAAACCGGCTGTTGTGACTACTGGGACTGCTTTGCCTTCGGCGCCTGATGTACATGTGGCGAGCAAACCCCAAAAGGTGGTCCGTTGGGCAGAAGGAGCAGCTATATTGGACGTGAGAATCATGCCCAAGCAATACGATCCATTTACCAAATCGATGTGTTTCTACACAGACCACGAAATCAAAAGGTTTCGATTTGAAAAGGTACGAACAAATCGTGATGCCCCGATTATGTCGTTCAACCAATTCCCAATTCCTTACATTGTGAAACTTCTGTTCGGCTGATTGTAGTACTTGGAAGAACATGAAGATGAATTCGAGGAAGTTGTAGAAGATGGGGAGTACGAGTGGGTTGAGGAGGAGATTATTGAAGAAATTGAAGAGGTGTATGAGTTTGAAGAAGTAGAATATGTGTACGAAGACGATGCGGTGTCAATATAGAGATGTAAAATTAGAAATGCTACAGTATAGTACCTATATGGGGCTAGCTTTAGGGTACGATATGTGCGAGTTACTGATTTCCGTTGTACGGTACAGAATAAGCTTTTTGAGTTCAATCGAACCCATTTGCGCTCTTTCGGGGGCGGTTTTCTATTTTCCGATGGCCCCCACTATAAGATCCTCCGAAGACGAGCTGATTCACCACCTACCGGTATCGTACTCTATGTAGCGGTGTTGCGTTAAGTGATGATTTGCCCGAAAATTTCGTCAAACCCGTTTCACAAACTCGTGTTCTACATAGGTAGGCACTGTATCACAAAAAAGATCTGTTGGCAAAGCATTTCAAAAAAACCCTTCCGTAAACAACATGGATATGACACCACCCACTCGATCTGCACAAAGACACCTTGCAGATATCGGAACACAACGATTGCGGGGTAAGACGTCCTCTCGAAGCCCCAAAAGAAGGATCAACACTGATCGAAGAAGTGGACGAAGCACTACCACAAGTCGGCCTTCTTCCGACGCAAGTCCTCCAAATAAAGATTGGATCGACGAAAGGATTCAACGGCAAGATGCAATCGTGAGGATGGCCGTTCAACTACGAAAAGAATCGTCCTCAAGAGACGACCGAAGAAGTACTACTGGTGCGGGTAGCAAAGCTGCTGCCAAAGGAACTTTCCGACTCATGAAAACGACACCCCGAAGAAGCAAAAGTCTTGACCAGGACGAAGATTGGTACGATAGCTCCAAACTAGACGACCGAGAACGAGTTCGATGTTCGTTGATCGAACGGGTTGCTTCGTATGTGGATGATAGCAGTGTTGCTGGATTGTCCTTGTCATCAACCTCCTCGTCTAGCATCAAGTCCACACAGTCGGGCCTTGCCTTGATCGACGTGGTCCTTTCATCCCAAAAGAACTCTACTTGGGACATCTAAATTCTGCAGTCAACAGCACTGACATCCTTTGTCGTGAAAGGACTTGACACCTACGCAGGATTATTCCGACAATACATAGATTCACACGTATAAATATATTAGAACATACTTATTGCCAAATCAGCTTTGTGCCCCCCATGCATACGGATGCTTAGAGCTCATCGAGATGAAATCGGTGCTGCATGAAGACGGCATTGCCGCCTACAGTAGGTTTCGGAAATGGACAGAAAACTTCAATTATTATAATATCTTGCGCAGGAGCAGTTATTGACGGATCTATATTTTTTCTCTATACACATATATTAGCATCCATAGCATAGATGCTCAGTGATCGTCTTCGACAAACATGCCAAGGTTACTCTTCACCATATCGCGACGCTCTTTCTTCTGCGACATGGCCCCTTTGACAGACCTACGACTTGGTGGCTTTCGACTACCAGGTCCCACGTTCAAGCTCTGAGTTCTGCGAAGGGATCGATCACCAGATGCCTTTGATCCCATTTCTTTGGGGATGCCACTACTACTGGAGGATAACAAGGATCGGTCAGAGGCGTCCACTGGCAGACCCATTCCCGGACGCTTGGAGCTTCTCTTGGTCTTGGATACCAAAGACATGACTTCCTCTAAGGCAGCCTGTTCTCTTCTTTGTTGGCGATCGATGGACTCTTTCACTTCCGAGGAAATTGGTTCGCCTTCCAACTCATCGGCATCTTTAGCAAGATCGGGCACCTGATCCATAGCGGATTTATCCGCCTGCTTGGTATTTTTGGATCCTACAGATCCGCAGGGAGATATGGTAATCTGATCCGCAGCGTTCAAATTCTCATTGGAAAGTCTGTTGCGCAAACGCTGTTTTCGTTGGCGATAATGGGAAGGTGATGCAACAGCAGCCATATCTGTCATTTCAGTCAGCCTTCGACGTAGGTGATGATTGGAATCATCGTCGTCTTCCGCAAGTGGACTCGGTCCATCGGATAGATCATCTGTGGCAGCGGTCGTTGTGGATCGTCTGGATACATCCAACTCTGCGTCTTTGGAATCTGCTCGCCTCAAGCCACGACCATATTTCGAAGGGGAGGCCATGGATGCACGACTTCTTTGTCGATGCGTTGACAACCGACCCACACTGTTGCTTCGACTTCTGCCGCCTGACTTGCTTCTAGACGTGGCGTTAGATGATACCGAAGACCCACCGCTAGTACGGGCACCACGACGACTACCAATTGACCGGCTCCTCTCAACTCCACGTTGCCGAGGTTGCCCATCTTGAATTTGTATTTCGTACTCGCCTTCCTCTGAGTTATCTTCCTTGAGGGCTCGACGAGGGAGCCTCGAGCCCCTAGTTGCATGCGGGGAATGCATCGTTCGAATTGGGATATGTTACCGTATTATTTTAAAATACAGTGCAAAGTATATAGTACAAGTACAGACAGTACTCTGATCGATCTCTGGCCAAATGAAAGCGTGAAATTATTGACAGGTTTGTGACAGCGAAAATAAAATGCCTTTCGTGGTGATGACGAAGAAGATGCGTATTTTCAATTTGGAACAATTAAGCCGATCCTACGTGGTCAATCGTAGAGTAAGAAAGCTTGTCGAAAGAAAAATCTCACAAATCTGTTGGGACAATCAATTCAATGACTGGCAACTAGTACTCATCTAGTCGTAACTATTCCATTCCTCCATTCTTCTATTTTATATACTCTGGTATTTTTGGTGTTGGTGCCCATTGTTTCTTGATCGAGAGTTTGAAATGGAATAGAGTGACCACAGTTGTTCTAGAAGTAAGAAGGATTGACAAACCATTATAACAAAGACGTGACGCAAGGTTTCATGGTGCAAGCTAGTAAGCTAGTAGCTGGTATAGTAAAAGAGTAGTAGATCCCAGCATCCATCTGCCGAGATTGGCGAATGTACTACGATATCCAACACTCTGTTTACTACAATCTGAGTTCGTAGGATATTGAGAGCCGTGGACGGGGTAGATCATTGCGCACACGGTGGACACACGCCATTCGTTCTTTCCCAAGCATCGTTCCGAGTTGATCCCCAGCCATGACACAAATGAGTTCCGAAGCAGCAGCAGCAGCAGCATCATCATCATTCCTCTCGTCATCAAGATTGTTGTGGTCGATCAAAGTTTCTTCGGGGCAAACAAAGCCGTTCGCCCCTCGTGGCAGCACTTCCAAGCCAGGTGTTGTTGATGACAAACATATACAAATCAATGCACCCCGATCAATATGCTCACTGCAGTTGATGTACCGGGAATCATTATTGTGATAGAAAAAGTAATCGAGCGGGCATTTTGTTGTCTCCTTTACTGTTGTAGGTACACTGTATGTATTATCAGTGGGAACTGCTTTGGCAGATTTGGTATTTGATTCTTCCCAACCTCGCTTTCGCTTTCTTCTACTCTGTAAAGTCGTTTTATTGTCTGTCAATTGATTTGGTTTTGGGTTAGTTTCAGTTCCGTAATCTCCGCTCTTTGACTCTGATAATTCCCTTAGCTTGTTCAGAATGTCAACTAGAATCCCGTGCAGTGATGCACTCAGATCTTGAGAGGACGACTTGAACGTACTGTTTGGCCACGGCTGAAGCTTAGATGATGGGAATGCACGAAAGAGCCTCTTTGCATTGGACGGAAGGTGAAATCCGTGCAAGTTTCCGTCAATCACTTGATGGCATGAACGAGAAAGCGACTCAAATAGTAATGGTCGGTCGAGAATCTTAAGGGCTTCCGATCTTGAACGGGAAATCTGATTTCTCACTGTCGGGTTTGATTGAAAGATGCAGAATGATTTCTGAAGAATTTCTCTCGCAGCTTGGTCAACCGATAAAGATACTTTCATAGAAGGGTGCCCTTCAGCGCCTGATCTCTTCATACCTCCAGCATGATCAGCTGATATGATTTATAGGTACTGAAGTTTGAAGTAAAATACTGCAGCAAATTATTTTTTGAAGTATTAAAATACCGGTATTCTGTACAAAATACATATTATCGATGATATATATTATATGGTTATACTGGACCTCTGGTACCGTTACGCGTGGAACGTCATTGTCCTCTTTATATTCCCCCTAATCTACTAGTATTAATACATATTATCCCTATTATCCGGTACGGCAGAATAGCATTCGAAAATACTGCGGTACTGTACTATTAATTAAAACATGTTTGCTTCCACTAATATGTAAATATGATGGCTTCTATTCTATGCCGGTATCAGTGTATGGCCACAAGTTCTTATTGGATGCTCTCAAAACCGTTCCTATAGGTTTCCATCTTCTTTGATCCTCCTTCTCCGCGTCCGGTAAAATTGCGAGACCTTGTCCACTGCGACTTCAAAGTCACACGGCATCCATTCGTCATCCGCTCCCTGCTTCAAGAAACGAGTTCCATTTCCGATTAGCTCATTTGTGAGGTCCACACAAGCTTTCCTTCGTTGGTTGCGCGAGAGGCTCTCGTATTCTTCTCTGTGTTCTCCCAAAAACTCTCGAAATTGCATGTTTCCGGGATGGTACTGAACCAACCGGCCGCGTCCAAACAAGACATCAGTCTCCCAGATTCCATCTTGCACCGAGTTGATGGAGGCGACGTTATTATTCGCTCGATTCGCTCCACCTTCGCCATCCCCCCCTGACGACGATGAAGTGAGGTTCCCATCCTCGTCTTCCGGGAATAAAGGGCCGTTATTTTTGGCACTTCTGTAGCGTGTCTTGAGACTCCTTTCCTTTGCCAAGTGGTTGTGTAACCATACATTCAAAATGCTCTCTTTCAGGTTACCATTCACATCGACTGGCAATGTGTCGAGCGGGATGCCATAGTTAGCAAGCTTGTACTGCAATTCTACATCGGACCCATAGTGCACCCGAGATCTTTCCCGCGCGTACTTTGGGGATGACTTGACTGCAATCTCAAGAAACAGTTTGTTCCAAGCAATCAGATTTCCTTTCCTTAGCTTGAGGCAGTAATGCAACCCGGAGTAGCGGATGGGAAGGCAATGCATGAAATTAAAGATTTGCATTAGAGATGTCATTCCAGGGTTAACATAACTCTCGCCTGGTTCCATAATGTCATAAAAGATTGATAAAATTCCCTTCTTTTGAACGGCATGAATTGGGATCAATATGTTGAACCAGACGTAGTAGTTGACACGGATCTGAAGAACGGAGATAGGAAAGATTGCTGGTGAGCATACTGATATTGAATGAGGCGCTAACGAACCCAAGTGCAATATGTCGTACCATAGCCTCTGCAGAGAAGTCAAATGTTACTTTGTTGAACCAGTAGAAAATCACTCTGCCGTTGCAATCTGTGTCATCTTGAACATGGTAGAGGCCCGATAGCATGAGCTCTAGTTCCTCTGGGGTCAAATCATCGACCGTAATATCAGATGCAACCTTGTCGTTTCCAAAGTACATTGATTTGTGTTGAAGAAAGCTGATGATTTGCTTCGCAGATTTCCTGACATCATGCATGTTGGCTCTCAGAAACATGAGACGGAATGCGGGATCTTCCACGTACGATCTATCCTGAGAAAGCGCTAGCTCGTATATAGGATAGTTGCCTTGGTCAAGTTCTTGTTGCAAGTCTGCAAGTAGCTTGTCAATCATTGCTGGATCTTCCTCCTGAAGTTCTGAGACTGCATTGTGCAAGTCCTCCAACGCTACAGATTGCTGTTGTATGGACAGCTTGTTGAACTCGGGAGTGAGGAATTCATCTGTTTGCCCCATTGTTTGCAATTGACTATCGCCAGGTTTCCCTCGCAGATCGTGCACATTCGCCTGCTGATGATGTCGGATGAAGCAGGAGTCAGCATCAGGAGCTCCTCCCATCAGGCATGATAGGAGACCAGCAACTTGGTCTGAGGGAGTCGCCATGGTTTGTCTGCTAAATGCCCAATCCTATAAACCACTTCAGAAGTTAGAGATGCAGTCATCCACTGTCTGCTTTTTTAATCGGACAATAAATGAATGCAGTGCTAGAAATTGTGGTTCGGATCACCAATTCAGCATGCCTCGCGTGCCATTGAAAGATCCTGGCGTCGTATCAAAAAAGAATGAATTCCCCCTATTCCGCACGGTTCTTGAGCCGAAGTTTCTCGTTTCTTCATACTATTAGTAATCCCGACTTTCGTCAGCTGTTGACGTCAGCTGCAACGTGCCTATTTAAGTTGACAGCTGACTAAATTCTTCTTAGAGTGCTGGAATCATTGATCTCTCACATTGAAGTTCTTTTGACTGCCGCACGTCAAATGCAGAACACATGCTCAATAACGCCCAACCAGCCACCATCGCAAATCCCCCGTATCATTCATAATTACAGTTTTCCTTCGTCTTTCATCTTCCGTCTACGGGTGCGGAAGAATTGGGACACTTTATTCATAACTTCTTCAAAACCACACTCAACCCACACATCATTCCCGTTTTCCTTCAAAAAGCGGGTTCCATTATTTGCAATCAGCTTGTTGGTGAGGTCCACACAAGCGGGCCGTCTCTGATTTCTCGCGAGTTTTTCAAATCTGCTCACTTCTTCATCTAGAACCTCGCGGAACTGGATATTTCCAAGATGGTACTGCACTAGTCGTCCACGTCCTAACAGTACATCGGTCTCCCAGATTCCACCTTGGATTGGGGTCCTATCAGCAGCGTTATCATCATCCTGACCTGCTTCTTGCTGTTGCTCGATTGCAAAAGTTCCGTTTTCCAACAAGTACTCCTGGCACCAAGCATTCTGAACCTCGGGGCGAATGTTGCCACTCTTGTCAACAGGGAAATTCTCAACTGGAATGCCGTAGCCTCGAAGTTGATACTGCCTTTCTAGATCGCTACCATAGTGAAGACGAGCTCTTGTTCTAGCACCTTGTGGTAGAGCCTTGAGGAGGAGCTGTAACATACGATTGTGCAGAGCCAAACTCCCTGGGGATGAACGAAGACAGATGTGGAAGGAGGATATGCAAATCGGAAGGGTATTGCCAAACTTGTTGGTTTTCATTTGAAAGTTCAAATCTGGAAATATTGGACTGCCCCATCCTTTCGACTCATCGTAGTATACTAAGATGATTCCTTTGCTTTGTACTTCTGGTTTCGAAATCAGCATGTTATAAAAGACATGGTAAATTACGCGGATCTGAAAGAGTGGGTTAGTCCATGTATCTTATAGACATCATTCCGATCTCTTTCGAACAGCAACATCACAAGCTTACCATTGTCTCGACCGTGCAGTGACCGGGAATCCTATTAACAGAGTTATACACTATCACTCTGCCACTACGATCTCGCCCCTCCTGAATCTGAAAGAAGCCAGAGCTCATCAGTCCAATTTCTTCCCCGCTAAGTTCACCGGGCCTGATATCATTCGCCACCTTGTCCTCTCCAAAGTAGAGTGCCTTCTGCTGCAAGAAACTCATCATCTGATTCACAGATTGTCTTGCATCGTGCAAATTTGCCCTCAAAAATTTCAAGCGAAACTCAAAATCTTCCACGTATGCTCGGTTCTGTTTTACAGCAACGGAATAAATTCGATTCGTAGAGGAAGTTTGCACCAAGTGATCAAATTCTGCCAATGACTGCTGAATCATCTCAGGCGTCTCCTGAAGCCCTTCCCCCACGCAGTGTAAGTCATCGAGAGCCTTGGCTCGCTCCTGGGCAGAAAGCTTGTTCATTTCAGCTGCAAGGAGCTCCTCGGTCTCTTTCATTTCATTCCCCTCGTGATTTTGTTGGCGCTCCTGACGATTCCCAGCATGAATCACTGATGTTTCTGGTTGCTGAGTATGCCTTATACCACTTCCATTGATTGCTTGGCTGCTATCACAGAAGTCCAAAAAAGGGAAACATGACTGACCTTGTTTGGACATTTCTTTTTGTGGCGGAGGGGATATCATTTTGAAGAATGGAAAATATGAAGCAATTGTGGGAACACAGATCGGAAGAACACCTTGTTAAACAACACGGAAAAGGCATAGAACACTACACGACGCGTCTATTTCACATTATATAACAATGCGGCGAAATGACACTGACGTATTCTTGGTATTCGTCGAAATGACACTGACGTTATATCTCCGGCCGAACAATTCATCTCAATTCCCATTTATATGGAGCCACAGACGGTATACAACGCACGAGTGAAGTTTTCGACCTCTAAAACTCTGTGTCGCATTTGAGTTCGGCATTTTCGTCTTGCATTATGTAGGAAGCTCAAAGCGAGTACCATGGTAGTGCCCGAACACCGCATGACCAATATGCTCCAAATCGGTCGTGCGAAAACACACTTTGCTAATGTCAAAAGTGTAACGCAGTCTAGGTATGTCCGATTTACGATAGTTGGCGTTCGTACAAGAGTTCTACATATAAAATGTTCACCATGTACCGGTACTCCCCGCGGCTCACGAATGCCCCGGGACTTGAATTGTAGTCCTACAATATTCTCTTTCTGCTTCAAGCTCACTACTCCGTAACCACAAATGAGCTTGGTGGGTCTACTGGCGCTTCCTTTATTGCCATGCGTGACCTTCTGTTCTTTGACTTTTTGTTAGCTATCGGCGGTGGAGGAGGTGGAAAAGCCAGAGAGCAATTCTTTGTCCCATGCCCCCCATTCATACTCCTTGAATAATCACAAAAGATGCATGCTGCCTCGGTAGCCTCACTGTCTGTCATCAGCGGCAGCGCACAGTGTCGACATGACGAGTCCAGCAATGTCCACCCTTGTATCACTTTCTTTCCAATTGCCTTGTTGATTTCCATTCTTGAGTGCTCAGGCGCATCTCTGTCTCCGTTTTGTGACTCACTTGATGACGTTGCATCGACGTCAATTTCAATGGATGAAGTTTCGTCAATGGGGACCCCGCTTTCAATTTCGGTTACAAGCAAGGCTTTCTCGTCAGGAGTTAACGATTCGTCAACTTCTATCGCACGGATAAGAGCTTTGCGCTGTTCAATATCTTCCTTATTCAATTCGTCAGCCAAAGGTACGGAAGATTCATCTTGTCGACACTCGACATATCTTTGACCCGGGATAGTCTCTAATTGTTCCACCATTCGGTTCTCAGGCTGATCAAGATTCTCTGCTCTAGTCTCGAGTTCTGCTTTTGCTTCGTCAAACCCATGAACCTCAGCCTCGGCCGATGAAGCCTCCTGGGACGTCATTGTAGCTGTTTGTTCGCCCCCATTTCTGAAACTCAAGATCTCATCTAGCGAGTCGTTGCTCCCGATCGAGTCTCTTTCTGTTCCTTGATTCTCTGTCATCATAGAGAAGAAATGACTATCATCACCAGCACCTGCGGAAAAGAAATTAGTGTCATCTTCGGCAAGTATATCATCCGCTGTCATGAATCCTGTATCACCATCATCAATATCTTCCTCTTTTTCGGACTCGCTTCCGTCGACTCCAAGTATTCCTCGCAGACGGTCGCAATGCGTATCACTCTCATCAGAAGACACACACTTCAGATCTGGCAACTCGTTTCCTGGTCCAAAGTCGCTCTTTTCTTCTGTTACGACAAGTGCTTCTGTGGAATTCGTCTGTTCTCTGTGACCAAATCTAGCTTGCTGTTTCGACATCAGGCGATCATCAGACTGTGTACTGCCAGTAATTTCATTGCCCAAGCACGAACCATCTGCATTCATCGCTACCACGGCAACTTCCTCAATTAGGGTAAATGATGTTGGCGGACTTCTGGAAGGACTGCTCTGAGCGGACTTGGAACAATCACTGTCAACCTCATGGATCGTTTCCAGATGGCCAAGGCTGAACATGCCTGTATTGCCTAGATCCAAACCACCCATCTGTTTCAGAGCGCTAAGGAAGTTTTCATTAATGGCAGTTTGGACAGGAGTAGAAATATTGTTTCCATTGAAAGTATCGTCGTCTTCCACTCCAGTATCTTGTATCGCTTTCAAGAAATCTGAGTCTGAAAAGCCCCCCTCCTCATTACTATTGCCTCCCTCAAGCTCAGAAATCGAATCAACATCACCTGAATGACGAGTTTTGGGCTCTTCAAACTTCCCTCCCGTTACGCTCAGCGACTGCCTCATAGCTTCGAGAAAGTCAGCATTCGAAAGATCTTCGGAAAGCTTCAGTTGCTCATCATGAGTCTCGATACTTTTCTCGGCAATTCCACTACCTTGTTGCAAGTCTGTATTTGATGGAAGTGTCGAAGTGGCTACTGTTGCCTCCGTCTCAGTTTCGACTCCATTCTCTTGCTGCAAAGCCTTTAGGAAGTCAACATTTGATAGAAGTGGTGGAGCAGCCGATGTCGCTCCGGTCTCATCTTTGACCCCGTTCTCTTGCTGCATCGTCTTTAGGAAGTCAGCATTTGATAGAAGTATTGTTGCCTCAACTTCCTCTTCTACTCCATTCTCTCGCTGCATAGCCTTCAAGAAATCAGTAGTGGACATGGCTGACGACACAGACCGACCCGAGCTGGCTTCGTCCGCGATTCCATTCTCTTGTCGCATAGCCTTTAGGAAATCGGCATTGGATAGAAGTGGTTCAGCAATCGGTGCTGCTTTAACCTCCTCTTCTACTCCATTTTCTTCCTGCATAGCTTTTACAAAGTCAGTATTTGACAAAACTGGTTCGGCAAGCGATGATTCAGTGCCAACATGAACCCCATGCTCCTGCTGCATAGCCTTGAGAAAATCACTGTTAGAAAACGTGGATGGCGAGGATGGCAAAGTAGGTGCTTGATCCAACGCTTTGGGCTCCTCAATCGTTTCCAAAAAATTGGTATCTGAGTCTGTTGTTGCCGTTTGATCGACGTCGCATTCTTGCTTCCCGGTCTCACGAATGACCTTCAAGAACTCTGCGTCCGACAACTCGACTGTTGGTTTTCTTTGATGGCCCTTTGTTGAAACATCTTTGATCTCGTTGATGCATTGCTGAAGCATGTTGCTGGGCATTTGTCTATGATAACTGAGTTCCTTGTTCAATGCCGTGGAAAAGGATTCGTTGCTATCTGATTTGATAGATTGAATCCATGAGTCATCGGATGAGTCTGGCTCGAGTAGTACTTCCATATTTATTGCAATGCTGGGCGTACTTTTCTCCCCAAGCCTATCGGCATCAGCCTCTGGGGTTTCAACAATGTCCTTGATTGCGGTCCATGCTTCGCTGACAATCGAGCGGTCGTCGTCCGAATTGACGTTATCAGTCGAAGAGTCCTGTGAAGGTAATGATTCCTCTGTTGTATAACTATCGTCAGCAATAATGGAATTTTCACCCAAAGAATCAAAGCTTGCATCAGCATTGAGTTTCGCCCTTGAGGACATCGAACCATTTTTCTTCTTTTTGGATGACTTGGAGGACGAAGCCGACAGTGACATAGACGGCTGACCATCCGAATAGCTAGAAGCTATATTCGATGATATCGAATGGCTGCCATACGATGATCCCGACTTGATGGAGCGACTCTCCTCTGATGAGGAAGGATCCACTGCTCCGTGTCCGAATTCAGAGCGCATCCGAGAACGCTTCGTTCGTCTTTTTGTGTTGCCTCGTCCTCGATAGTTCCTGTCACTTTCTTGTCGTAGTCTCATGGCAGCTTTCAATGCTTGAACTTTCCCTTCTTCAATCGACTTTTCAATGAGTTTTCTTCCACATTTGAGTAGCGACCATGTCGTCGATTCCAGTTCTTCCATTAGATTGCCTGGCTCAACAGGACCTCTCTTTTTGGATTTCCTTGATTTCTTCTGGGACTGTCTTCTTGTTCTCTTGGAAACGGATTTCCTTTCCGTAGATTCTTTGGAGACATGGGCCATTCTTTGTTTTGGATCCTCGATTGATGGTTCGTAGGCACCTTCGTCTTTGAATGCTAGTCTTCTGAACTTTTGTGGTGGATTTGCATTTCCAGGAGCTTCAACCTCTTCCTCCTCTTCGTAAGGAACCGCAGCAAGCCGAATGCGGCGTCTCTCTGTCATGGTGATGAGAGAGAGAGAGAGCGAGAGCGAGAGAGAGAAAAAGTAGTGTTTCAATGGTAGTGGGGGGAGCTTGTGCAGCGGCCAACACGGAGGCAAGTTTTCGGAATGATGGGGCGAATCAGCGATATGATCTCGCTAATTTAGTTTGCCCGCGAGCGTGGTCGCTATTGGATCTCGTTCGACGGACGTGCAGACAAGAGTTTGGCATTGATGGTTGATGAAAATCGGCGTACGATGGACAGACGTCAAAGTTTATGTTTCGTTGCTAAACACAATAACATTGCTAAACAGCGACAATACCAACAGACTGAAGATCTATCACCGATCAACAGTTCAGTGATGATTCATCTATAATCCAAAGTTTTTCTAATCATTAGTGGTATATAATCATCACCATGGATTGGAACACAGCACCTTTCATTTTCTAGCATCAGAAAGTGCTGCATCCCTTTGTCGTCGTCTATTCATCTAAATTGTTCTTGTTGTTCGTATCCGTATATCACTCCTTCACAGCAACTATATATCGCCGCAAAAGGCACGCGACCAGTTGGCATAGTCCATGTAGAGTGATGCAATATTCTTCGTGGATAGCTCCTTTGTCTTCGTTGTGTCTAATGTGTGGACAGTCTTTTCATCCGACTCCGTAATGTTGGAGAGTACTGGTTTGATCAGACCTTCGTCGTAGGATGGGCTGGTGGTAAGGGCATTGTGAAGCGCCCCTGGTCTCCTCGATGGTCGATACACCAGTTCATGAAAGTCATCTTCCAGAAAGGCCTCGTCCATGTAGTCACTGACTCGTATATTCCTGGTACAGCATGCTAGATTGTCTGTCACCCGTGTCAGTAGTACGCCCAATTCTGGTTCCTTCGTTTCGACGAATTCTTGAATGGCAGTTTCATCACGACTGTCGTCGGCCAGCTGCCTTTGAGGGTCGTCGCATTTCGGCATCTCCTTCTCCGTGTCAGGAGTGCTCGTGCTACCAATGGAAGTCGGAGCTTTTGTCTGCGCTTTGATCGTGCTCCTTCTGGTGCCCACATAATTCATTTCTTCTCTTGAATAGTTGTAAAGGCTTTCGAGAGTGTCCAATCTTGTATCTCCTTGGGAATATGCGAAGAGAGTATCAAGCGTGTCCATTCTTGGATTTCCTCTGGAACTCCTGCTGGTACCAAACAAGAACGCGCCAAGCGAATCTCGTTTGACGATACTAGTACTGCTGCTGCTGTTGCTGCTGTTGCTGCTGTTGCTGCTGCCACTGCTGCTCCTCGTCGTCGTCCTCGTAGTGTTTCGCATTATGACAGCTCCTCCCACCGGCGTGTTTGCTTCGAATGGAGTTGGAAGTACCCAAGAGACAAGGAGTTGGATTTTTTAGGTCAGTGCGTACATATATATGTGGGTCCAAGCTGCTGGTTGCTTCCGTCCAATCATACTTGTATACAATATAAGCTCTCACTCAACGGATATTACTGACCCAAACGCGCAAGCCAAATGTGACATCTCCAATTGTTCTCGCCAAGTTGCTATTTAATGACTTATCCGACACTTACGACAGTCGCGCGACGTCGCTGAATTTGAAACTCCGGCACTTGCAAAGATTTTCCATCCAACGTGCATGTAATATATAATTGAATATATATGTACAGTATATTAAAATAGTGCATGGAATCTTATTTTCCACGCATAATATATATCACCCCATGGCTCCGAGGCCAGAGGCAGGGAGGCACGATGTCTTTCCACATCAATCTACTGCTTATAATGATGACTGTACCGTAAAGGAAATCCAGTTGGATGCGTTGGAACATACGCTCGATGAGTTCTCGAAACTACTACTTCTAAAGGAACCACCTCTTGAGGAAACTACTAAAGAGGCACGAGTCATCAAAGAGGAGATTGTACAGAGCTCTACTTCTGAGGACAGAGAATCAATCTCGAACCTTTTTGCTGAAGAAGAAAATGCTCTAGATGATATTTTGAATGAGTTTATGACACTTGTTCGTGAAGAAGCAGAAGAAGAAGAAAGAGACGACCGAAAGTCGGAATGCCATCTCAAGGTAGACAACAAGGAATCGCGTATCCGTCCTCCCGTGTCGGAAGAATACATTACGTCTGCATCGGCAAGGAGCGTGGGAGGTGACGACGAAAATGACGTTGGTCCGTTCACAACGGGTCTCGTCGAAAGTCATGGACCATTACTACTTGTCGAATCATCAAAGAAGCCGCTCGACGTTATTTTTCTTGAGGGCACTGAGGCCAAGAACGATCAATATGCCCTTCAATCATCCAAATCTATCGACTCTATTTGCACAATGGATCTACCTCTGCACTCGAAGAACGAGGCCGAAGAGTCGGTATTTTTCTCAAACTTCTGGCAATGTGATGCGATGACGCCATTGCATACGTTGTTGGAAACCAACGAAGCAGCACAAATCAAGGATGATGATTCTCTTAGCTCTCTTCGACGACGGTATAAGAAAGAAACAGTCCCCCAAGCAATATTGAACATCATGCTGATCCGGCGGGAACCCCTCGAAATCGACTTTCCAATGCTTTTGCAGCAGTTGGAGGAAGGGGTGAACGATGGCTCGTCATCTGCCGAAAATGCGGATAAGCACAGCTCCTATTTTTCATACATGTATAATCTAGTGACGTCAACGCCACCCTTAGTGTTGACACAGGCAACAACTGAGGTGATGGATGGCCCAAAAACATCAGAGGAGGGCTCAACGGCAAACGAAGCGATTGAATGTCGCAAGCAAGTCAACGAGATATCAGTTTCTCTGACGAATGCAAGCACATCTGAACTTCTCGAAACAAGACAAATAATGCAGACCGCCAGTGTAGGGCATGAGCCCTCTGATCAGCAGTTTGAGGATAGAAATGATTGTATCCACACGGAGGCTCATCTTGAACATGATCCAAATCTCTGTACCACTGAAGAAGAATGTCGCGAGGAGATCGAGATTACACGGTACGACGACGATCACTCCCAAGAAGTTTCTCGTGACAAGCCTGAGTCGCTGGTGAAAATTCCCCTACCCACTATCTCATCGCCACTTGAACATGAACTGACTAAATTTACCCAGTGCATCATTGATGCACCAATTTCTGAAGACACAAGTACTTCTTCCACTGATGACAACTACCAGCAACTGCCTTATCCGATCTTTACCAAATTCGACCTCGATGATGACGACGGTGAGATTCCAGTAGATGACGACGCGGAATACTTCGAGACAATGGAGACACCCAGGGTTCGAAATTGTCGCAATCACGATGCAAAGTCTACAGCATTCACTTCTGTTGGATCCAACGTGTGGGGCCAGTGGCCCTTTTTCTCAAAGTATGGTGATCCAGAGGAAATGGTCCTTCAACCTCTTCATCCACAGCAGGACAAGCCTTCAGGGTTCATTCTGCAACAAGATACTGATCTCTCGACTCTTAGTGGGAGCTTTTCACTGTCCGAGTTTGCAGCTTCCGATTCTCCTTATCTAATGAGATTACTTAATCGGAATGACCACTCCAACGGGGAAGCTGCGGCAGATTACGCCTGGTTTCAGACATCTTTGGATAACCAAGAACGAATAGATGCATCAACCGGTGATAAATGCGACGATTCACATTACTTTGACCAATCTTGGGGGCTTGAGCAACTCGAACATGCCTACGATGAGTTTGCCGAGGATCACAGAAATGATATGATCCGGTACAGCAGGAATAAATACCATAGAGAGAGTCTCAATGGCGAAAACACGAAGGGGGGAAGACTCGAATCGCCAAAAAATAATGCAGCTGGTGCATTTTCATTTGAAGGGGCTTTCGAAACTAGAGACAGCACTCTGCCCAATGATATTGTTATTCACAAAGAAATTGCGGACGGCTTGTCTTTTTCTGTGAGTACAGTCAGCAATGGGAGCAACTTCTGTGGAGGTAATTCCTGGGGAAAGAAACGGGACTATCCGACGATTCCTAGCAACAACAAAAACATAGTGAACAAAATCCTTCTTGAGAATTGCCCATCAGATGCAACAGAACAAGTTAGCTACTCCAGTGGAAGCCTTTTGCATAAAGTGAACTCAATAGTGGACGCCAGTAAGGGCCTCCTCAACCAGATTCTTGTGGGAACAGAATAATAAAACATAAAATAGCTATTATTGTCCAAGTTTTCTAGAAAGTCGAAATGGACAAAGAAAACCGGATTATTTGAGCGAACAGTTCAACAATCGGAGAAAATTCGACGTATATAGTATTTTTTAAAAATACCGAAACTGGTGCTTGAAGCTTGAAAAAGCTGATTAAGTTCCCGCCACAATAAAGGTGTGAAGTAAGTAGACGACTTTAAGAGTAGGCCACTTGGATACCTATTGCAAATTCAACTACCAATGTAGCTAGTCGCATTGAAGTAGCTAGCTCATTCAAAATAAATTCTATAAAGCTTGGAAAAAGTCATCACCAAAACTTCCATTAAATTCCCATGAATTGTCCACCGGCAGCAATATGTCGATCGTTCCAATACTGCTGTCGCAACATGAGCTGCTCTCTTCTGACGTGGTCGCTGTTTTGACACTCACCGTCCGCAAATGGGAAGGTGAAGAAGCGCATGTTGGGAAAGGCAATGGGTTCAGCGATTTGTCGTGATATTCTGATTGTGTGAAAACTGGTTTTGAAAAATTGCTCTCCGTAGGCTGCAAACGTGGGCCATTAATGGTGATCTCCTTGGGCAACTGATGTAGACTAGAACAACTCATTCGCAAAGTTTTGTTGCTTGAAGTTGTGCCTTCCTTGTGATCTCGTGAATCGAGTCTCTTCATATGATTGCACAATGCAGGCTGGTTTCTTTGAAACAAGGGATGCGAGTCTGTAAGGACAAGGGAATGAGTCTGGGCATGCATGTAGTGTACGTTTGAGAGCAGTTCGAACTTACAAACACCTCTGATTTTGCCCCTACATGTTCGATAGAAACCGTAAAAGTTGAGCTGTCGCTGAAAACTCTTATACTTTGTTTGATTGAAGAAGTGGCTCATGATTTTGTCGGTAAACTCCTTTGGATCTGCGATGGTAAAGGAGCGGCCATCAGGATCCCATGAGGCGTAGTGGCTCATTTCCGAGGAATCCGATACGGCTTCTAACATTTGATGGAGCTTTACAGGAAAAGTTCCTTCTTGGTGGTAACATTGACGTTTCTCAATCGTTATTTGCATGTTGCTTAGCGAAAGTGGCTGTATATGCAAATTGTGACTGTCTTTTCAAGGAGTGAGAAATATTTTTAATCTTGAGACAGCCGCCGCCATCAAAAATTGTCCAAATAGCTCCGATAAACAATCTTGCTTCAAACCCGTTTCAGCTCTATCCTTGGTTTCAGTTCTTGTTTATTGGAAAACAAAGAGAACAATCCAACTGAGAGATACTCGGAGAAATATATAAAACAGGTACTGCGTACCGGTAATTTTAATTTTAAAAAAACAAACCTTGTGCAAATTTAAAAATGATGAAACTCAATCTGTACTTCAATGACCATAGGCCTCTAGAGCTAAGATACTACACTGTAAGATTGAAGAAACGAGAAACCTTTAGACTCTTTTATGAAGACCTTTCTTAGCCAGATCAAGCGGCGTCACCTATCGTCACTATTTTAGTAGCTAAGCTATCAATACCAGAATCAGCACCGCAGATTGAACACCAAGACGTGAGTAGTAGTAGGCCGAGACTTCAACCACCCGCCAGAGCATACGGAACTTAGCAATCGAAAATTTTTCCTAGATGATTTTGGCGTTGGAGTACGGAAGGTGGCAGAGCATGGTAAGGATTACATTTCAAATGATGGCACTGCTCCCGGTCAAAACCGTTTTCTAGTGTTTGTGGCACACTCATTTCATTTCTAATCTTGGAATGAAGTAGAGTTCTAATCTTTGAATTTAGTTGAGGAAACAAACTGGGAATCATGGCTCATAAAAAATCTTTTTCCGAAAGCGGCACTGAAGCAATCAGATATGTGACACTTTAGAAAAGTTTCCATACTACACATGTGCTGGTGCCATTTCACGGGGATGGAGTAGTAAGCTGTCGGAAAATTCCACTTCAGGGCGAGCTTGAAAACGGGATCGAGACATGGATTTATGAGTTCCCGGGGGAGTATTGTTCGCTCGCGAGCTTGATGCTACCAAATGGAAATGTCAGATATGCCGAATGTCAATGATTTTCGACAACGGATGTCGTTCACTCCACCCTTTGTTCGCTCCAAATTCCATATTTTCCCCTTTCAAATTCTCGGGCGGCAGAATGCCTTGGTCCAAACGGCACTGATCTAATAAGAGACTAAGTGTGGAAACACCTGACGTAAATAGTCCGACCGTAATGTTCTCCCTCCCCTTCGTCACAAATCATTCCTTTTTTAGATCTCTACTCAAAACACAAAATATTAAATTCTTGTTCAGAAACAAAACGCATTGTGAATTGTAAAGGATGGGCAAAGAAAATCCTTTTGAACAAAACGTCGCCATTCAGCAACAGGGTGAAATAGGCCGATTCGTGCATTCGCCAATGGCAAGAAGCAAATCCTCCATGATCATTGCCATGGACTTTTCTTTGGATAACTCTCCATCGATGGATCGGACTTCCCAAACAAATTTCATTTTGAATAGCAGTGACATATATGAACCCCTTCCTATCACAGCTACTAGTATTCATGAAGAAGATAGGCCTGGTGGGGTGGGTATTCATTCTTTCATTACTCTAGCGAGTACAAAATTGGATTCTCTCCCCGAGATTGACGATGATGCCATCCTGTTCGATCGTCTCGCCGAAGTCTGCAGTCTTGGTACTATCGCTTCTTCCATCAAGCGTGCCTCACCGATAGAAGGAATGTGTCATTCGGAGGAACCACTTCGCAAGAAGCAGAAACATGTTGATGCGGAAAGCGAAGATGAATCATGTCCTCGCTTCAGGTAAGACTAAAATCACAAAAATTGTCTTCGGCCAATTACCAGCTGATTATTCCTAACATACCGATTTCCCCATTATCAGACCTTATCAGCAAAAACATTGGGATGAACAGTTCGAAGGCCTCTTGACTTTTCGTGCGGACAGAGGACATTGCTGTGTTCCTCATGACTATGAGAACAACAAACTGTTATCACGTTGGGTTCGACGGCAACGCTATCAATACAAACTGAAGCAAGAGAATAAGAAATCTACAATGACTGATGCTCGCATCCTCAAGCTGAATAACATTGGATTCGTATGGGATTCACATGCAGCCACTTGGTCCGAGCGGCTCTCAGAGCTCACGGACTATCTACGTAAAACAGGAAACTGCAACGTTCCAGCGACATACCCTCCCAACCCCCCGCTATCCACTTGGGTGAAGTGCCAAAGGAGGCAATACAAACTTTTCAACAAGGGACTGCCCAGTAATATGACAATGGAGCGAGTAGAGGCTTTGGGTATGCTTGGATTTGAATGGGACCGAAGCAACGGCAAGCGCAATCGCCGACAAACGAACCCGAAATCGAATGTCTTCTGCGCGCTCACCGAAGAACTCTAGCCAAGGCCAGAAGGGGTCGGGCAAGAGCCCTAGAATATATAATCAAATTTTGAGGAGACAATTTTAAAAAAAAAACTTATTACTGACCCATGCGATGTTGAAAGTTGAGACTTTACTCTACCCCTCAAAGGAAAGAATGGATCAATTGGCAGATGAGCAGCTCCGAGGTATTCTTTGAACAACCACACGACATAAAATTCCGACAGTGGCCGACTGCAGCGCATGATGGGGTGGAAGCTGCCAGAAGAAGAACGGCCGACGAGAAACCAATAAGCCATCTAGTTAAATTTGAACTGCATCAGTCTTCGGTTGAGCCATACAGGCTGCATGCTAAAAACGCAAAATCTTCTTTTAGGACTAGTCGCAAATTGCTAGGTGGACAAGTGCTGTAGAGTAGAATAAATAAATTTAACAGTGACCATGAATAATAGAATAATATGCAACACATATGCTTCGAAGCATCATCGAAAAATGGAAGCCGCTACAAGTCTCCTTAGACGCTGAGAACTTGTGTACTGTCAATAGAAGGCGAAACATCTCGAAAATCGGTGCGGAAGCTTCCAGTGAAGAGAGTAGAAAAGGATGTTTCCAAATCGTCTTCCATGGACCCCTTGCCAATTTCAGACCCTCGTTGTTTTCCACCGCTAGACTGAAATCGGGCAAGTGGAAGTGATTTTCGTATAAAGAAGGAAGATCGTCTGGTAGTGCTATACCGGCCTTGCTTATAATCCAAAAAGTCTGGTAGAGTTCGTTCCGTCAATGAGGTATGGAAGGACTCCAAAATCAGGTTGGGCCGTTGACTCCAATTCTTATGCCAGGAGTTGTCCAATAAGTACTTCATGGAACAGGGCCATTGTTCAGAAATCAAGGGTCGGTGATGCTCGTCAAAGATCTGTTGATCGTGAAGTTCAGAAGGAACTTCATCGTAGGGCTTGAGCAGTGTGATGACTTCGTGAACAATCAGACCAAAGGAGTAGATATCTGTGAGACAGTTGTACCGAGCTCCCTTGGCACATTCGGGCGACATGTATCTTGGAGATCCCACTCGCTTGGTGAGTCTAAAGCCCTTGGTGAAGTAATGGTCTGGATTTCGAGTAGGACAGATTCGCGCTACATCGAGATCAAATATCTTCCATTGTCCATCCAATCCGAGACCAATATTGTCTGGCTTGAGATCGCGATGGATCAAGCCCATCTTGTGCATACTGCCAATCCCTCGTGCGACTTGAGGTATCACAGCCAACCGTTCATTGAGTAGTTGCAATTTGGCCTCTCCATTGGACAAGCCGCCTCTTCTTACTAGATTGAATGGGTTTGAAAGTTTAGACTTTCTCTTTTGCCATTCTTTAATCTTGTCCCCCAGGGTGCACTGAAGTCGCTCCAAGACGAGGAAAAATCCATCATGAAATCCGTTGTTCAGCGTGTGCAACCCATTCTCTTGCCATGCATGAACCTGAATGACATTTTCAGATCCAGCCAACTTTGCAAGAATCCACCCCTCTTTTACCAGATCAGCAGCGCATGCAGCTAGCATGGCAGGATTGTGCATCATCTTTTTCCTGAGAATCTTAATAACATGTGCTGGATGATTCTTACGCTCGTAAACAGTTGAAAAGCTGCCTTCCCCCAGTACCCCCCCCAACTTAACTTCGTCATGCGTCAGACCCAAAGGAGACACAATTTCCATGCATTTCTGGTCCATGGGTAATCGCTCCTTCAGCAGACTCCAGTTCATCTTTTCAAGTCTACGGTTTGCATACTTCATAACCTTACGAATATGAGAGATTTTCAGTTTCAGGTTGGTAGAAGCGCTCCCGAAGGTGCATCTATCTACCGAATGGGTAGGCGCACAGAACAGATCATTGACAAGAACAGCTGATGCAGCTCGATCTTGGTGTTCTTGGACATAAGCGTCGGAAGATTCATCTGAGGAAGAGGTATCTTGAGGTCCTTCTTGAATTTTCTCAGGTGAAACAGCGGATTCTAAATTCGCAGTATCACCAACGACAATCATATTCAAAAACGCAACAACGCCAAGAAGTTACTGGGTGAAGTGTTTGGTAATAGGTAAAATGAAGAAGAAAATGAAGAAGAATTCCATTCAGTTCACTGGGCTGTCAACTTTGAGAGTTCAATTTGCTGCACTGGTGTGTTCAATGGAAGCGTGAGATTTTCGGCAACGAGCAGGTGAGTGAGTCGTTCTGGAAGCGTCTCTCAATCGGATGGAATGAAAGTCTTGTTTTCAAGGGTTTATTTAACAATATGATGCATGTGACCCTTCGTCGTGACACCTTTCCCCGAATAGTGTTCCTTTTGCAATAAATGAAACCTTTTTGAAGTTCCGCTTTCTCTCGTTTCTCTCGTTTCTCTCTCGGTTGAAAAGGGCTGAAACGCCCGGCCATGCTGTCGCAGTGACCTCTCTTGCTTTCGCATGTCGTAGATATGTCGCATACGACCCCTAGATGACTTTGTGGAATACCGTACATACCACCAGGCGATATTTTAGTATTCGCTTCGATCAATAATTCAGTTTTGGCGAGTTATTATGATCGCTCATATATTTCCCTCAAGAGGATCACCAATCATCCTTGAAAATAAAATAGAACTGCCGATTGGTATTATCGTAATCCCCATACCACCAATCATAGTAAATAAAGCGAGGTTATGGTATTTTATTTTTGGGAAGGAAAGAAAGGAGAAGAAGTAGACAGTGGTCATGAAACGGATCCATCCACAGGAAGCAGTGATTCCGACTCGGCCACTGTCAATCGAACACCACTTGGACCACAGTTTCTCACTGGAATTGCCAGAGACTTGAAAAGGAGGCTTCCTTACTATTTGGATGACTGGAAATTATCACCGTCACTGCTTACAACAATTGTCAATGCATCGCTTTCATCCTTATTTCGTCAATTAGTTCCGGCCTTAATCTTTGCCGGATGGATGGAACAACAAACGGGTGGCAAACTTTCAGCAGTCGAAACATTGATCAGCACCGGTATTGTTGGAATCTTTTATGCTATTTTTAGTGGTCAGCCATTGGTGCTGGTGGGTCTATCAGGTCCGGTCGCTCTGTTGTTGGGAGCTTCGCACGATCTCGCAACCGATTTCTTTCAAGCCGATTTCTTTGCCTTCTTTTGGTGGATGTGCATTTGGACGAGTTTCTTACATATTCTCACTGCATGCTTCGGGTTGGTGAATCTAGCCAGGCTGATTACGCCCTTCACGTCCCAAGTCTTTGAGTTCTTTGTCGCTGTTTCCTTCATTTACAAAAGTATTCACGAGATGCTTCATCCGTTTGTCTGGGCAGACTCGGGATTCTATGACGACCACTCCAAAGCGTATTCATCGCTTGTCGTTGGACTGTTGACCTTTCTCGTTTGCTGGAAACTTCACTTTGCCGAATCATGGATCTATTTCACGAGCAACATCAGATCTTTCCTGGCAAACTACAACATGTTCATTGCCGTACTGATTGGTACCGGTGTGAGCTACATTCCAGACTTTTCAAAATCTACTGACAACAAAGATATCATCCAACGTATTGGTCTGATCTCATCCTCTCCCTTTGATTGGACACCTTCCGTGGATCGGAACTGGCTTGAAATTACTCCGTTGACCGGAATCGACACACCTGGAGTCTTCGGAGCACTGATTCCTGGACTGATGCTTTACATCTTGATCTTCTTCGAACACAACATGTCCAGCGCGATTGCCCAAGCGCCGAAGTTCAAACTAAGGAAACCTTCTGCCTATCACTGGGACTTCTTTGCACTTGGACTGTCAACTATCGCATGTGGATTCCTCGGTCTACCGCCATGCTGCGGTGTTGCTCCACAAGCTCCAATGCATACGCGATCATTGTGCAAGAAAATGGAGAATGACAATGGACGCGAAGACATTGTCTGCTGCGCAGAACAGCGGTGGTCGGCCTTGCTTCAATCTGGATTAATGCTTGCCTTCCTTCCCGTGTCAAATTTCATTTCGAAAGTACCCGTTGGGTGCCTCTTTGGCGCCCTGCTATATCTTGGTGTTACAGCAATGTGTTCCAATGGAATCTGGACGCGCATTACTTTGAAATTCATCATGCCCTCTCGAAGACCGCAAATCGCCATCGTCATCAATGTCTCCAGTTGGGGTACCGTTCAGAGATACACCGGTTTTCAGATTGGGTCGAGTCTAGTTTCTTTTGGATTGGTGTACTTTACCGAATATGGATATCTCTTTCCACTAGTCCTGGCAATCTGTATTCCGGTAAGAAAATTCTTTCTGGGATACATTTTCAATCAAGAAGACTTGGAATATCTCGATCCAACAGAAATGACGGAGGAAGAAATCGTTGAAGAACACCAAGAGCTGAAACAAGCATTCAGTCCTTCCTCGGCGGCGGGATCGGATGTTTTTTTTCGTATTCATGAGGTTCATCACAGCAATTTGGTATATGATGCCGACTCGGTTTTTTCCAACGATGTTTTAGAGCACGTCGAGGGTGCCAATAATTCGCCAAGGCGCCAATCACCAAGACGCCCAAAAAAATTTCTGCAAGCTGATATTGAAGGTGGGCTACAATCACGAGCACAAAATGCTAGAAGGGTTCATAGTCTGAGCAAAGTCGCAAGGAGAGAGAACAACAACACTTCCACGACCCCAACCTTTTTATCGTCATGGAATGCCTGGACCCAAATGTTCGATAACGAAACTACACCAGGCGCTTGGTGTGGCACTGGTGTTGTGGACGAAGTCATAAAGCAACCGGTTCAATCTGAAAGAGATGAGTTAATTTTACACAAGACCAAGAGTTCCAGATCAGTCAAAAGTTCCAGATCAGTTAGAACCGAAGTATACGATGCAGATAATACTGTCAGGTCCATGAAGAGTGACCATACACGTGCCTCCAATCGAAGCCGAACCATGCGATTTGTGACGCCGAGTGCAAGTGAGCTTTTTGATTCCGACCAGATGAGTCTTAGATCCAATCAAACTGGTGACAATATCGCCCACCAGAGGTCCAAGCCAAGAGTACGAGAACCATCCAGTATTTTGAGTGGAAACGAGCGCCTCGACAAGCCCATTTCACCAAAATCAATGAGGTCGTCATCTTCTTGGAGATCAGACCGTACTATCCGAAAGTATTCCGACGCCGAACGAGCTAGAAGCAACGAGCTAGATTTTGATGCTGACCGAGCGGTCATCCCCGAAAGTATTTTGAAAAATAAGAATAAGGCTTCGAATCGAGAATCACCTGGACGAATCGCATTCGCGAAAGATGCCCGGGCCATAAAGTATGATTCCGCGCTAGCAAGGGCACCAGAGTTGAAGCGACAACATTCAAAACAAGAGGAAATGTAGCCATTACGCTAAGTAAAACAAGGGTCTGTATAACATATAATATACTATCAATTGTAGACCAACTTTTGAAATTTTTCTGAAGAACGAAGGTAGCTCGACAGTCCTCCTCTCTGCATGCGGGGTTCTTTTTGGTTCTACAAAAGCACCGCTAATGCGAGAAACATCGGTGGATTGTGCTATTGGCGGGGCCTTGGTAGTGGTTGGAGGAGAAGGCTTTGGATTGATTGATTCCACAGTGAAAATGAAGGCCAGATCGTCTTGTCGAAGGTTGGTACTTTTTCCGGACGATGAGGGCTCCATGATGATTGGTCATCGAACGAATGGACGCTCAAAAGAAGTAGGGAACAGCAGGAGATGAGAAAGAGACGTTCTTGACGACGCATCCGTGGACAGCAAAAAAGGCACGCAAATTCAAAATCATGGATGTCGACTGCTGCGGGGATGGGATCAAGCTACTATACATCCGTTGGTGCCCTGAATTTTTGCCTTTTGGTTAAGATATTATTGTCGGAAATGATGGAGCGTAAACCATTGAATGGCACTGATGCGCAGGAGCATCATAGTACTAATAGGAAAGCATAATCGACAGGCGCTATGATTGTGTCTTTAACTCATATTATTTTGTTAGTCCTAGTTCACTTCTGATACTATATTTTCAAATTCCCTTCATCAACTGAGTACAGACTTGCTGGGGTGCTAACACAAAACCCATGGATTCCAATACTTGGAAACGATGAATGGCCATATCTGACGAAGCTGAAGACCTAGATTTGTGGAGCTTGTATTGTCGACGTTGACAATTTGCCCAAGCGGAGAGTCCAACATTCTCTGGATTGTGAGATGGGACGTTGCAGTGGCCCATTTTTTCCTTGAATGCTTTGAGCTCATAGAGCTTCTCCTGCCACATGACATGCGATTCCCAAATAAAGCCAATGGACTCAAGCTCTTGGAATCGACGAGTGGTCTCTTCAATTCGTCTGGTGGTCATCGTGGAGGTAGGATGGTTATCGTGGATCTTCTTGTATTGGTATCTTTGCCTCTTGACCCAACGTGCTAGGGCGGGATCTTCTTGGTAGGAGTGAGGAACAGAACAGTCTCCGTGCTTCATCTTGTATTGGATCAGCTTTTGGAACTGAGCCCTCCATTGCTCGTCTTGGCAAGGGCGAGACTTAGCTGTGCTCGTGGTCGTTCGTTGGCGCTTGTTGCATGGGTCGCCTTCTTGGTGGTTGTGGTTGGAGGACAAGAAGAAGCCTTTGCGGCTTCTCTTGGAGCTCGTAACGACGCTGAAGGACCCTTCATCGTTGTTGGAAGAGCAATCTCCCAAGCTTCGTTTGGAACCAACACTGGTGGGATCAATCGTGGGACCAATCTTCTTGTTGGTGTCATTTGACATATTGTCCTCTTCGGAAACGATGGATTCATCTATCAAGAGACTGGCATCATACCTTGGTTGCATCTGAGGCCAATTTGCAGTCACTGGAGCTTGCGATTTCAGAGGCGATGGCTCCATGCTTGCATCATCAAAGATGTCATGGAACGAAAATGGCATCCTATGAGGGTGAGAAGGAGAAGGAGACACCTTTGGTGCGTCCAGAGGCAGGAAAGGGCTTCGTAGAAGCGACAGTAGTTCCTCATCTTCGATATTGGAGTAGCTGTAGCTATCGCTTCGAAGATTGTTGTTTTCGGCACCGTACATATAGTTCATGGTGGACAACAAACGGTATATTACATTACATACAATCAAAGAAGCCACTATTATTATGCTGAGCGATATAGTCTTTTCCATACGGCGGCGCGGCAGATGAAATAGACCACCGTTCTTTGCATCGAGGTGGAACTTGGGAGACCGCTGATAAGAAGTCGTTAAGTGTTGAAAATTGCGAGCTCAAAATTGTCTTATTGGGGCTGAGGGACTATAATAAAATAAGAACTTGAATCTACAGTAGAAGCGAAGGATAAATTGCCGCTTCAATTTTATATAAAGAATATTAGGTTATAAAAAACTTTTGAATCTATAGAAGCGAAGGGTACGAATTGGCGCACGTGCCATATATGGGCCGTCATCTCGGACAATAATATTAGTATAATCAGTGAGTGAAATGGAGAAGGTGCAAGGTACCTGGTACCGCTAGCTTGCTAGTGTGATGGAGAGAGTCCAAGAAGTTGAAATCTCCTAACGTGAAACAGTTAACTTGAACAAGCACACATTCTTTAGCCAGTAGATCCTCCGTCATCTAGAAAGTTTAGGTTCAAGCACAAAACCCAAAGATTCCAATACTTGGAAGCGATGAATTTTCATACCATCCAAAGGAGTAGAAGAACGGGTGCACACTTTGTATTTACGACGTTGGCTCTTCACCCAAGTGGACAATGCACGATTCTCGGGGTAGTCAGACGGAACATTGCAGTGGCCCGTTCTTTGTTGGAAAGCCTTGAGCTCATCGAGCTTCTCCTGCCAAGCTGAAGCATGCGCGTGCCAGATACATCCAATAGATTCAAGCTCCTGGATGCGACTAGTGGTCATGGTTGAAGAGGTGTATTGGAATCTTTGTCTCTTGACCCATCGAGCGAGGACAGGATCTTCCGAGTAACAATGGGGAACGGAACAGTGTCCATTTTGAGACTTGTATTCAATGAGCCTTTGAAACTGAGTTCGCCATTGCTTGTCTTGATACGGACGAGAGCGAGTATTATTACGTTTTTCTTTAGCAGCGGTTGCTTATTGCATTTGAAAGGTCCGTTTGCGCTTGCCGAGGTCACTTAGGTTGTGGTTGGAGACGAAGCCTTCCAAACATTTTTTGGACCCATCCCTAAAGAAGATTGATTGCATTTTAGGTGCATTCTGTTTCAGAACCGTTTTGACTTGACCTTGCGATCCGAGAGGCGAAGGTTCCATGCATGGATCATCGTATGGATACTGGAAAAAATCAGCGGGCAACAGTAGAGGAGAAGGAGACGAACTTTGGAGCGCATCCGAGGAGGATGGCAAGGGCTTGTTAGAAACGAGACTTGTTTGCCAACGACGTTACCATTTGAGTGGTTGAAGCTGTAGCCATAGATTTTCTCTCGAATCTTGTCGTTGTCGGTAGTGCTGATCATGGTTGAAACAATAATAACCCGTCATAAACACATTAAAAAAATATACCCGTTTGTTTTCGGGATGAAACGCTTTGAATCAATTTTTTTACTAAATTCCTGATCAGAAGAAATGTCAGTTTCCGTGTAAATATAACGATGGAAAACCTTCAGATCCTCCATCCCCTTGGCCCATGACGTAGAAATGTCAATCCGCGCCAGTCATTCCATTCGTCTATCGCCAGCAAGTCACGGTCAGAAACGGAAAACATCCGTTGAACTGATTCACCCGCGCGGGTAACGGGTACAGAAATTATGAGAAGTAGCGGGTGGCACAATCATGGAATCTACTACGACCCGTTTGGATTGTAAGAAGCTGCGCCAGCTCGGAGAGAAATGTGCCCTGCACGCGCGCTTTCACATTTTCTGCGCGATGGGCCCTGAAGCTAGCAGGGTTCTTCCATCTTGGGAGTCTTTCGAACTTGATAGCAGCTCTTCTCCGTTCTATAGGAGGGGTAGCGGTACACCTCCTCTAATAAACTGTTTTAACATTCGCTCAAATATGAGATCCCATCATATCAAATTTGAGGCTGGAAGTACTCGATCAAGACTTCATGGTAAACCAAGGAGCGTACCAAGGAGCGTAAAACAGCCCAATGAAGACATGACCTATTGGAGCTGCTGTACTCAGCCAAGGCAAGGATGCTGCAGTTTCATTTCCATCGAAGTTTCCGACTGCTCATGCCTCCTCGGCAGTTCTGATGAAGAAGCATTTCGCTAGGTAGATATTCTAATTTTAAAAATTACACACGCAACGTGACTGACTGGACTGCCGAGTCCCGAGCAGATATATTAGAGCGATCGAAGGCCAACGGTCGTCGCCAATCTCAAGCCCAAGATCAATCATCTATCATCTACTCACAGCTGCTTCAGACCCCCG